CGGCCAGTAAAGCAAGATGTATGCCTTTATACCACTTTAACAGCCTCATCCTGAGAACTGTAGTTTGTTTACGGTGCTGGGGACTGTAGCTCTGTGACGGCTCTCCTACCAATTCTCAGCACCTTCAACAAACCATTGTTCCCAAGATCCTTTGGGGAGAAGCCGTAACTTTTAAAGTGGTGCCATAGTTCTTTAAATGCATGATGGGCATGTGACCTAACTGTGGATTCTTAAAAGGGCCAAGCCCCCATCCTGAAGACAGGCACTTTGATCCCTAGATTCCTCCTACCTGGTGCACTTGCAGCTGTCACTGGTCTACTCAGCTCCTGGCAAGGCATTTGGCTGCCCGGGGGGAAGTGCCTGTGAGGGTCCTGACTTTGGCCCTGCAGGTCTAGAGTGGTCTCGATTGGCTTGGGACCCAAGAATGCTTTCTCCCTTACCAAACTGCCCCTGTGTTCAGACTCAGGAGATGAGTCTTAATGTTGCTTGATGTGTTTGTCTGGCAGATATTGTACCATCCACTGCAATCAGATCCATAGCAAGACTAAACATCCCAGTCAACATTCTTAAAGCATGAAGACCAAGTTAATATTTGGGGGGCAGGCAGACAGGAAGTGGCTTGAACACTGTACTGTATTTTCAGGGCAGCCAAAGTATGTTCACGCCATTTCTGCTGTTCCTCCTATGTCTGTCTCCACTCTGTGCTTTTAAAATAGCAAATAAAATAGCAAATAAATAAAGTGGGCAATGTACGGGGGGGGGGGGAGCGAGCCATGTACTCTCAGGTTGTGATCTGAGAATAAGCACAACACATGACCCTATTTTTGTCCAGAACATGTTGGAGGGGATGCTACCTGATAGTCAGAGCCCCCTCGGGGCCAGGCAGCCCCTCCTCCTCTCCCTAGACCCCACAGGTGAGCACATACCTTGTTTATTTTCAGGTAACATTTGCCAAAGGTTGCATCATAGCCAAATGCCCTTTGGTGGAGGTTTGTGGAAACAGCATCTCAGGGGGGGTTGTCCCCACCTCTCCCATCCCTCTTTCCACTAATTTCTCCTCGAGTTTCACATCATTGTTTCTTCACTTGGTCTCCAAAAGTAGATATTAAACTTTCAGCTAATGTGTTAGGCTGAAATTAGAGACACTTGTGACATTGCTGATTTATTTGGATAAAGGATAAGCAAGGTATTTGTAGATTACTTGGTTTAAATCATTGAGATTATATTGTTTCAAGCCTTGGCGATCAACAGCAACTCTGCCAGTTACAGAGCTGATCAAGATGTTTCAAATGGTAGAAATTGAGCAACTTTGAATTTTAGTTGAACTGGGAAGGAAAATGGACTGTGTTAAGTATTTTACATGGAATATTCATTGCAATTCTATAAGGCTGAGGAGGAACATCTTCTGCAGAGTTATAGTCTAAAATTAAAAAAAGTTAAACTGAAAACAATTTGAGGTTTTTTTTAACATACAAGAGCTGATTTATTTTCTTTACATCCCCATCATGATTCATAAAACCACTGCTTTCTTATGGAAGAGAAAGATTTCGTTCACTAAATTCTCTTCCAAGTAAGCATGGTATGTTTGTAAATTAAAAAAAAAATATTGAGGGAAGCTAACGCCCTCCCAAAAAATTGGGACCATTTTCCTCACATGGGTTGCTTCTGTGGTGTCACAATGGAACACAGTGAACACAGACACAGGATACAAAATTGTGGACACATTCCAATCAACACTCCCCCCTCCCAAAGTTTGCAAGCGTGTGTGGGTCCAACTCCTTGACATGCAAATCTAAGCAGGGGAGGACTGTTTTTCAAAAACTGGGCCCTCTCCTCAGTTTAAAATTTGTGGAAATCATGTGGTGTTTTCACTGACGTGTGCATAACTTCAGCATGACTTCAGGATCCCCTCGTAGAGGTCCATTTTATTGTGGATTGCTCATGATTCGTGCTCATGACGCTGTGGGGGCAGTCATACGCAATCACGCTTTCAGTACTGCTCTTCTGCCAGGGTGGTCATACCACTTCGTTTCCAATCAGTGTGTGTCCTATAACTTCCTGATGAAAGCCTGCAACTTTCCATACAACCAACATTTTTTAGGGGTAGGGGTGTCTTGCCTTTCTTGCGCAATAGCTCCTCCAGATTGCAGAAGCGTCAGAGAAGCATCACAGAACGACTAATAAAACAGGTGTATGCAAACAGCCCATCGCTAAGGCACTGTGATTGCATCAAGAGCATGTTGCAGACTACACCTGCCAAAAAAATCCACTGGTATGAAAAGGGGAGGGTGGGGAGGCAGGACGCTGGCTCTTTCTTCTCCCCAAACCATAGCAGGCACATATTTTTAAAGCTGCAAGGGCAGCTTCCGAGGCTGCAGCCCCACCGCAAAGAAAATTGTTGACTTTCTGCCGGGTTTTGTGTGATTTCCCCTGCTGCCACCACTAATTACCAAAGCAACGCAAGCTTCAGTGAAGGGAATTCTCCCATGAGTCCAAATGCCGGGTCACAGAATTGTAAGAGATGGCGAGACGAGTAGAGAAGCTTTGTGCAGAAAGCAAGCTAAATTGGACGGAGCGCATTTATGTGTGTGTGTGTGCGCGCACACACACTTGTGTGTTTGACGGTTGCCTGACATGCACAAAAGTATGTTGGTCTTTGAGGACATCGACTGAAAGCTAAATCCAAAAGAAGGAATGGCACTGGATTTTGCATGGTTGTTATAATAATTGCAGCAAGCTTATATACCTGATGAACATCAAAACACAAGCCGTATATTCTTCTTATTACATGATAATAATAATAATAATAATAATAATAACAATAATAATAATAATATCATCTGTATTCCATCATTCCTCCCAAAGGAGCCCAGGGCAACAGATAAATATATTAATTTAATTATAAGCTAATTAATAGTTTTAACAATTCTGTAGCCGTAACCCTTAACAACCACCAGAGCCATGGGAAATTATGGCCAAACAATGGCGGCTGCATGGAACAAAATGGCTGGCCTGGTGGACCTTGATGATGGGTCAGAGGTCCCGAACTAAGGGTTTGGGTAACAAAGCCAGAGATGGTGTGTCTGGTGCGTGAGAGGTGGGGGGCAGAGCCTGGCTGCTTCAGGTGCAGTCCTAATGCCTGCTGGATCCAGCCAATGGCCCATCTACTCCATCATCCTGTTTTCACATTGGCCAACCAGATGCCCCAAAGGAAAACCCAAAAGCAGAAGCTGAGCACAAGAGTCCTCTCCTTCAGAGAGAAGGCAAGGCTAGCATCTGACACCCCAGGAGCATCATCTCTAGTGCTGGAAATACAAGTGGTACCCCCTGGCAACGGTGGTTCTTTGGAAGTAGGCCACATTCACACCATACACTTAAAGAGCTATGATGCCATTCTAAATAGCAATGGTTTGGGAAGCTGCAGTTTGTTAAGGGTGCTGAGAGATGTTCCAGGACCTTCTAAATGTAAAGCAGATGCTCTATTACTGAGCTGCAGCCCTTCCTCAGTTTCAAAGACGGCCAGAAGACGTTTTGCCAAGGGAATTGCAGGAACAGGTCTCGGCCTTTTCAAGGTCTAGCTGACGCTGGGTTCCCGCTTGCCCCTCTGTTGCTGTGGTTTCGGCAGCCAGAGCATCAGGGTGAGGACTTCTTGCGTCTTCCGCAGGAAGGCCCATTGGCTACCCGTGGAGCGTTGGGAGGCAGAGACAACAGTGGCAGCTGCACCTTCGCTTTGCCAGCCATCAGATCCAAGGGCTGTGGGAGAGAGGAGGGAGAGGAGGAGAGCCGATAGAAAGATCTGCTGCTCTCATTCCAAAAGGGGAAAATTACAGAAGGGGAGAAGAGGAAAATTCCCTCCACCCCTCGTCCAACAGAATGGAGAGGAAAAATGGCCAAAATTCATCAGGGGCCTGGAGCATTTTCCAATGGGCTTCTTAGTTGGGGATGTGGGGAGAAAGTGACTGAGAGGAACAGAGCGTGAGATCTCCATGGCACTGCAATAAAACTTGAAACAGAGCTTCATCAGTCCCAGGAAACTGATCTGACATCAGATTCAGGAAAGACCAAAAGGTTGCAGCACAGGAGTCACTTACTGAATCTGCTGCCAGCGCATGTGGAGATGGCCACTCGCTGAGATGGTGTGAGAGCCAGTGTGGTGTAGTGGTTAGAGTGGTCCCGTCACTCACTCTCAGCCTAGCCTACATCACAGGGTTGCTGTAGGGAGAGCCATGCATCCCACCTTTTGCTCCGGTTTCCCTATTGGAATAGCAGTGTCGCGCCATTTAACTTTCTCACCTCACTTCCAGACAATCCAGCGTGCCCTGCTACCAGGAAATGCTGCATAATTGCTTCTACCTAGCAGGTAGGTGAGTGAAGCCACCTCTTTTTGTCCCCTGTGGCTGCTTCTCATGTCAAGGTGCCGTCTACATGCTGCAGGTGCCGAAGGCCTGACCCCAGGACTGACTCCAGGGATGCATCACCATGCCAGAGTGGAGGATACAACTTTGAAGCAAACATCCCCACCCCACAACCCTTCCCATCCGTAAGATCCTGAAGTTCAACCATGCACCATGGGAAACTTTGGGACATCAGAGCTGATCCATGCGCAATGCCAAGTTTACACGGATTTGTTCTGGCAGATGATGAACCACTCTTGCATTTTCATTGATGGTCATGTCACTACAACCAGATTATGTACCTGGACCTCAGGTGACATGGCTCTCATTTAAGCCAGAAGTGAGTATCCAACCAGAGTTATTCTGGAAGCCAAAGCTTCCTTTCTTCTTCACTTCACTTTCACACAGCCCCGGGTCAAGCCTTCCTTCCCCTACGCAAGGCAGTGTTGTCATCTCAGAATATCCCTTGGTGGCTATGCATAAGTCACACACCCTCCAGTTCAACAGATCTCTATAGACACCACACAAAATAGATGACCACCGTTTTCCCTGCTCTGCACGAACTCTTTGATTCCCTTGGTTATCCAGGGAAGGAAGATATTAAAGCCAGTGGGATCAACGGATTTAATTCGCAAGTATTTTTTTTTAATTAAACCAAGCTATTTATAGAATATGTACAAAAAAATTCCAATTCTTTTTTTTTTTAAAAAAAGAAATATTTTACACCCAATTCCCCCTTTCCAGCCTCCTGATCTCCCTCTTTTATTTGCATCTTGATACACATACAGACCAAATGATTTGAGAATATCTTTTTAGATAACCTGGATCTTTAAAATAATAAAAAAGGGAAAGGGAGAACAAAAGAGACTGAGGAACACCCTCTCGTCTGCACAGACCCCTGGAGAAGATTTCCCCCTGTATCTGACCACCTATTCTCACAGAAGTGTGTAGCAGGTGCCCTCACAGGAAAGGTATCTTCTCTGAAGTTTAAAGACATCTGGCCAAATATCTCCCCTGCAGGAAGAAGAAGAAAAATCATCTCTGTATCGCCAGCATCTTCTTTCAGTACAAGATTGTTTTAGGGGAGGTGGGGAGGGGAGAGAAGTGAGATTCCTTTCAGTGCCACAATCCACATCAATCAGGGAAGAAGAGGCTCCAGTGTTGTTCTACCAGCAATCCCAAAGTTCGTTCTCTGTCTCGCCCGGCTTTGAGTGCTAGGAGTTCAATACGCCACGGCTCCCGAGTCTCCTGGGTTGGTGAAAAGCACATCTGCTTTGGCGTTGATGAAGTAGGTGACGACGAACGAGACAATCAGAATAGCAATGCCCACGATAAGCGTGATGATCTGCGGAGAGAATGAGAAGGCAGAACAAACGACTGTTAGAAGAAAGAATGCTGTGGCCAAAGCCCTGGAGCCCAAAAGCAACTCTTGGAATTTATTTATTTTTGGAGGGGGTGGAGCATCTTTGAAATCGGGAGTGCATCTCTTGGGACGTGAGGAGAGTAAATCTATTGGGAGGGGACTCACAGAGGGAATTCCACAGGAGAGCAGAATTTTATTCCCCAAAAGACTCAGATGTGATTTTTTTTAAAGTGAAGGAGCTAGTCTTCATGGCTTGAAAGGAGGACATGCCTGCTGAAATCTCAGTAACCAGAGGGGCAGCAGGACAACAGTTCCACCATCAGCAGAATCCAGAATGAATTCTGCACAATTCTCCCTGCTTTTGCCTATTAGCACATTTTTTTACAGATGGCAGAAATCCAGCTTGCCCTATCCATTGGCCTCCCTAGAGATATGACCTCTGACCTCTGCTGGGCTGCCTTATTCAGAGTCTGCCTTGACCAGCTCTCCAAAGCAGAAGCCTCGCCTAGCAATGCTGCCCCAGATGCTTCCAACTGGAAATCCCAGGGATTGACCCCTACTCCTTCTGCATGCAAAATAGGGGTGGATACTGCTACCCAGAATTCCAAATTTTGCAGCAAACTGTCTTCCATGTGTGTCCTGGCTCTCACCAGTGGATTAAGGGCTGTCTGTCTTGGCATACGGTTTCTGCCGGAACCTTTAATGCTGAAATCAGGACACAGGCAAAAAGGGTTCAGATGCTGAGAAGATGATCCAACAAGTAGCACACACCTTTGGATCCCGTTAGATGGAAATTTATGTGGGCATCCATCTCTCTTGAGAGCCAATGGATTGCATCTCTGGGGGTGAAGTCAAATTGCTGCATTTGCAATTCTGAAATGACCTCTCTGGGGTGCAAGCCTGGGCAGTGTGTGTGGAGGTCTCACTCTTGTAGTCCAAAGGAAAGCAGAGCAATGCATTTGGCATCAGTATGGCTGCAGGAGTTGCTGGAGGGAGGTGTACAAGGTGCTATCTAACCATCTTAGGATTTGTGTAGTGTTAACTACCTTAGTTGCCTCTTCAACAGGCTGCTCCCACCGCCCACCCCATCCTGATTTGACCAGCCGCTCCACGATGCCTCTTTGGGACGCATGACACTTTGGTCCATCCATCCTACTCTAACTGGCAGTTGCTCTTCCCTGCCTGAGAGATCCCTTTAATATGAGAAGTCATAGCCTGACTTTTTGCATATGAAGTGCATGCTCTGCCACCTCCTCTGCACAGATATGGGACCTGGGCTCAAGCCTCATGAGCCCCCAAACTGTTGAGATGTCCAGAGAGGTCTGGGTCCAAGCTCTGCTTTCTGCACCTTCAGCAAAGAACCACTTTGCTTCCAGGCCCTTCAGCTGGGCCCAGAGACTCACCTCAAGCTGCTTGCTGGCCACGAGGAAGATCCGGGCGTGGAGCTCCTTCCAGCGGCTCTCTGTCCACGTGGAGTACTCAGTGGAGCCCCACTGCTGGAGCTCAAATGCCGGGGAGGAAGCCTGGCTGAAGCGGACCGTTGACATGACACAGTACGGCTGTCGGGGGGATGTGGCATTTGGGTACGGGGCACCCTGCACCCAAGAGTAGTCGTACAGCTGTGGAGAGAACACAGGGGTAATGGAAGCAGAGACTCAGGTGCAAGTTCCAGCCAAAGGTGGACTCCTAAAACTGTCAAAGAGTGTTGCTGCGAAGCTGGGGGTCTGGGACTTTCTGAACAAGGTGGGTTTTTGATGTTGTTGGAATGGTCAAAATGTGCTCTCTGTGAAGCCTGATGTCTGGGCTTGTCGCTTACAGTTCTTACAAACCTACAGTGGTACCTCGGGTTAAGTACTTAATTCATTCTGGAGGTCCGTTCTTAACCTGAAACTGTTCTTAACCTGAAGCACCACTTTAGCTAATGGGGCCTCCCGCTGCCGCTGCACTGCCGGAGCACGATTTCTGTTCTCATCCTGAAGCGAAGTTCTTAACTTGAGGCACTATTCTGGGTTAGCGGAGTCTGTAACCTGAAGCATATGTAACCCAAGGTACCACTGTACTGATTTGGGATGGCCGCACGTGTTTATTGCTATTATTCCACTTCTCCTCAGTAGAGCCCAAGGTAGATCAACAATACAGTTAACTTGGACCACAAGGGTGAGACACAAATGCAAAAGTAATATAATCAAAAGTGCTGCAGGCAGCAGAATAATATGTTGCATCTCGAAAAAGAGTGGGATGAGCAAACTCACCTTGGAGTTCTTGTTGAGCTCCTGGCACTGCTCCTTGGTCGCGTTCTCCTGCCGGGTGCCTGTGAGGTTGGCCAAGACGTACTGGACAATGTAGGTGGAGTTCACGGGGTTATTCACAGCGATGTAGTACTGGAGGGGTCCGTTTCCTGGGAGGAAATTGGGGTGGGAGAGGAGGGAAAGGTTTCAAGAGGGGCTGGGCAGGTAGAGGCACCGGGCCCTGAAGTCAGCATTGCCCACCCCAAAGGCCCACCTAGCGCAGCATCCCATTCTTGTGGCTGTTGGAAGGGACCACAAGGGTCATCTAGCCCAACCCCTTGCAACTCAGGAATCTTTTGCTCAACGTGGGGCTCAAACCCACAACCGAGATGCATGCTCTACCAACAGAACTATCCAACATGCCTACGGAAAGCCTGAACGTAGGACCTGAGTATGACAGTACTCTCATAACCTGTGATTCCCAGCGGCTGGTATTCAGATCCTGAGGGCAGGACGCAGTCCTCATGGCTAGCAGCCCCTGATAGCCTCACCCTCCAAGAATACATCTACATCCCTTTTGAGCCCATTGCTAAATCCAGCGACACTTTTAACTCCGCACTGTGTGGAAGTACTACTTTATTTTACCCTAAACCTCCGAACATGCAGCTTCATTGGGTGCTGCCGAGTTTTAGTATTACGAGGGAGGAAAAACTTTTCTCTCCACTTCATGTGCAACCCAGACCAACTTTACCCAGAACGGCTTTGAGCTCTGCCTTCATGATTGCCTGGAACCAGGGGTTGTTTGCTTGGATCAGGAAGCCGTACAGCATGCGTGTGACCTGGAAAGAGGACGAAGCATTGAGTCAGGGCCTCAAGTGCAGAACGCTGAGTTGGGGCCACTCAGAAGCAGACAGAAAAGGCTGGGCTGGCTCACTGGGAGACCTGGGTTCAGCCAGGAAGCTCACCATGTGGTTATTGGGGACCTGCTCTTTTGCCTAACCAGAACTGGAAGGAGGCTGTCTTACAGGACTTCATATCTGTAGAGGAGAATGGTGAGGAATTTAGTAAGCCTACCCATGAAAAAAGCAAAAGGGATGTTTCCAACCTGTCCCAACGGCTGCAGAGGCAGGCTTGAAAGGCAATGCTTGCCTGATGGACTAACAGCAGGGTGGGGCTGCTCAGAAATTATGGAGATGGGAATCTTTTTTGGTAGGGGGAGATGTAGGCACCTGACCCCTTCCTGCCTAACTAACTGAAGGAGCGTCTCCATCCCCATTGTTCAGCCCAGACGCTGAGGTCCAGCACAGAAGGGCTCCAGGCGGTTCCTTCACTGTGAGAAGTGAAGCTACAGGGAACCAGGCAGAGGGCCTTCTCGGTAGTGGCACCTGCCCTGTGGAACGCCCTCCCGTCAGATGGCAAGGAGATGAGTAACTATATAACCTTTAGAAGACATGTGAAGACAACCTTTTAATGTCTAATGTTTTATTATATTTTTTATATACGTTGGAAGCTGCCCAGAGTGGCTGGAGCAACTCAGTCAGATGGGCAGGGTACAAATAATAAATGATAATAATAATAATAATAATAATAATAATAATATCAGAAGAAATTCCACAAAGCACACATTCCATCCAAATGAGACTGATTGGTGCAACTGAACAAGGTGGGGTTGCTCTGTGCTAGTCATTGGTGGTCAGAGCACCATCCATACGGCTTCAGTCCGGATGAGGGGAAAGGACCCCCCCCCAAAAAAAGTGATTGTGGTGGTGAAGATGGCTGGTTCAGGGAGATGAAGCAATGCATGTTCTGTTGATGCAACATGGAGAGGGACACACATACACGATTGCATGCACACGCACGCACAAACACACAGACAGAAGGGGGGAAGGCCAGAACTCAGGCCTGGTACCAGGGCCCTGGACCCCTGTCTGCTCGTACCGTTGCCGGATCTGCCCGAACAGTTGAGGTGTTGCCACTTCCTCCTGCAAGTTGGTAGAGTGTGCGGGCAACCACAGTAGCCACATCTGCCAGGGACTGTAGGAAAGGGAGGAAGAGGGGCTCCAGGTTAATACGAGACGGGCAAGTTTGGTGAGTGCATGGCGCGCAGGCCAGCTACCCTCCTGCCTGTGCGCTGTTGGCATGTCTCTATGACAACCACCGAGAGCTCAAGACAATACGAAGTTACGATGACTCTCTCTTCCCTCCCCCTTCTCAAGTCTTTGGAAGGACAGATGGGAGCCGCTCCCCGCCCCCCGCCACGTCACAGCACACTGAACCTTAGCCGTGCCCGTCACATAATTCAGCATTTCCTCTGGGCTCAGTCCCTCCGGGTAGTTCATCTGAATGTTCTCCGATGTGTCGTAGATGCTTTGGTAGTAGCTGGAAGAGAGGAGAAGGCAGGTTGGCGAGGGCACAATGGGGCCCTCGAGAGCAGGCGGTGTCTGGAGCAGGTGCCAGGAGGCTTCTCCTGGGGGAGGAGAGGGGGGGAATCTAGCCTCCTCCTGCCCCCTTCCTCCTCAAAGCGTTTAATGAGGCTTCGTAATTAACTTGGCCCTTCTGCAGCTTTGCCTGTTTGATGAGCTCAAGGCCGTTTATTGGCAGGGGCGGGAGGGAGAAGAGAAGTCCATGCAACTCGCACCGGGAACACGCTTCTGAAGAAGTTCTGCCAACCTGCTTAAGGATGCCGGCAAACCTTGAGAGGGTGAAGGCCAAAACACAGGGGGTGGGGCAAAAGGAACAGCTCCTACCCATCCCCACTACCCAAAATAGCATGAATTCAAGAGGCCAGACCTGGACGTGGGCAGAGTCAGCTGCCAACAAGAAGAGGCACAGGGCCACTGGCAGAACGCTCTAGCACAGGGCTTCCCAAACTTGGGCCTGTTTTGGGATTACAACTCCCATCATCCTTAGCTAGCAGGACCAGTGGTCAGGGATTATGGGAATTGTAGTCCAAAAACAAATGGAGACCCAAGTTTGGGAAACTCTGTTCTAGCAGAAAGGCTGACGCTTTCCGAGTGGGGCAAAGGAAGCTGGGTAGTTGGTTGTGCTGGAGGGCCACAAATAATATATAAATAATAAGCTTTAGCAGAGGTAAAGAAAAGAGGGAGGAGAGAAAAGAAAAGGAGGAGTCCATGATCTTGGCTTGACTTAGATCCCTGAAGCTGGCAAAAGGGGCATGCTATGGGTGCTCATACACACACACCCCGCAAAAAACAACCCACCCACCCAACCAACCAGTTGTATCTCTGCAATTCTAATCTGAAATACAATGACCAGATTTGCTGCCTCTTCAGAAACGGGCTCAGCAACTGAAGCCTTGCAAAAGCACTCCGGGCCACATCATACTGCCTAAGCTGTTGAACCACCTCTCTGCAACCATTCTGCCCATTTTGAAGGAGGCTGTGAGAGAACGGTTTCTGCTCAGTGAACAAATTCCCAGCTAGGAGGCTGCCTGCCTTGTCCCTTCACCATGGCACCAGGCCTGCTGAGAGGCAGGTTCTGGGCATGGGGATGCAGCCAACCTTCCATGGCTTTAAGAGCAAAGTGGATGGATGATTCAGGGAGGGCATCAAGGCAGAGCAAAGGCAAGGTGGTAGCAGAAACTGCATGCGGGTTCAACACACACAGCTGGGCAGAAGCTGCTGACCAGCCTGCCAGATCCACAACCGATAAAGGGAAGTCCTACTTCATGCAGCACATAGTTAAGCTATGGAACTCCCTGCCACAGTAGGCAGCGATGGACACCCACTTGGATGGCATCAAAAGAGAATTGGGCAAATTCATGGAGGACAACTAGCCACAATGGCTGTGCTCTGCCTCCACCACTGGAAGCAGCAATGCTTCTGAATACCAGCTACTGGAAGCCACAGGAGGGGAGAGGGCTCTGGTGCTCAGGTCCTGCTTGCAGGTTTCCTACAGGCATCCAGGTGGCCACTGTGAGAACAGGATGCTGGACTAGATGGGCCCCCTTTGGCCAGATCCAGCAGGCTCGTCTTACATTCTTGTGACGAACTGGGAGCCAAACGGGGAGGGTTTTGCCTCCTTTCCCAGGGGTCTCTGGTTAAGGGTTGGGAAAGAACATGGCAACCATACGTTTGGGTGCGCACGGCACTGGCTGAAGGGCCCAGGGTAGAGCCCGGTGCCTGCAACAGCTGGATTTCCTCAGGCCACCACAAACACACTCCTTCCATGTTTGTTTTTGTTTTAAAGCAGTCCTTGAAGAACAGATGAGGCCCTCCCTGAACGCTCAATTGCTGTTTGCTAACCTCTGGCTGCCAGCCAGCTGCAGGAAAACATTGCGGTACAAAACTGGATTTCTCGTGGCTGTCAGAACAATTACGCTGCGCCTCTTTAATTACATAGCACACGTCTGCTCCCTCTGCCTCCCCCAAAACACAACTGCTATGCTCTTCCCAGCATCCTCGCCCACCCCCAGCCCTCTCACTCCTCGTGCAAAGGGGTGGCCATAACCCCCTCTACTGGCTACTGTCAGAAAAGGGTTTTGCAAAGACTCTTCTTCAACCTGTTTGGAAGCTGTGCAGCTTCCCAGCAGGTGAGTCCGCTATGCAGAACAGAGCTGACCAATGGGCAGGATCTCGCCCCATTTCCATGCAGCCCTATGGCACAGGATTTTTTAAAAAAAGAAGTCTGCAACTTTCACTAGTAGGGAAAAAGAGGTGTTTCAAGATAAAGAAAGGGAAGGAGAGACTCATTTGTTTAACATTACATCTCTCTTTTGGATCTTGAACACTATGGCCCAGCTCTGCCCGAGAACCTGCTAAATAACTTCAACTTTATTCTGGAGTCTGTCCACCGCTTTATACTGGGTGGGTTATTATTTATTGTATTTATAACCGAAAGGTTCTCACAGCAATGCACAACAGGATATTAGTAGGCTATGAGGGCTCAGCGATATAACAATATATCATCCCAAACCGGTTTGATTTTCATATTGCAATATCAGCTTTATAATTACTGATCTGGCAATATATTGCGAATCATTATGTGTGTGTGTGTGCGCTATGCAAAAATCGCAATGTAGGGAAACCGTGAAGCCAGCCAATGCCTCTACATAGCTCCATCCTTATATCAGACATCGTGATATATTTGTTTATCGTGATGTTTAACGGGCGATATATTGTGATGCTGAAAAACAGATAATATATGGCCATATAGGCTACATATCAACGTAACATAAAACCGATAACTAATCTGGCTTTAAAAGATCCGTTCGATAGTTGTCTCCCAAGGCCTGAAACAGGGGAAGCACATGCCTTCATGTGATGCTAGAAGCCTTGTAATTGGGAGGTGGGGGAAATGAACTGAGGGAGTTGTGACAGAAAAGGCCCTGCTCTTGTGTTGCTGCATCGCTAACCAGAGCAGTCCGTGGAACTACAAGCTGGGCTTCCCACACTGATCTTAAGGCCCAAGGTTGACAGGGAATGGGAGAGGCGTTCTTTCAAACACTTGGATCACAAGCCCTGTAGGGCTTTATACACCATGGTGAACACCTTACAATGGGTTTGGTAGTGAAGAGGCAGGCAGTACAGCTTGTATTAGTGATTAACGTTGGAATATAGGAAGCTGCTTTATATTGAAACAGACCACTGGTCCACTAGCTCAGTGTTATTCACCCTGATTGGCAGCTGACACAGACTCTTCAGAGGATATTCGCAGCGTGGAGATGCCGCAGGTTCAACCTGTGGCCTTCTGCATGCAGAGCACAGGTATCCACAGAGATGCACCATCCCTTCCCATGGAACAAGATTCCATTCTGCAGCACCAGCCAACAGTCTGGCAGCCACATTCCGCACCAGAGGCAGCCTATGGACTGTCAGGGGCAGCCCCAAGTATAGCACACTGCAAGCATGAGGTTACCAGAGGACATACTACTGCGGCAAGGCTAAAGCCATGATAGGTGGCAGCTGGCTAACAAGCCCGAGCTAGAAACAGACACTCCTATTCTGTCTGCATTGCAAAATGCCCTTTGGGCTGCCCATGGGCCACTCTTTGGAAAAAGCGAATGGCTTGCAGGAAGAATTAGGAGTCTGTGTGAAGCATCATGACCAGGGCCTCCGGACAAAGGTGTATCCAGGCTCCCTTGCACCCTTGGCAAGCAGCTGTATTGGTGCCCCCCGTCCCTTGTGCCCCTGGAAAGAAGATGTATCGGTGCCTTTGAAGCTTGGAGAGGCCATGGACTGGAAACTCAGAAAGTTTGCTTTCTGTTGCCTTTTGTGCTCTGTCAGTGATGACTTCGCAGCCATGGGGTTGGGTGTGTTCTGCTTTGCCTCCCTTCTTTGTCTTACACATGGTCCACCTACCTGAACACATGGATGGGCAGGCCAGGCTTCTAGCTACTCCGAACCAGAGTGGAGAGGTGTGATTTTTGCGCACACACCCTGAGCCTACATCCTTGGTGCTGCCAAGGTACGGCCCTGCCTCCAGATTAAGAAATGAAGGTTTCCCAGGCTGCCGAGGGTTTTCAGCAAGGCAGCCTGTGAAGAGAAGTAGGCAGCAGGGGTTTCTGGAGGGCTGGAAACCGAATTGGACAAACAGAATTCTAACTGAAGTGCTACAAAACTCGTTGGGAATGCACCAGGGTGGGAGAAGGAAGAGCTTTAGGAAAGCAGCTCTCGCGCACAGCAACTGCCGCAACTCTCTTTAAGACATTCCCTAGCCAACCCTCCCAACATGAACAGTTTGCAGCCAATGTGAAGGGCAGGGCTCATTGGGCCGCTTACTGGTTCCTGAAGGTGGAGCGGTGATCGGCCAGCACCACGCCAGGGATCTGCCTGGCCCGCAGGAATCGCTGGAAGGAGGACGGAGGGAGGGGCTGGGAGGCGCCAATCACTTGCATGGTGATGTTGGTATCTCCGCTGCTGTTTTTCAAGGTCTGCACCATGTTCTGAACGCTTTCCTAAGAAGTAAGGAGGAGGCCGGTGACGACATTCTTTTTGAGACCACCTTATGGTTATGAAGATGCATTTGTTGCAAACCCGACTTGAGGTGCAGCATTTGCAGGGAAAAGGCTACATAAATAAACCCGACTTGACAACAGCAGCAGCAAAGCAAACACAAGCTGTCTGCTGCAGCTTAGAGCTGGAAAACGGCCTCCGCTCACCCAATTTAGCAACTGCAAAACCAGACACGTTGACGTGATGGAACTGTCATTTATATAGCATGACTGGAGGTCTCGCAGGTCTAAAAGGACAAGTCCCTGCCGCATGGGCTTACAATGCAAACTTTGGACACGGGACACAATTCAGTTCCATTGCACAGACTTTGTTTCAGGACGTGGTGAGGACCAATGGGCCAAGTCTAAGGCTTCAGGGGGGAAAGGGATTACAAGGAAACGGGAGATTTGGCATCATGCAACTGTTCTCAGAGGCATGGGAACAAGGGTGGAGTCTTTTGAAGGCACAGGGGACCTCCAGGGTGCCAAGGGTAAAAGGCCAGACAGGGCAAGGCCACAGCGGGCTCCGAAGGCAAGGACCAAGGTGCTTGTGCTGGGTTCAGGCACAGGCAGGAAGCCAGAAGGAGGGGAGTTGCATGTCTGGTGTTCGGAGAGGGGTGAACCAATGGACAGGCATGCGGGGGATGAAGGCAAGACAGAGGAAGGCCAGACAAAAGGAGACGGCCGCAGCTGAGGGGAAAGACAACCAGAGCATGAGGCAGAGCTTTTGCCCTTTGACCAACATGGCCACACAGACGTCAAGAGCAAAGCAGGCAATGCTTTGGGGATGACTGCGGAAGGCAGTGGCCTGGCAGGAGAACAAAGCAGGTCCCCACCCCACCCTGCACAGCCTAATTGCCCCTCAGCGCCACCTGAGAACCAAAAAAAGAGCATATTGCACCCTTACCTCTGTAGAGTGGTTCTTCTGCGATACAGGATCTGTGTGCATCCACAGATCGAAGTTATCCATCAGCGCAACCTGCAACAGAAGGAGCACCCGTCATCCCACTTGGTGGCAGCAGTATAGTGGTAACTTAGGCTGTCTGGGAAGCAGGCAGAAAGACACCCCCCCAAGAAAGCCTGACCAACAGGAGCTGAAACAGGGCCTAACAGATGGAAATACAAATGGCGAGGGTTTGCTGTCTGGGCAGGAAAAGAGAGTTGGTTTTTTTACCCCCCAGAGTGGGAGAAGCAAACGGCCACTCTCAACGGCTTATCTAGCACCACTGTTTGCAAAGAATTTTGGACTAGAGGCCCTTAAGTGCTACTCTGGACTGAGCAAGAGAAAGCTCTCAGAATCAATGAGCACTTCTTAATTATGCCTTAACTGTTCCGAGCTCCTGGGTTTAAACTCTTGCTTCGCAAATTTAAATACCCATTGGTGGAGTTTGGAAGCGTCTATTTTTTTTAAAAAGGGAGTAGCCTAGTTAAGCCAGCCCTGCTTTAGGTGGTCACTTTGGCCTTGAGAACAACATGGCATTCAGCCCAGTTGCCTCATCCTTCCACCTGGACTGTTTGCATCCTGCCTTTCCTCTGTGCTGGAACGCAAGGCGGCCGAGCTGGGATGTGCATGTCCCCAAGTGACTTCCCATCCTGCCACTCCCAGGACACAGGTACATCATTGCAAGACTACGACATTATGTCCCTTCACACATGCCTTGGGACCCCTGCATGCCTTTAAATAACCAATGAACAGTTATTTGAGAGATGGAGAGAAGCACGGGGCCAAATGAAAGAGAGGGAGGGCTGGAGGAGAAGGGGGAATGGGGCCAGGGGGCTTCAGGGATTGACAGTAAGCCCCCTGCAGGCAGGTGGACCTGAACTCCAGCCTGCATGAAGACAGACTGCCCTTGATGTTAGCAAACTATAAATCAGGATGTTTCTGACAGATGTGACACACTGGAAGGCCTTTGGGGGTGGGGGAAGTGTAAGGAAGAAATCATTTTTTGTGTGTCTTTGCTGTGTGAGATGCAGGTCAGATGCGAGCCACCCGCTGCCACAATTTGTGTCAGAGCCTTCTCATGTTGCAGACCTCATATTCTCTGGTCCTTTTGTTTTCTTATTTACTTAAATGCATTTATACACTGCTTGACTGTGGAAACGACAACCCTCAAAAAGGTAAAACAATAAAATCAAGAAATCCTTCCCTGCTCCGCAAATATTATTAGTTAGTTGGCACCCGTATGCCTAGAAATGCAGAATCCACACTCTGGGACATGGAATTGGGTAAACATTGCAGCAAGATGGAGAAGGAAAAGCCACTGAGTTTATAGCAGAGGAAGAACTGAACTGAACTTCCCTACCTGACTCAGCTCCAGAAAGGAATGGATGTTTTCCAGCTTGACTGGGAAGTGGCCATTCTGCATGTCATAAACCATCCGTGAGCTGCCGATGTAATCAAAGGTCTCCTTGAGAGGGGAAGGCAAATTCAAAAACGGTCACAAAGCAAGCTTTGGCCACCCAGACTCAGCTGCAACCATAATGATTGGAAGAAGATGCAGCATTTATTATAGAGCACATGGGCACTGCTGCAGCAACCACCTTGAAATCAGGCTCGTATTTACACACCCATCTTGCAGGTGGTAGAGAGAGGGAAGGAGGGGGTTTACCAGAGGCCAACTATATGGCAGATCTGAACTGGAGCATCTAGGTTCACAGCTCAGTCTCTTAACCACAATTAAGGTACTGTCCTTCCCCCCTCTGAATATGCAGCGCAGCAGGTAACGACACCAACCTACCTTGCGGGATCATTGTAAAGTTTATTGTGCGAAGTATTTTGAACAGCCTAACAGTGCCAGATACTGCATCAAAACTACTGGTTTCCCAACAGCTAATTCTGCAGGCTTTGGAGGGAGGTCCTCATTGCCAATTCTCACCCCCTCCCCTCCCACTGCTCCCCCACTGGGTGGGGAGATCATATGGAGACATCACAGGACTTTGGAAGCCACCGCAAAGTTGACAGCGCTGAGCAAATGAGGCCCTTCGATGTTGATGCCTGGAGGGGAACATCAGCTGCTTACCATCGGTTCCCCCTCTCTCCCATCTGCCCCCTCCCCTTCCAAATATCCTCTTGGCTTCACACAGCTGCCAGCTCCCAGAAATTAAAACTGGTTTGCTCCAGAGTGCGCATATATTTTTAATCCTTTCCATGTGACGTTTAATGTTTGGAGGCAGCGGGGCCTCCACATACCCGTTGCTGGGGGACAAAGAGTTGGAGCCGGCCTTCCTGCCGTGCTCTGGCACTTCCTGGGGAGTATCTGGTTGGTTGTTGCTGCTGGTGAGAAGATGCCGGGATAGGTGGACTTTTCCACACACACACCCCATGCCTCATCCACCAGGGCTAATGTTAAGATGCTAACAAGCGTTGATGTTAACACCCAACCTGGTTTCCACCATTCTTGGCCAGCTAAATCTCAGCCAAGGGAAAAATCTCCCCATTCCCAGAATGAAAGGGGAAAAGGAAGCTACAAGAGTCTACCCAGGAAAGAAGCCTCAACAGAGAGAACCATGTACTTTCATTTCAACTTATTAGCAGCTCCCTGGGGTCTTTTGGTTGCCATTCCAAGATAATTTTATACGGTTGGGGACTGAACCTGAAGCTCTCTCTGTGTATAGCAAATGTTCTACCACTGAGTTATGCTCCCCAGCACCACATAGAGGGCTGCCCTCCAATTGGGAGTGGCTTTCCAGAACCCTTTTAAAGGGAGAGGCCAGAGATTGTTTTTTTCCAAGTCAGATCATTGGTCCATCTAGCTCTCAGAATCTCAGCTCTAACTGGTGGAGCTGCCTGGGGGCTCAGGCAACCGTTTTCCCTAGCTTTGCTGCTTCTTTGTCTTCTGTTAGTATGCAGTTTTAAACGCCATTTAAAAAAAAAGAAATTTAACAAAATAAGGAAGTATCTATGATACTGAGTTACCAGGTCCTAAAACACTAATAAAGATCCCAACAAAATCTATGTCCAACCAAAAGCACTCCAAGCAAGTCATACTCAGAGTAGAGCAACTGAAATTCATGGGCTCGTCAATATCAGTGGGTTTGCTCCAAGTATGACTATCACTGAATGCCATCCTTCGAATTACCTTTCATCTGCATTAAGTGTGCTCTATTGAATTTTCTTTTCCTAACTGAGTGTTTCAGCTGCAATGATTTTCACTTGAAAAACTTTTACGGAGAAATTTATGCAATGTGTTAAAATTAAGTTGACATACGTTTTAGTTCTTGATTACTAAATATCAATCAAAGCAAACATGCTAGATCAGATCCCGACAGATTAAGAGCATCAGAACATTTTCTGCAAAATCCACATTGCTGGCTAATTCCCTGGAGGGGCTGGGCTTGGGTACATCTGCCTCACTGATCATTTGTTTCCCTGAGGATAAATACATTTATTCCAGGGCTCAATGGCTACATTTTCCAGCTGAGAATAACAAAGGCCACCAATGCGATTCCTATTCCCAACGTAGAAACTGGGAGCGCTCTTTCAGCCTGAAGTACATCGGAAGCTGCCATACCCTGAGTCTGATTATCCTTGGTCCATCTAGCTCAGTATTGGCTACACTGACTGGCAACAGCTCTCCCAAGCAGTTAGAAACTTGGATAAATAAGCTAACTGCCAAATGGCATCTTAAACCCAGATTATGGTCACCACAATGGAATGTCTAAGTGTCTTTTTTTTGCAATGAAATTTGATGATGATGATGATATGTTTTTTCATTCCTATACTGCTTTTCTATTTTAAGGAATAAAACTCAAGATGGTTTACAACACATTAAAACATCAAATAAAACAATCCAGAATTCAAGCTTCACGGAAAATATTTCAGATCCTACCCTAAGTGACATTTTGCTCTCCCCATCTTTATTTACCTACTTAATTTATATAGCTGTCCCATAGCAGAAGAACTCTAGGAAGTCAGTGTGTCAGACTAGGACCTGGGAGATGAGGGTTCAAATTCCCCCCCAGTCATGAAGCTCACTGGGTGACCTTGGGCCAGTCACAGCCTCTTAACCTACCTCACAGGGTTGTTGCAGGGATTAACTGAGGAGTGTGGGGTGAACCATGGACTCCTTGGAGGAAAAGGTGGGACATAAACGCAGTGAATAAGCTCTTCTGCTTGCCTGCTTACGAAAGCTGGAAGGGCCAGCCAGATGGAGAGGTCAGTTGCCAACCTGGCATCCAGAGATCTCCACGTGGTCACAACTGGACCCACGCCAGTCACAAAATGCACCTGGGGAATTTCTAACACTGTCTATAAGGCCAGAGGGGCCTTTAGGAATATAGGAAACTGAGCCAGATCCTTGGTCCATCTAGCTCAGTGCTGCCTACACTGACTGGCAGGGGCTCTCTAGGATTTCAGACCGGAGTGTCTCTCAACTACACCTGGAGTTGCCCTTGGGGATTGAACCTGGGACCTTCTGCATGCAAAGCAGACCCTCTACCACTGCCCTTTCCTGCCAAACCTAAGCTGCTGGGGCCTGGACCCGGGCCCTTCTGAAGGGAAGCTCCTTCCTTCCCTTGCCATGAAAAAACAAGACCTGACCTTACCCCCTGGAAGAAAACAAACATGATGTTTTTCGGCAAGGTCTGAACTCCGGGGATCTTGTGGATGGCTTCGGCTGCCGCCAAGAGAGTCACAAAAGACGCCACGGCACTCTCTGCCCCAGGGGCCACATTCCAGAAGAAAGAGTGGCTGTCCATCTGCCAGAAGCAAGAGAGAGAGTCAAAAAGGTCCAAAAATTCACCGTTTCCATTGCCCTGTCTGCATGCATCCTTTGGGTCTCCAAGGACAATTCAAAGTGCTGGCTTTAATCTTTAAAGCAGGGGTAGGAAACCTTAAGCAGGAGCCTTGAAACCCGCCACAACAACCCCTCACAGGCCATTGTGTTTAGGGCAGACGGACTCCTTAATTTTTGTGTCTTACCTCCCTCTCCCCTGGTATGTTTATCAGCTCCCAACATATATTTGGCACTTGAAACAGGGAAGTGGAGATGGCTTCCCGATAGGACCAGCTAATCAATATATTTGAAAGTCAAACTAAAGCATCCACATAGTTGTGAATCTTATTTAACAGCATTAAGGCACATTTCCTCTAAGAACAAACACCACACAGAGTGATGAGGCATCAACAACTAAGGAACTGCAAATGCAATTGTGAGAATGGGAAAGTTGAGCCATTGTTCATTTTTTATGCTCTTTGAACAAAAGACATTTGTGACTGACAACAGTTGACCTCTTAAGAGGGATAGCCTGCTAGCCTGCTTCTCAGATCCAGTGCCGATCTGGGGTGGAGGGGTGGCGTTTGCAGGGCAGATGACAGGAAGGCGAAGCTCCACAGTAGGTGCAGAGACATCCAGTCATGCCACAATGGATCTCACCCAGTGTTTTCCTGCAGCTGGATTCTGAGATTCTGAGCTGTTTTACTATATCCTATGCAACATTTTATTAATTTGATGTCTTACGATCACGCACAATCTATTTTTGTGTTAAGCTGGAAATTCCACTCAATAAAAATAAAGGTTATGCCCTGAAAGGCAGTCTATAAATTCTGTCTGTCATAAACAGAAGAACAATTTCATGGAAGGTGGCAGTTTTTACATTTTTAAGGAAACATCTTTAAAAGGGTCATACTGTGGATTTCCAAAGTGATGTAGTATTTAGGAAATAATGATAGTTTTCTCATTTTAAACCCAAAGCAGCCCGTTTAAATTACTTCAGTGGGCGTTATCTGTATACGGACCATGTTTAACAACAATTTCCAATTTGAAACTTGATTTTGCCCAATCTACGCAATAATCCGTTTTACATAACTATTAGAATTCTGTGTAGCTACAACCCAACGTCACGTGAGAAAATCCTTCTGCTCCCTACCAGTCAGTACTGTGCAACAGCTGAGTTTTGAGAAAGGGGCGGGGAGAATGAGCCAATTCATAGCTGACACAAGGGGCAGCCAATCAGGGCTGCGTAAATATGGATTCTGCTCTAAGCAAGGAGAGCCCCCTGCCTCCGCATGTGCAACACCTACCCGACTGGAAGCAATGACGACACTGTCCGGGTCCATCTTCTCGGACTCATTGATGGGCTTCACTGTACTCCACACGTTGTAATCTTTGAGAGGGTCACAGACGACCTCTGGAACAGAGGGAGAAAGTGACCTCAACAAAGCGCAAGGAGCACAAACTGGCTGGCTGGTCATTCCTTGGCCTGGGAAGACTGACTGACCCCCACCATGTGCTGCGGCCTGCCTTTGTGGTGTCACCCCTCAAAGCAGCTTTGAAACAACCAATTGAAACTTTGAAATTATATTTGACGTCTAGCTGGGAGAAATGAGATTGAAGTCTTATCCAACTTATGCAGCCAGGATCCCCGCCCCCCTTTTTAAAACACCACCACAATCTGAATCCACAATTTTCTGCATCAGCCCTCCCCAACCTGGTGCCCTGCAGATGCTTTGAACTCCAACTCCCATCAACCCCAGCCAGCACAGTCACACTGACTGGGGCTGAGGCTGATGGGAGTTGTAGTCCAAAACATCAGCTTGGCCAATATAGTTCTACATGCAAAATATGCATGGTGTCAGTGAGCTTGTGAACCTGCCTCCCTAGAGCAACAGAAAACAAATCTGCTCTGTCTTCTAAGAGACAGCCTGTCAGATATTTGAAGGTAGCTGTATCACATTGCCTCTCAACATTTCTTCCCTAGGCTGAACATGCACAACTCCTTAACTCTTTCCTCATGGGGCTCGCAGGCCCTTCGCCATTTTTGCCACCCTCCTCAGAGCACCTTTCAGTCTGCTGGTATCTTCTTTCAACCGCGCTGCCCAGAATTTCCTGACGCACAGCTTGGCGGTTGTCAGCCTTGTCTTGGGACACTTCCCCCCACACCGGCCCTGTTGTCTCACCTGGGTTGAGGCTGAAGGTGCTCTGGATGGCGCTGCGCCGCATGCAGGTGACGGTGCTGGTCACGGCGTGCATGTGGGAGGAGAGCTGCATGGCACACAGTGGGTACTGCGGGTCAGAGCCGTTGGCAGGGAGGTTGTAGGTTTGGTAGCACTAGAGGAGGGAAACAGAGAAGGTGGGACACTTCAACAGACTCATTTGCATGTGTTCCTTATGGTTGTATTTCATGGTCTCCCTTTGCTCCCAGGAGGCTCTTTGCTCCAACACAGTCTTCTGTGGACAGAGGCAGGGAGACATTTCTCCCCCTATTTAGTGTCCTGCAAAACTCCCGTGCCACATCCCATGCTGTTCCAGAGGGCTGCAAGTTAGGTCCGCAAGCTGTGCATATTCCATCAGTTTAAGTTGCCATTCTTTGTTAGTTGGGACCTCGCTTGTTTTCCATTTTGGGGCTAACAAAACATGGGCTGCAGTAGTAGCATACATAAATAAACTTTTTTGACACCTGGGAATTTCCATCTGAATTATCCCCAGCAAAAAGGACTCTGGTTTTTTGGAGAAAGTACTTTTAAACACTTTTTTCTATTCATTATAAATTATTTCCCAATACTCGTTTACCCTTTTACAAGTCCACCACGTATGAAAGAACGTACCCTTGACCTCACTGCAGCTCCAGCAGAGGGCTGCGATCTTCTGGAGCTGATTTGAGATGGGGGAAGCACAGTGAGCTACTGAAGGAAGAGGGAAATCAAAGGCAAAAGATTGCCTTTCCTTCACTTTATTTCTCTCCATAGAAGAGAAGACTGCTGTGAACATTAATAACACCACCACCAATTTTATTAGTTGTACCACGCCCATCTTGACTAGGTTGCCGCCTCCCCCACAGTACCTTCTTAATGACCTCTGTTTCATTCTCATCTTGGAGGAGGAAGATGGGGAATCCAAAATCCATGTAGGAAAGGCCACTGCCGATGGGGTTCCACACGGTCATGTTGCAGTGAGTGTATTCAGGGCCATAGCTGCTGTTGTAGACACCTGAAGAAAAAAGTGGGAAGAGTCAAGGCACCGCTGAATCAGTCTCGTTCAGAAGGAAATACCCATGTCGCCTCAAAAAGGGCTGTCTAGTAAACAGCCATCTGTATTGTGATGTACCAAGACATTTTCTGGTGGTGATTGTTAAGCCTCTTGCAGCGACAGTCCCAGCTGCCCTAGTGTCTCAAGAACAAAAGGGTCCCTGACTGCTGTTGGGTAAACTGCTCCTAGAATAGGACAGGGTGAGTGAAACTATCTAGTGACAGAGGATTAGGAGGGAACAGGGGCCGGGTGTCATGCCTATCCCTGACCTGGTACCAGGCATGAAGCCTTTAGAGGGTGACCTGCAGATCAAGGACCTTGAGGAACAGGCAAAGTCCCCCAGATCCAATGCTGAGGATCCCTTTGAGAGACTTTCTGGGTTTTTTTTTATATATATATAATTTTTTTATTAATTTACAACAAAACATACGTAAAATTTCACATCCAAGTTTCACAAATTGCTTCTTTTCTGGACTTCCTTCAGCTTCTCTGTGAATCATCCATAGTCATTATTTTAAATACGCATTTCGTAATTTATATTGTTATTATTTATACCCTTAATTTCCTTTCTCTTTAGACAATACTTCTTAGTTTTTCACAGTGCTTTTTTAAACCCCTCTAGCGTTATCTGTCCCTCACTTATACTTTCCAGGTATTCCACAAATTTCCCCCAGTCCTCGATGAACCTTTGGTCTCTTAGGTATCTAATTTTCCCAGTCAACCTTTGAGAGACTTTCTGGGTTGAAGAACCACTAAAACGGTCAGAGGAGGAGGTACAGCTGTCCCCCCCCAGTCCTTGAGAATGCCAGTGCCAAAAGCACACAACCAAGACTGTGATGTTGACCCACTGTCATTTGCCCACTCATGAGTAAGCAACCCTGATACTCCTTCACTCCCAGCAGCTGTTTTTAGGGTGTGTTTAGGAGGTTGGGGTATATAAGGTCTCCCTCTTGAGCCTTTCAGCAGGCTTCTGGCTCCTGCTTTCCAATTCTAATCTCCCTGCCTTGCTATATCCTTACTTTGTCTGAACGCCCTGTGACACTGACCTTGGGCTGTTGCCAGACTTTGCCTCTGGATAATATCAGGACCTAGACTGATTCTCTGTGGTTTGCCTGGGCTGTGCTGCATCTGCAACCCTGCTCTCATTGGTGATTACTTTGGCAAAAGGCTTAAATCTCCTGTTAACCGGAGGACCCCCTGGAGCCTGACACTGGAGGAGGCAGCGAACTACAGGAAAGAGGAATTGGATGTTGGGACAAGAAGAAGGCAAGAGGAAAGGAGGAGAAAAGACAGGGGGGAAAGTATGCTCAGATGCCATGGAGGTGAATGCGGCTGGAATAAGAAGAGAAAAAGAATTGCCTAAGAGGCTGAGCCTTTTAAGCAAAAAAATCTTAATTCAGAGCTTAGTTTTGCCTTAAGGTAAGCCCCTCCCTTCTCATGCTCATCACACCTACAGTGATGATGCTGACTCAGGACTGCAATAAGTCTACACACTTCTCATCAGCCCCAGCATCATGTGGCTGTTCTAACTGAGGCCAATGGGACTTTTAGTCCAAAACATCTAGAAGACACCAGGTTGACAAAGGCTGGTCTACATCAAGAAAGCACTATAATGACATTAGGTAAGGCTAGTCAAGGTATCTGAAGCTCAACATCAAAAAAACGAAGATCATGGCCACTGGTCCCATCACCTCCTGGCAAATAGAAGGGGAAGAAATGGAGGCAGTGAGAGATTTTACTTTCTTGGGCTCCATGATCACTGCAGATGGTGACAGCAGCCACGAAATTAAAAGACGCCCGCTTCTTGGGAGAAAAGCAATGAAAAACCTAGACAGCATCTTAAAAAGCAGAGACATCACCTTGCCAACAAAGGTCCGTATAGTAAAAGCTATGGTTTTCCCAGTAGTGATGTATGGAAGTGAAAGATGGACCATAAAGAAGGCTGATAGCCGAAGAACTGATGCTTTTGAATTATGGTGCTGGAGGAGACTCTTGAGAGTCCCATGGACTGCAAGAAGATCAAACCTATCCATTCTGAAGGAAATCAGCCCTGAGTGCTCACTGGAAGGACAGATCCTGAAGCTGAGGCTCCAATACTTTGGCCACCTCATGAGAAGAGAAGACTCCTTGAAAAGACCCTGATGTTGGGAAAGATGGAGGGCACAAGGAGAAGGGGACAACAGAGGACAAGATGGTTGGGCAGTGTTCTCGAAGCTACCAGCATGAGTTTGACCAAACTGCGGGAGGCAGTGGAAGACAGAAGTGCCTGGCGTGATCTGGTCCATGGGGTCATGAAGAGTCGGACACGACTAAACGACTAAACAACAACAAGTCAAGGTATCTGGCTGGAAATCTAGCCAGCCAAATGCTGCTGTTTTCCCCATCCTGTCCAGTATGAACCCATGTGAGCCCCTCAGAGGACTTGCAGCAGGAAGAAGTCCCTTCTCCACAAATTAGCGTAGCCCACAAGCAAGTCTCTCTCCCCACCGCCACCCAGCTCCTTCCTTACCAAAGCCATCGTTGGGGCACCGTAAACCAGGAGAGAATCCTGTGTGGAGACTGGGTTTGGAGATGGCTACAGCGAGGCCAGAGATGCGGGAGCTGCCCTTCAGCTGCTGCATTACATCACTGTCGAGAAAAAAAACACAAAAATGATGAACAGACCTTCCGGGGGCGGGGGGGCTGTTTTAGATTTTTAGCTAGCTTTTGCTTGCCTACAGCACTTAAGTAGCCAAGCACAAAAGGGGAGACTTCAAACAAAAAACATGGTATCGTGTGTAACAAATCGTAGAAGGAGAAAGAGTTTAGTCACATTCTGTCCCCCCCCCCTTAAAGGGAGAAGCAATTTTAAGTAACTGGAATGTGTAACTTCCTCCTTATCTATTTAATGCTTTGCAGAATGACAGGAAGTCAAGGCTGCACTTGGGTGTTAAATGCCATCTGGTCCTGATAAACCATCTTCATTCATTTATTTTTCCTAATGAAAAAGAGTTTAATCATTAACTCTCTCCTTCCCATCACCCATACTGGCATGAACTCTTCAACCACACCACCCTTTTCTGCATTCCCCATTTTCTTTGGCCGAAGGGCCACTCCACACACACACACACACACACACACACATGCTTACACACACAGTCCCTCGAGAATCTGAAGAGTGTGTGCTGTGAAAAATTTCTACGCCAAGTCCTTTTTTTCAGCTACTCCCACAAGAAATACCACATTGCCTATCACAGGATATTCACATGACCACAACTGTCTATGTAGTGCACAGAAACAACACAGGAAGCTGAATTTTACTGAGCCAGTTTCATCTGTCCATCTGCCTCAGCAGTCTTCCAACCATTTCAGACACACCTTTAAGCCTAATCATGCATTTGGGGAACCAGTTCTTAATTTTTTTTGCCATCTATCTGTATGGTGGTAGTGCTGCTGTTGCAACTCACGTTAGATCAGGCCGCAATCAGGTACTTGGTCCTGACTCAGCAGATGAAGAGTAGTGATGTAGCTCAGCGCTGCCTGCCATAACATGCTTTGCCTCCCTAGAGTTTCAAGCAGGAGTCAAGGGAGATACGCCCGATCTGCACATGCTTGGGACTGAACCCTGGACCCTTCTGCATGCAAAGCAGCTGTTCTACCCCTGAGCTCCAGCCCAGACAGCCCAAAACTCACATTATTAAATGAGATCTGGTACCATGCAAGATCACACACAAACTTAAAAACAAACTCAACGCAATGAGAATTGAGAACAGGAGAAGATAAGCTGTGAAAAGAAGGGGTTGGAAGCAGGCGAGGGGGAGAGAAGATGTGAAACATCTTGCATGCAAGACAAATATTTCATTCTCTGCTGACACTGATCTGCTGAGTATCAAGGCTGCCAGAGACCCAAGAACAGGCGGAAGGGACACATGGCGGAAACACTGCTAAAGCCCCATGTTGGGCAAAAGATTTCTGCATTGAAAGAGGCTGAAAGAGGATGACCCTCATGGTTCCTTCCAGCCCAGGGGCCTCTCTGAGATTTTCTAACAGAAACAAGAGATACAAGCACAATAAATAAGTTAGGCACTTTTTGTGGGGGAAGCGGCAAGGGGGAATGGTTCATTACCCGGTGAAAAGATATCCATCTAGCAGCACCATGTAAGGGGCATGTGGCCCATCCTTCAGCACCCAGTTCAGGTCAGATTTCTTCTCCACTACATGGATGACTCCAGTGTCTCCATTCAAGGAGGCTGCCATGAGAAAGGAAGAGGTCCCTGATGCAACATTCTCACCAGATAGCTCCCTTGGGTGTTTTGTTTTCTGTTGCTTGGCAATTGCACTGGACTTGCCACCCCCCCCCCCACCCAAGCTAGCTTCTAAGCTGTGCTGTAAATAAAACTAAGTACATGAAACTGAAATAACTACCACTTCTTCCCCAGTTTACTCCTGCTTCCCCTTCATCTGCTTGTTCCTCCCATGATGAATTTCAGATTGCAACTACAGCCAGCAGGGGCTGTCCTATTCAACTCTAAAACACCACACATATACATCAATTACTTATATCTAAAATGCCACCTGCCAACTGACAAATTTGTGGCTGAGTAGATGCGGTCCAGGTGATGTAGCTCCACTTTCTCTCCCAGGCAAAAATTCATTAGAATGGGATACACTCACACTGGCAGCCAACTTGATGAGTAGCGTTCAGGAGGCGGACACACGATGCCGTCCTGTTCAGTGGGATGTAGATTTTCCTCTCAACAGAGTTGCACCAGCCTGCACCTGTGGAGAGAGAGAGAAAAAACACAGATGTAAAGATCCCAATCTGGCCTCGACTTTCCAGGCCTAACCACAGAGTTGGGAGGGACCTTATAGGCCAGGCATAGGCAAACTTGGCCCTCCAGATGTTTTGGGACTACAATTCCCATCATCCCTGACTGCTGGTCCTGTTAGCTAGGGATCATGGGAGTTTTAGTCCCAAAACATCTGGAGGGCCGAGTTTGCCAATGCCTGTTATAGGCCATCTAGTCCCACCTTATACTGATGCCGGAAATCCACCAGTACAGTATCTCTGCTAGGAGGCCATCCAATTGGCAGCCTCTCTGCAGTCCCCACTCAAGGGCTGCTCTCATTTCCTTGACAGCTCACTGAAATGGTGTGGCTCAGGAGTAGCCAACATAGCAACCTCCAAATGTTCTGGATCAAAACTCCCATTACCACCAAGCACTGGGTGTGGTTGATGATAGTATTGGCCTGAAGCGTCTGGGGAACGCTATGTTGGCTACCCTTAGGCCATTTTAAGTACTGGCTGCGCCTCACAGTTGAGTGTGTGGCATGGTATTTACAGCACCAGAGAGACCTGGATTCAAATCCCCACTCAGTCACAAACTACCTTGGGCTAGTGTAATCTTGCCTTGTAAATAAATCCATGTAAGAGACTTGCCTGCTAAGACTAATTTCCATGTGGGCTGCAGAGAGAACGAAGCAGCCTCCTCCCGAAGCCAGTATGGAAATGCAGACTGTGGGCCTCATAGCAGGCTAGGGAAAAATCGATGTCGATCAAGCAGATGGACTGAGGGATGGAATAACCCTTCTCCCCTTTGCCTGTTTTATCTCAGCGACTCAGAGCCAGCAGTCAATGAGATGGCATTGTGGAGTCTGGAAGTCCTCTTTCACAACACCCCAATCAGCAACCAACAGATCCTCAAAGTATTGCAAAACATGCCCCATCCCCAATCCAACATGTAATCAGGGATTTTTTTCTGGAAAACTCCAAAATGGAAATTTCTCTTATGCAAATTAGGATAACTTGCATTTTTTAAAAACATCAGGTTGCATTAGAAAATTTTCTGATGCTGAAACCTAAATAGTAAACTAACTTAGCATGTTTATTTTATTTGCATTCAGTAAACAAAAGTAAAATCTGTATCTGCCGAGCTCCCCTATTTGCAACTAGCACCCATTCATTGCTGCTAATGAACTGATTAAACAATTTTCCCCATCCCATGTCACTGTGCACAAATGAAAAAGTGAAGCAGCAAACACAACCCTAGCCGTGAACATTCTACATGTCATGTGCAAAACAACTAAACCACGATACAATTGCTACATTCACCAAAAGCATGTGACTAACAGTATCTCCATCCCTCAATCCCCATCCATCTTTTGCTCACTCATTTACTACGACAACCTCCTATCCTATTAGGGACACCTGCTAATTTAATAAATTATCCTTGTTTAACTTCAGCCCATTATGAAGCCAACTTTCACCGACTTATCTTTGCTTTCACTTCCAAGGCAGAAAGGTTTTCTGCTGCTTCTCAAACTGGTTGAGGCTAGAAAAACCTCAGCTGGATCCCTTCTCCCCCAACACTGCACTTCAGGGTTTCCTTTACAGACATCCAGTATCACTCCTTCCTTCCAGCCATCCTATGTCATAATCTCCCAAAATATGATGCTAAGCACAGAGAAAAGCTGTGAAGCTTTACCACCTCTGTTTACAGATCTTGCTCTTCTATTTTTAACAGCTTCATGATGCAGGTAGAAAATTAAAGCAACTGAATGGTTTTCTATCATTGTCTTCAAAGTCAAGGTAAAAATCCAATCTGGAAGTAATTGAAGCATGGTTGACTGAATGTGAGTTGGTCTTCTTAGAGAAAGGACATAGGCAAAGCTGATAAAAAGGCACTCCTAGCAACTGTCACCATATGGGCATCCAGGAAAAGTAAGGATGAAGGAGTCTCCTACACTGTATAACCTGCTATTTCAAGAGGGCGGCATCCCCATCCAGAACAGGTTCAACGATCTCTCCTAGTCCCTCATAGTACTAGTGTCCAGTCTAGATTAAGTATAGGTTTGTTAACCTTCATCTACTCTAAAATTCACTACAGATACCTGTTTATTACTTTCATGACCTCCTTGAAAGTAAATAATAGGAGGACAGCATACTGGTGATTTGACTCAAGATTTTATTTAGATATTAGGAACTATGCAAGACCACATGGAACTTTGTGGTATCTGAGAAGTCAAAGGCGACTGTGCAAAACAGCAGTCTCCAAGCACCAACTGCTTTAAAAAAGAAAATGAACCACTAAAGAGAAGAAAGACATGTGGCCATCACAGCAGGAAATTATGGTAAAAGGAAATGAAAACTACTAAGATATCTGGGAGAATCAACGGGGCTGCACTTCCCCTGTTTGTCCCCATCTGAAACCCATTTTGAGCCATGGAAGCAACCAAAGTGTACTTTTATGTTGTTGAGGTTAGCCTGATACATAATCTCTTGTATCCTTGTCCAATCTCCAGGGGAATCACTGTTAGTCCCCCATGGCTCAGATCCACCAGGAGCCATGCATTCAATACTGTGGCCTAATTTTATGGAATTCCCTTCTAGTTGAAGTCAGTTTGGCCCCCTCCTTGTTGAACTTCCAGTCCCTACTGAATACTTTATTCCAGTAGGCAATTTGACTGAATTTCCTGATTTTTAACCCATTTTACTTTTCAATGCCTTGTGTTTCTATATGTGGTCAATTTTTTTAAATAAACTATTGACATGATCAATATTAGTTGTCCCTGTATTACAGATGCCCAACAGGCTTTCACAAACACACACAATTTATTTTTTTTTGCTTTTTTAATGGACTTAGTATTCAGTCCATATGCTCAGTGCGCAACTCATATCCACCAGCAACCACTTACTTAGTACTGTGGCCCCAATTTTATGGAAATCATTTCCAGCTGAGGGCAGGAAGCCATCACCATCAAAGTACCAGCACCCACTGAAGACTTTTTTCCAGCAGGCATTTTAAGTGAATTTTCTTATTTTTATCATTCTAACTGATTTTAATGTTCATTGTATTGCATTTGTAAATAAATAATAAACTATGAACACAATCATTTTTAGTTGCCCTCATGTTAAGAGTCCCAACTGACTCCAACTAGAAGTCAGGCATTTAGTGTTGGAGGTCCCATGTTCTATAACATTTTTCCAGCAGAGATTCCACAAGTTTTCTATTGACTCTCAGGTATCTCTTAGAGCTCTTTTTATATCAACAGGCCTATGTTCATTGTTTTTTTGTTTGCTATTTTATGAATTGCTGGCATAAAACCTCACAAAGCTTGGCAAGCAGCGGAGTCCCTCAGCTAGAGGTTACCGCAAAGCAGGGAGTGAAGAAAATAAAAAAACTTGTAGCCATGAAGTCATCAACTTGTGAAATGAGTTCCATGATATCAGATTGCAGGCTAAAGTCCCTCCCTGGTATTACAGATGTAAAGTTCTGTACATCTGGGAGTCTGGGGATGAGGATGCAGTAGCTGACATCCACCCTCCCCACAAATTTATGGGAATACTGATCTGGGTTACCAACTAGACTTCAGTTCTTTTTTTCTTCTTTTTTCGTTTTCCCAAAGACAGGGAGCGACTATTGCAACTCCACCACAGAATCATGTACCAACTGGGAGGGGCTTATTCTGCTTGCAACCCCCGTCTTGGAACAAAGCCTACAAGCTGACCTCATGGCCAAAACATCCCCCTTAACGTTTTTCCTAAATTTTAACACACAGACGCACTTCTTTCTTTCTTTCTTTCGTTTTTGCAACGTGTTGCCTAGTGAAGGACGCTGGAGAACTCAAAAGCTCCCCAAGCTTTCGTGACATTTGGGTTGGTCCCAACGAAGCTTTTACCAAAAATGGTTTGGGACGGGGGGGGGCGAGTTTTCCTACAGCTTCACCAGAGGCCAAATAACTGCATTTGCTCTTTCACCGCGATTCTAGTGACCAATGGACGACACTTCGCTCCTGTGGAACACCCGCCTGTCCGAGAAAAAGAGGCCTTTCCTTTGCTTTCCCTGGGCTTTCAGGCGGCTGCCTCCCCAGCTCCTCTCAGACAAGGTCAGGTTAGGGCTCTGGCGAGCCTCCGCAGAGGCACGAAACGCCCCTTCGAGGGACCCGGGGGTCCCACGGCCTCCGCCACCCAGGTTGTTGCCTCACCTGCCGCCAAGGCGCACAGAAGGAGCCCCCGGAGGAGCCACCCTTCAGCTTCCCTCATCATCCGCCCGCAGCTGGTCGCCGCTTCCGCCTCCTCGACGGCCGCCATCTTGCCGGCGGCTTCCGCTTCCTTTCCTTCTCGAGGTTCATGGAAGACGCTCTGCCCCGCTCCCCCGCCGCGAGCGACCTGAGGGGGAGACGGTCTAGTCGTATGCCGCCTCTATGGTCTAAAGCGGCAGCCGCGCCCTTCCTGTTTTTGTCCTCCTCGGCGACTGGTTCTTTGCTGGAGGCTCTTTCCTCCGCTTCCCCCAGGAGGCGCTCTTTCTCAGAAAGGATGTTCCCTCCCCATTTCCGTCTGTAATCTATGGTTTCCTAGCCGGAAGCGGAAGTGCTGAGTTGGCTTGCGGGACGGTCCGGCAGCGGGCGGTGACGTGGAGGCTGGTCCGGTTGTCGCTTCTGCTTCGGGGCGCGGAGGCTGCCAGGCCCGAAGATGCTCACCAAGTTCGAGACTAAGTCGGCCCGCGTCAAAGGTACCCGGGGAGGGGGAGGAGGGCCCGACTCCTTAGCGTTGCTCAGGTCTACTTGGGAGTAAGCCCTGCTGCTTTGCTCCCAGGTTAGTGCGCGCACGGTCGTAGCCTTACGCTTACGTGTGAACTGCCCCCGTTAAGAATAGCGGGGCTTGCTTCCGAGTAGACCTGCATGGGATTGCCATTGGGGCAGAGGGTTTTTCCGCCTCGGGGAATCAGTGCGAAAGTTGTGAAGGTTACAAGTGCAACTTCTTGCGTTGTTGGTAGATAACGGGGATGTTGGCACGTTTGTGTGTGCGTGAGAGAGGGAGAAATCACATCTACAAATGTTTTATATATATATATATATATATATATATACACACACACACACACACACACACACACACGTATGTATGTATATATGTTTACGTGAGTTTGCATAGAGAGTAATATTAAAGGGTGTGTACCTGAACAGAGTTACCTGCTAATATATAGTTCTTTTCATGTCTGTACACTTTAATATATGCCATAAAACAGGGACTTAAGTTTTCTTCATATATCATTGGGTAATGTAGATCCATATGCATCTGAAATTTGGGGTCGAGGCATTGTGGCGTATCTGCTAGACTTTGACAGTTACCCACCAGAGATAGGGGAGCCTTGGAGTCAGTGTGGTGTAATGGTTAGTGGATTTGAATGTGACCCAGGAGACGGGTTCAAATTTCCACTGGATGTTAAATATTTTGCTGGCTGACTGCATGGAATGTAGACAGCAAAAATAATAAGAACAAATATGTTGTCAATAATAATTTATTATTTGTACCCTGCCCATCTGGCTGGGTTTCCCCAGCCACTCTGGGCAGCTTCCAACAAAGATTAAAAATACATTAAAACCATCCTTCCCCCTTTTCCTTCCCAGGGCTGAGCTTTCACCCTAAGCGGCCTTGGATCTTAACAAGTCTGCACAATGGAGTAATCCAGCTCTGGGACTACCGGATGTGTACACTCATTGACAAATTTGATGAACATGATGGTAAGTGGAGCCCCCTTACAATGTTCACATATATGCAGGATCTCTTGCCTGAAAAATGTGGGCACCTATGGTGCTTTATTGCACAGCTTACTGCAAATCATGATGTGAGTAGAAGCATAAATACAAGTGGATCCGATAATCTCAAATAGGCAAGTGGATGTTCAATTGCCTGTATGAAGGTTTTTTGACGTGTTTTGCTGCAACACTTCAAAGCAGATTTAACTTAAACCTATATAGGCCTTTGTCTGTCACCTTTTTATATGCAGAGAGACTCATCCTCTGAATTAACTTCTTTCCTTTATTTTGTTCCTGTTCATGTTATCCTATGAACTTGGAGCTATATTGGGGGTGTGGGGGGGAGTGCATATTTGTTTTTAAGTGCTGTGGTGGAATTTTTGTAACAGAAGCTGCAGTATAAAGTTCCAAGGTGGGAGTTCATGAAAATTGGATCTTTCTTGAGTGGGGTTTGCAAGAAACATGGGCTAAAAGTAGTCCCAATTGCAGCCCATCAACCTCACACAAACCCCCCAGCAGGCTGTTGGATCTCAGTCCCAGGGAAGGTGTGTGTGTGTAAAAGACAAGAGAGTCACTGTGGGGTCTTGCAGCTGCTGTTGCTGCCAAAGCAACTAAGAGTCGGCTGGAGACGCAGTATGGTTTGGGGCTATGGAATCCCAGTGGTGAGTCAAGGAAGAACTCTTTCTCATTGACAGGAGAAAGTCCTGGGACAGGGAAGGGACTGGGAGAAGAAATCAGAGTAGCCAACTGGAATGGACAAAAATCTATTGAGTACTCCTGTTTAATAAGTACCAGAAATGGGGAAATATTTACACGGTCTTTTGTATGTGTGTGTTTCTAGGCCCTGTCAGAGGGATTGATTTCCACAAACAGCAGCCACTCTTCGTGTCTGGAGGGGACGACTACAAAATTAAGGTAACGAGGATCTCTTCACCCTCTTGCAAAGAAGTCAGCACGAGGAGAAATCTTTCAAAAGCTATTAGCCATGGCAGTGCAATAGTGCCTGCATGGGCAGTGGCAGTATATCTCTGACTGCCAAGTGCTGAAGACAACCCCACTTTGGGGCTCTTTAGTGGGATATGATTGACAGCAGGCAGAAGTAGTATGCTGGACTTGATGAGCCCTATAGCCCTTACTCTTACTTTGTTTTCTTTGGAGAGACCCAGGACACAGCCATAGCTGGGCAGAAGGCTCATTTAGCAGTAGTCTTAGCACAGATGGGTGAATATGTTTAAAGTTGCCAAATGTGATGATTGTGGGGGAATCTGGAGTGCTCAGCTGTCTGATGTATACACCCTGTCATGTCTGACTTTCAGGTCTGGAATTACAAGCTGCGTCGCTGTCTCTTCACCTTGTTGGGCCACTTGGATTATATCCGCACCACATTCTTCCATCATGTGAGTCCAGCAAGGCGCTCCCAGTCCTGCCTGTTTTGCTTTTTCCTGCCAAGATCCTATTTTGCTGCTCTATAGGCCGTTAGGTCTGAAGGCCCTAAAACAGCACTGGGGCAGCAGCTCTGCAAAGTATCTTTGCTGCCTTTTTAATGAAAGCAGTATGTAGCAGAAAGAAAAGAAAGGGATATGTGTCTTTGTTTTTTGTTCGTAGGAATACCCTTGGATCCTGAGTGCTTCTGATGATCAAACCATTCGGGTTTGGAACTGGCAGTCCAGAACCTGTGTTTGGTAACCAAAACGTATTTCTTCATTCAGATGTCTTTTGTTTGTGGTTCCCAAGCACTTTTATTGAAAGCAACCCCTCAGCCTTGTATTCTTCAATTCATAGGTGAAATTGGACAATTTATAAAATCATGTTGTCATCATATTATTTATATAGCGTTTTCTAAGTGTTCAGAGGCTTTCAGTTACGCTTTCTCAGAAATGCAGCAGCCTCATAAGGCAGGCATAGTGGTTAGTGTCAGGCTGGAACTGCTCATCTTTGAAACCCACTGGGTGCTTTCTGAGTGTGCTATCTCTCGGCCTAACCTACATTGCAGGATTGTTAAGAGGAGGAGGGAGGAGAACTGCATCAGCTACCCCAGGCTCCTTGAAGGAAGGCTGGGATCAAAATGCAACAAAATATGCTACCTGAATTATGTGTTTCAGAAACCAGCCTATTGTGAATGCGATATGTTTTAACTGTTTTTAATTCTGAATTTTAAATTCCTGTAACTCGCCATGGGACTTTTTGGTAAAGGGCAGGTTATAAATTTAATAATAACACTTAATAGTTAAAAACAAATAATCAGTAAGCTGAGAGTGAGAAGCATGACTGGAGTTCTCACCAAGCCTCTTCCCTTGAATTTGATCCTCCTGGGAGTTTGTAGGTGGAAGGTGGATAGCAGACCTCATGTTTGACACCCGCTGCTTGTATTTCCTCACTTAGTACATTGCAGATAGCTGAGAGTGTGGAGATCTGGAGAGCCAAGAAATGCTGTTGTTTTTCTGGCCTTGTCAGGAATGGCGCAAAAGGGCAGCTGGCCCCTGACATGCATTCTTGGCCCTTTGCAAGAGGTTTATGCTGAAGGGATGGCTCATGAATTTTCTAAATAAATTGCTCCCTGCCATCTTGTTGAATGAATGGCTTTGATCCTGAATACTCAGAGGAACTACTCATAGGTGTTTCCCTCTCTTCCTTGCCTTCTTCCTAGTGTGCTGACTGGACACAACCATTACGTGATGTGCGCTCAGTTTCACCCTTCGGAGGACCTGGTGGTATCAGCCAGCTTGGATCAGACTGTGCGCGTTTGGGATATTTCTGGTGAGCTGCCCAGGTCGAGGGGGCTGTCCAGCAGCAGCACTGCGGTCAAAATTGCAGTTGTTGAAAGCGGAGCACAAGAGAAGGAGAAGTTGAGCATAGACCATCCTGGCAGGGCAGAGGAGTAATTAGAGTCCAGCCCCATTCCTATGGCACCAGCTCTGCTTTGCAGAAGGTGCTGTGAAACCACAGGAGATCCTGGCACTGTGTTTCCCTCTGTTTTGCTTGATTCCTTTTAATTTGGGTAGAAACTGCCCACTCTGCACACCTGTCATCAGTTTGTAGCTCCTCAGCTGTTAACAGCAGTTGAGAAGTGCAGGAAACCCCTGTGCTGGGTGTAAATGTGCAACTAGCAAATCAGCACTACGTGGAAGGAGCCATGAACCTTGGGGCCCTGTGTTTGATCAGAGTTGTCCAACCAATCAAATACCTCTAGGAAATTACTCTGCAGCTAGCCAGATGCCTCTGAGAAGCCCTCTCCCAACTGCCCTCCTCCACTTTTGATGCCAGCAACTGGGATTCAGTTTAGTTAACATGGCCAGTAGCTGCTGATAGATGTCTCTTCCTTCACTATGGCTGCCAAATCCCTGCTTAAATACATCTATGGCTGCAGCCCTCATGTCATCTTCCAGCAGCAAATTCCATCAGAGAATTGTGTGTCATGGTATCAGTTTAATTGGATGCACGATGGAATAATGCTCTTCCCCCAATTTCTGTAGTGCATTGGATCTCATTGGGCCCCAAGTTCTAAGAATCCGTTCTTGATCTGGTGGAAACAGCATCACACAATTTGGGAGTGAGCAGGCCCATATGATGGGCCCCTGGGCCAGAGCAAAGGAGCCAAGGCACCTGGGTGCTCATGGAGGAAGGATCGTGCTCCAGTGAAGCTGCAGGCCTTGGGGTCTAGCTCCTGGAAGCCCTCTGGAAAGTGAACCTGTAGAGCAAGTATGATGAACTTTTGGTGCTCCAGCTGTTGCTGAACTGCAACTTCCATCACTCCGGCCATTGACAAGGGATTCTTTGCAGAATTCTTTGAGCTAGGGAGAGTCATGCCCTGGTTGCAAAAGAGGGAGCCTGAGGAGGTGGGAGTGTGGAACATGAAAACTGGGGGCAAGGACCCCTCCCCTCGTGAGTGCACAATAGACTTGCCGCTTTCTCAACTGCAGTTTTCAGCTGGGTGGGCTGCTGGAGTTTCGTAGCACACATTCAGACATGACCCAGCTGTGGGGAGGGGAGGGGAGAGGATTGCTGCTTCCTGGCTACTGACGGGGAGAGCTTTGTAATCTCTTCTGCCAGCACCCTTGCTGCTACGTTCACAGACTTTCTCAGCAGGATTCCAAACTGGTTGTTTGGAAGATCCGTAAACTTTCCCAACATCTTTACAGATCTGGAAATGTTGCGTTAATTCCCACTGCTGGTTGTCACCCTCTCTCAAAATGCCAGTTAGAGAGCAAAGTGCTGGGACGAAGGGAGTGTCACCTGCGCAACAACCTTAGGCCAGAATTGTCTCCATGATGCAGATAGGTCCATAGCTTGTCTTAAATCCTAGTGAGCTGGCCGAGCGCAATTGGAACCTGGAATGTCTTTCACCACCTCCCTGTGCTAATTCTTGTTCCTTACATTTCGACAATGGAAATTTCATCCTGGGTTTATAGTGATTTGTAGCCTCATCCCGAACTCTCCTGATAATTAGTGGATGTTGTGGATTTGCTGTACTTCTTGGAGAAAACAGACAATCATATCAGCCATATGGGTGGGTTTCCAGGGCAACTGAGTGCAGGGTCCCCCTTGTTCCTGCTGAGAGAGTGCGTGAAAGGAGCCAGTTTGGGTCTGGAGTCTGGTTGCCGCATTAAAATGCATGAAAAGCTGCGTTGTAACTGAAGTGTCCCTGCTCTTGATACTAACAATAACCTGTTGGGGGTGTTTCTGAAATAAATCCTTTTTTTCCTCCCTGCACCCTTTTAATCCAGGTGGAAGCTGAGCCTTGACATGGATGGCAGAAAGGGAGGGCTTAACAAGAGTTAATGTTGCACAGCAATTTCCTAACTGTTCCTTGCTGGGGGCACTCTTAAAAGGTTGAGCCTTGTTGAGGTTCCAGGCAGCAAATGGTGGGGAGTTCTGGAAAAGCTCTAGAAGCATGATGGTGCTAGACTTCCTAATGAGTTGGGAGTGCTGTGAGCTGCGTCCAGGGTGGTCTAACGCTCCGAGGGTGATGCTTGTTCTTCAGTTCTTGCCTGAGCTTTCAGAGTCCCCTTTAACCGTACCCAACTACCCGGGAGCCAGACAGTGCCTTCGCATGACCAGGCTGTCTAACTGCTCTGCAGACCACATTAATCCCCACAGCTCTTGTACATCTGTCTGCCTGTCTCTCACACAAACACCTCACTCTCTCTCCCACAGCATTAAATAGCTGGTTCATTCTGTGAGTGTCCTCCTTTCCCTCTGGATTTGTGTAGCTTCTCCAAAAATTTTCCATCTGTTGTTCAGTTCCTTTGCCACCTCCTTGAAGCCCCATATGTTTCAGTATCTCCTGGATCAGGCGTGCAGGTGGTTCCTTCCACTCTCGACTCAAGGAGGCTGCTGTCTGAGCCTAGACCTTCCTGGATCTCAGCCCATTGCGTCAGGTTCCTTGTTGAAAGTGCCCGCCTGGTTATGTGAACTTGATAGCTTTTAACAGCCAAATCTGTATTTAAAATAAGAGGCCAGAATGCTTCAGATCCAATATACAAGGTACCGATTAACTTTTTTCCCCATTTCTCTTTGGCCTTCAATCAGGTAACTCAGCAGCGTCAGCATTCCTAGCCTGGTGATTTTTTGCTTCCTGATTGCAAAGGCGTCTCAGTTTCCCTAGTGAACTGCAAAGAAATGTAGAAATCGCTTCCAACTGTGCATTGTTCTAGTAGATGTTCGTAGGGAATGAAAGTAACCTGTGGTCCCTTTTCTCTCTGTTCCATTTCACCCGTTAATGTCTTCCATTTATATAAACAGCCTGTCTCTGAATTTTGGAGCATCCTCTCACTAACCTCATGTTTTGCCCCTGCTCTCTTCACTCTCACCTTTTGTGAAGGCCTGAGGAAGAAGAACCTCTCCCCGGGAGCTGTGGAGTCGGACGTTAGGGGAATCACTGGAGTAGATCTCTTTGGCACCACTGATGCAGTGGTGAAGCACGTCCTTGAGGTACTCCTGGCTTGGGCAGGGGGTGCATGGGGGAGGCACCTTTGCATATTTGCTATTTTAAACTGCTCAGAACACAAGCAGCTGTTGGCAGGGACTTTGGACCCTGCCCTGAGTAATTCTGCAACAAGGATAAGCAAGACCTGCAACCTCCAGAGCTGGATTGCAAAAAAGATCCTTGCTTCAGGGATCAAGCCTATTGCAAACCATTGTTTATATGGTGCCACCCATGTGCAAAGTATTAAGAGCATAGCGCCCTGCCCTGAGAAGCGTGTGGTCTAAAATTCAGCTCTGGGGAACAGTACCAGAAGCGGGATGGGAAATGAAGTAGGGAGCAGGCAGGGGGAAGAGTTCACGTCCGTTGCAGTTCTTGGACTTAATAATTTGGATACTGAAAGGTTATGGCAAAGGCTTTGGGGGGAAAGCAGGGTGGGTGTTTGAAGGAAGGATTTGAAGCAAGTTAGAGAGGTGGCCTCAAAGGGGTGTTCTGGAAGGTGGTTCCGGACATATAAGAGGTGGAAAGGGTGAAAGGGCAGGGAAGTTTGAGGGCATAAGAAAGAAATCTTGGGTTGGTCAAGTGTGGGTGGAGTTGGACAAACGAAACTCTAGGTGGGGAAATAACAGGGTCCTAGGATGGAGGAGTGGAGAGCTTTGAAGATAAGGAGCTCACTGTGGATTGGAGTCGAGAGCATTATGTGGTCAGTGAGAAAGATGGATGGTTTTGATGGCTGAATTCTTGGTAAAGAGGTGAGAGGGCTCAGGGGTGACTGCAGAAGACCAGGGAGGAGGCGGTTGCAGTTGTTTCCTCTCCCCTTGGCCCAGATTGTAAAGCAGAGTTTTTGCTGAGGGAGGAGCAGAGAGGCAGGGCCATATTAGCCCCTTCTGACTGTAGGGATGGAGTGGGTCCCTTTGGATTAGCAGGCAGGGGGTGGCAGCTACAGCAACTCTGCTCCTCACATCCCATTGACTGGCACGTGTTGCCACTGTATGTTGCCACTTCCCAAAATGGCAGCCTCGGCCTGAGATTAGTTACCTTCTTCTCATAGGGGCACGACCGTGGTGTGAACTGGGCCGCTTTCCACCCCACCATGCCCCTCATAGTTTCAGGGGCTGATGATCGGCAAGTCAAGATCTGGCGGATGAATGGTAAGCGCTGTCCACTTCCTTCCTCCCTCCCTCCATGGAGTCAAGTTGCAAGAGCAAGGACCCAGCCGCATACACTGCTAGGCTGGCTGGGCACTTAAGAGAAGGAACCTTGGCTGCAGGGTGGGAATCTGATCCAGCATTGATAGCTGCTTAGAAATGAGCCCAGCACCGGAAGGAATTGCTTCTCTGGTAGGTTAGGGGAAGAAGGCGGGCAAACTTATGCCAAGCTGCAGTAGAAGATTGCAGAAGCCTTAGGAATGCCTTGCTGGCCCAGTTTAAAAGTCCGTCTGGCTTGAGCTTCCTTGGGAGGCAGGCAAGCAGAGCCTGGAAGTGATGGCCTTTGGTTGTTATCCTTCTGCCAGAAGGCCAAGGCCTTTGGAAACTAAGTTGCAGGCACTGTTGACCACTGGGCTGACGTTGGGGCAAACTGTGTTTTAATTGCTGGCTCCAAATGTGTTCTGCATTTTAATCATTAACTGCATTTTAGCTTTTAACTCATTTGTGCTCATGACTTATTTTGTAATGTTGTTTTTAATTGTTGTAAGCCGCCTTGAATCCCAGCTTGGGAGAAAAGTGGGGTATAAATGCGTTAAAAGGGTAAAAACAATTAGCACCTGAAAAGGCTGGGCACCAGAACTGCTCTAGGCAACTATCAGGACCAATTCCCTATGTAGGACCTTGTAGAGTTGCTCTACAAGCTCGAGGGGAGGGTCTCATTTCCCTGACCTCTCTGCCAAGGAAGTGGTTCGTGATCACCAGCCTTCTTATCCTTAGAGTCGAAAGCCTGGGAGGTAGACACCTGCCGCGGACATTACAACAACGTCTCTTGCGCCGTGTTTCACCCCCGCCAGGAACTCATCCTCAGCAACTCTGAGGACAAGAGCATCCGTGTCTGGGATATGTCTAAGCGGTAAGTGCACCATCCTGCCTGCCCTTCCTGATCTCGAGATATTGGGCCCTGCACTATTTAAAAGAATACGCTCTGGAATGCCAAGTGCCTGGCTGGAATACACAGGAAGCTGCCTTATAGAAAGTCAGGCTATCAGTCCATCTAATCAGTTTTGTCTGCAGTGGCTCCCCACAGTTTAAGCAGGGAGCTTTTCCCCAGCCCTGTCTGGAGATGCCATTGGGGATTGAACCCAGGGGCCTCCTGCTCACAAGGCAGAAGCTCTGCCACTGACCTCAGGCCCTTCCACTGTGTGATGGAGGGATCCAAAACTCAGAGCCACCAGATCTTGGGGTCAGGTGAGGAAGGAGTGTTAGTAAACTTTTGGATGGTGTTGGCCACATTTAGTCCGCAGGCCAGAGGTTCCCCACCCCCTCTGTTAGGAAAATAGCTGCTTTGAGGCTATCAATTGAATAAACCAGTCCAGTTGTTTTGTGTTAATTAGTCTGCCTCTGTTTTTCATTCTCCCCTTCCCAGCACGGGAGTCCAGACTTTCCGCAGGGATCACGACCGCTTTTGGGTGTTGGCAGCTCACCCCAACCTCAACCTCTTTGCTGCAGGTAATGGGATCTGTTCTTGAAGTCACTTTGGATTTGATGATGAGTTTTCACTAGATGCCAAAAAAAGGATCTCCTTCACCCAAAAGGCAAACAGATTTATGGTGGCATCTGCTTTTGTGATTTCAAGCCCATGTCATGGCATGCACAAAATGGTCTCTGCAGTTGGCAGATATAACTGTATAATTTTAAAGAAAATGGGGTCAAAATGTTATGAAGTGCAGAGGATCAGTTCATGTATCTAACAAGTTGGCAGTGTCCAGTCCAGGGGTGGGGGAATCTTTTGCTCCAGGGGCCAGATCTTTTATCAAGCTTGGCCTCACAGGCCAAATTTGACAGGTGGGTGGGGCTTATGATCTGTCAGTCACATGCCATTATTATAACATCTCATGATTGATGTGTGAGTGGGGTCACCCACCCACCTGCATCCCTCTTGTGGCTTTGCAGGTCTTCCCATGCTTTAAACCCAATGTCAGAGGTTTAAAAGAGGAACACAGGAATACCTGGAAAGTGCCCTTTGAAGCATCTTGCACCTTCTCCTTTAAAGGTGCTTTAATATGCCTTTGCTTGCAAAACAGTCAAGTGTTCTAATGAATACACTTAACCTGGCTGCGTTGGTCTTTGGAGAGAATAAGCTGCTGTGGAACCTTGATCTGGAACGTGCTCTCATTCCCGATTGGGCCCTGGTACTGGATTTCCTGTTGAAAAGCTCTCCCTTCTGACTGCACATTGCTCGCATAGCTTCCACTCTCTGCAAACCGCATTCGGGGGGGGGGGGGGGTCAAATAGCAAGGCAAATTTTCAGGCGGAAACCTGCATGGGCACCTGATCTGGATTGGGGCCCTGCAGCTGCTTTGTTTTTGTTGTGCTGTTGTTGCAAAACAAAAATTACCAAAAAGCACCAATAAAATAAACATTCATCCTGGCACTAAGCTCCCAAGATAGCCAGGTTTTCAGCTGGTGCCAAAAGCTTAACATTCCTGCCTCAGATGGGGAAGAGCTCAAAGGTGCAGGGCCACCACTGAGACAATAGCTGCTCGGGCTTCTCCTAGCCCCACCTTGAGATGCCATAGGGAAGAGTGTCTGCCTTGCAAGCGGAAGGTCCCCGGATTCAATCCCTGGCATCTCCAGCTAGGCTTTGGTCAGTCTCCTGCCTAGAATTCTGTAGAGCCACTGCCAGGCATTGTAGACAATACTGAGCTAGAGTCTGGCTTGGTACAGTGGTACCTCGGGTTACAGATGTTTCAGGTTACAGACTCTGCTAACCCAGAAATAGTACCTCGGGTTAAGAACTTTACTTCAGGATGAGAACAGAAATTGCGTGGCGGCAGCAGGAGGCCCCATTAGCTAAAGTGGTACCTCAGTTTAAGAACAGTTTCAGGTAAACAACAGATCTCTGGAACGAATTAAGTTCTTAACCCGAGGTACCACTGTATAAGGTATAATCTGTTTCCACACCAGGGATTAAACCTCTGACCTTCCGCATACATGGCAGGTGCTCCATCCTTGAGCTGTGACCCTTCAGCCTGGAGGGCATGCTATTTTGCCTCCCCCCCCCCCCCCGGCAAGGTGCCATGAGTCTGCTTGTAGTGTTGGCTGCAGAAGTCTTAACACGGCTGCCTCTCTCTCCGGTCTCCAGGACACGATGGCGGCATGATTGTCTTCAAGCTGGAGCGCGAGCGACCAGCATACGCTGTGCATGGCAACATGCTCTACTACGTGAAGGACCGCTTCCTGCGACAGCTGGACTTCAACAGTTCCAAAGATGTTGCCGTAATGCAGCTGAGAAGGTGAGGAGGTCCTCTTCCGCTCGATGCCTTCCACCACTGTTGCTAGGTGGTTGTTTTGTGCTTCTTGTGGGCGGAGAAGGCTGCATGCGCTGCTTGTACACAAGAACACCATAAGAGCCTGCTGGATCACGCCAGTGGCCCATCGAGTCCAGCATCCTGTTCTCACAGAGGTCAGCCAGCTGCCTTTGTTGGGAAACCGGCAAGCAGGCCCCGAACACGAGAGGAGGAGGAGGAGTAGTTTGGATTTGATATCCTGCTTTTATCACTACCCGAAGGAGTCTCCAAGCGGCTAATATTCTCCTTTCCCTTCCTCCCCCACAACAAACACTCTGTGAGGTGAGTGGGGCTGAGAGACTTCAAAGAAGTGTGACTGGCCCAAGGTCACCCAGCAGCTGCATGTGGAGGAGCAGGGAATCAAACCTGGTTCACCAGATTACGAGTCTACCGCTCTTAACCACTACACCACACTGGCTCTCTCTCTCTCTCTCTCTCTCTCACTGTGGTTACCAGCTACTGTAGTTCAGAAGTATTACCAGCTCCTAACCATGGAGGCAGACAACCAGCAGAGCACCTTGCAGCCCAGGACCTTTTTTGGGGGGGGGTCATGGGGGTCCTTTCCTTCTGCGTCAGTGGCTGCTACTTTAAGACAGAGCTGTGACACAGGCCAGCTACTATTTGTGTTCTCCCTGCTTTCCTCATTTGTTACTTTCTTCCTTCTCAGCGGCTCCAAATTCCCTGTGTTCAACATGTCCTACAACCCTGCGGAGAACGCCGTCCTCCTCTGCACGGTAAGCTGAAGCTAACCTGGAGTTCCGCAAGCCTTGTTGGGTGACTTCATCGCCCTTTGCTAAGGGGTTTGGGGGCTCGTTTTGAGGCCTTGCCACTTGTGGGGCTCAGTCCTGCAGGGGCAATGTGCATGTCCACCTTTTCAGAAAGTGGAAGAACAGGGCGGCTGCCCAAGGAACCTGCTACTTGCCTTGGACAAAAAGGGCCCTTCTAGTCCAGTATCCTTACTTCCCACAGTAACCAACCAGATACCTCCAGGGAGGCAACCCCCCCCCGGCCCCTCCCAGCTTGTATTTGCAGATTTGGATCCTCCAGATTCAGAGGTAGTCTATTGCCTTTGTGGCTTAATGCCCACGGATAGATCTTCTCTTCCTTGAATTTGCCTAATTCTAGATTACTAAATCTGGATTACTGCAGTGCGCTCTATGTGGGGCTTCCCCTGGGCTTGACCTGCAGGCTAGTGCCGAATGCTGGAGCGCGATTGCTAAGCAAAAGAAACAAACACAAACAGTTGAAAGAAATCCTAGTCCCGAGAGAGCTGGTCTGACGTGTAGAATTCTTCCTCTCTCCACAGAGAGCCAGTAATCTGGAGAACAGCACCTACGACCTGTACACCATTCCTAAGGATGCTGATTCCCAGAATCCTGATGGTGAGCTTTGCATCTGTTCCTCCCTGCCTCCACCGCCTTCCCCCGCCCTCCGAAAATCACAACTGGGTTCCTTCTCCACCATTCCTGCGGAGCCCACATGCTCTTGGCAGGTTCTTTTGACTTGAAAAATTCATGTTTGTCCCCCTCGCTTTTACGGTTGCAAATATATTTTTTATAAATCAGTTATTAGAAACTATCCATCCTGCCTCTCTGCCCAGCAGGCCGCCTCACTGGCTTGCCTGTCGTGATGGATCTCCTAGCAAAGCAGCTCCATCCCAGGCAGGCCTCTCTGCTTCCAAAGTAGCTGTACAAGTGCCCAGTGCTCGTTCTCTCCCTCTTGGCCAATTCCAGACCAGGCGTGTAATCTGCCCATCAAAATGTGCCGCTGGAACTTCTTCCTTCCAAGTGCCTCTCGTTCCACTTGGGAGTTGAAGTTCCAGCTGGGTCTCCCCTGCCTCTGACGTCACGGCAGTAAAAGCTCCCAGAGCGAGTTCCAGTGATGCATGAGCCAGGCCAGCCTCCCGCCTCCCACATTAGCAGATTTATGGGCTCTGCATGGCTGCCAGGCGCCATTTGCTATAAAGGCGATGTTACCTCCCCTCGTTCCGAGACACAGAAACTCTGCTAGTTATGTTCCAGCCTTGCTGTGAGCTGAGCTCCTCCTGGCACCCAGGACTCTGGGGTGCTTTTGTTTCTCGCTCTTATATCCCGCGATGTTGGTAGCTCTTGCAAGCAAATATTTGGGCCGCCCCGTTTCCTCACCATTTTCATAGCGGTAAGAGTGTTAAGGCTCTTCTTTTCACTTTGTGTGATGGCAAAAAGAGGAAAATTTGTTTCCTACTGTGCTTTCCAAACATGAAGGCAGTACTGGTATATTCTTGTGGCCTTTCCCTTTTTGATTATGTGCATTACCACCAAAATCATCAAGTGGGGAACTGTTGGATAATTTGCAGATATTTGCAGAGTAAGCATGCAGAGAGGGCCCAGTATACATATCCCCCGTATAACTGACGGAATGGTATAACTGAAGGAGCATCTCTATCCCCATCGTTCAGCCCGGACTGAGGTCCAGCTCCAAGTGCCTTCTGGGGGTTCCATCACTGAGTGAAATGAAGTTACAAGGAACCAGGCAGAGGGCCTTCTCAGTAGTGGCTCCCGCCCTGTGGAATGCCCTCTTATCAGATGTCAAGGAGATAAAGAGCTGCACAACTTCTAGAAGATACCTGAAGGCAGCCCTGTATCAGGAAGTCTTCAACGTTTGGTGTTTTATTATGCTTTTATATTTGTTGGAATCTGCCCAGAGTGGCTGGGGCACCCAGCCAGATGGATGAGGTATAAATAAAACAACAACAAAACAACAATGGGGGTAGGAAGACTGAGGCAGCTAGCCTAAAAGACTGCTGAGTGAGGAGCGATCTGAGCTTGTGACATCCTGGTCTGTTTTAACGACTACACTTGATAATGTTCCGGGGTGGCAGCTCACCAGTGTGGTGGGGTTTCCTCTGTCATCCGGACTGGGATTAGGCCTTCCACGGTAATATTGGGCTCTGTTCCCATCACGGCGACGCAGGACCCTTTCAAAATTCACAGGCGGATGGAAGCCATAGTCAGCACCATGGACTCAGCGGGCACCTTAGCGCCCCACACCCCGTAAGGACCCTTCATGGGCTCCTGATGCGAAGAGGAAGTTGGCGCGGTGCTGAGAGTCAACTGCTTCTTCCGTGGAGCGAAGCCGCACAGCCGTTGCCGGAGAGCGCTGCCTTTTTCCTGGGACAATTTGGCTTTTAAAATAAGCCAGCTCACTCAGCACGGCTCTTTAAAGATAGAGCGGCTCTTGCTGGCTTTTCCGGGAGGTGGGAGAAGGGACTGACGGGCTGCCCTTCGTTTCTTCTCCCGCCTCCCTGAAAAGCCAGAGCAAGTGGCGCAGCTATCTCTGAAGCCAGCACAGAAAGAGGGAGAGCTGCGCAGCGCCTCTTGTTGTGCTGCCTTCCCAGTGAAGCAGAATGAGGGACGGAAGAGGCTCCGTAAGGGCTCCCTTCTGTCCCTCCTCCCGCTTCGCTGGGAAGCCAGCAGAACAAGAGGCGCTGCGCAACTCTCGCTCTTGCTCTGCTGGGTTCAGCAATAGTTGCACAGCCTGCATTCTCTCCATAAGACGCACACACATTCCCCCTTACTTTTTAGGAAGGAAAAAGTGTGTTTTATGGAGCAAAAAATACGGTACTGCCCTGCATGTCTGAAGCAGCCCAGATGCCTCACTCTGTGCAGTTCTCTCCCGGAGAGGCTTCTTCTCTTGACACTCGTTGCTTTGTGCTTCAGTGCGAGGCAACAGCTGCTGGAAGCAGAGGCAAAGGAGGGGCCTATGTTGGCTACAGGACCCTCGGCGCTTGCTTTGTTTGGCTGCAGAGGCATAGCTCATTAGCGTGACATAGTGGCGTGTCAGCCGGGATGGCTGCTTCCTCCTTTGCCAGCCAGTCGTGGCGCCGGTTCCCCCAGCAACTGCTTGGCTCCTCCAGTGGGCCACTTTGAGAATCCAAAAGTATGTGTCAGAGGCAGAGAGGAGGAGGGCCTGGATCTTACATGTAGCCTGAGGTTAAATGGGAGTCGGGGGTGGGGGGGGTAGGGAGAGAGCAGCTGATCCGCAGGAGCAGAGCTGGAGCAGAGCCAGCGGTATATGACTTAATGCCTGTCATTTATTATTCCACCCCACCCCCAGCTCCTGAAGGGAAACGCTCATCTGGGCTGACAGCTGTGTGGGTAGCTCGGAACCGCTTTGCCGTCTTGGATCGGATGCACTCGGTGAGTGGGGAGAACCACATAGCTCAGCGGCAGGACATCTGCCTGGCATGCAGAAGGTCTGAGGTTCATTCCCCAGTGGCATCTCCAGGGAGGGCTGGGAGGGACTCCCTTTCTGAAACCCTGGAGAGCTGCTGCCAGTCAGTGTTGATAAAATACTGACCTAGGTGGACTGAGGGTCTGATTCGGCATAAGCTTCATATGAAATGCTCTGCCCGTCCCATCAAGCCGTGAGCTGTCTTTGGGGAGCAGCAGCCTTGCTTTCCTTCCAATGAGCCTCAGCTTCTCCTGCCTGAGCTTGGAACTTCCACAAGTTTCATGGAATCCTGATAGAGAAACGTTGATTTAGGAAGAGAGGATGAAAATCAAAGAAGTCTTCTGAGAAGAAGACTAAAGCACAGGAATATTATTATTATTATTATTATTATTATTACAATTAATTTATTAGTCACTTTCTAAACCATTATTTCGAGATAATTTTACACGTAAGATAATTAAAAACAGTTAAAAACTCAAAGAGATCAAATACGTTTAACACAAATCAGAAGTCCTAACACGTGGGCACTCGTGGTAGAGACCCATCCATCAAGCTGGGAAATCCTATCGGAACAGAAATGCTCTTTCTGGAAGGTGCAGTTATTCCTTGACAGGAATAATGCTATTCTCCGTATTGCATATGGTGAGCCTGAGAGAATTTATGGCTTGGCCAAGTCCCCTGAGGCAATTCCTGTCAACCGAGATTCAAACGGAGCGTTCTGCTTCGCAGCTTAGTCTCAGCCACTACACTGCATGGCTGCTCTCTGTTTCCTTCTCTCTCTCTCCCCTGCCACTCTCTTGATTATGAGCTACCCCTGCAAGCCATTGTCAGGTTATGTGGCAGATTAAAATGAGAAGGGACAAGGCAACACTGAGTAGCAAGCAAAGGTGCTGAGCAGCTCTGTGTGAGGTCCTGAGCCAGCAGTGAGTCTTGCTCTTCCGGATTTCACTTTTGTGTGCCTGATTTCTCTCTTCCCTCCTCTCCCTGATTTTTGCGGTCTCTTGCCTGCCTGCTGAAATGGCAGATTCTGATCAAGAACCTGAAAAATGAGATCACCAAGAAGGTCCAGGTTCCCAACTGTGATGAGATTTTCTATGCTGGGACTGGGAACCTGCTGCTGAGAGATGCTGATTCCATCACCCTCTTTGATGTGCAGCAGAAACGGTAAGAACCTTCAGCAGCAGGTGACCTCTGACCTGGGGTGGTGATGGTGGAGTCCATCAGACAAACTCCAGGTGGGCAACGACCTTTACCAGCTTTGTCACTTTGATATGGAAGCCCAAGGCTGTAATTGTAGAGCCCTCTGATTTCCTTCTCTCTGGATGGGGGAGTAGAAACACCTGGCCAGATTTGGCCCAGAGGCTTCCAGTTGCTGATCCTTACCCAACACTTGCAGATTTTTTCTGCTAGCGCCTTTCAGCTGCCAGGTTTCCTTAAGATACCACAGATAACGTGCATATTGTAGGGTGTCTGGGGGTGTTCTTGGCCACCAGGGATTCCCAGAGAGCTGCCCTAGAGAAAGGAGAAGAGCTGGTTTCTGTGGGCCAGTTGAGGCAGATTCAGCGTAAGTCTCACATGGTCCGTAGGCCAAAGCCTTTTTCTGCCCGTGGTACTACCTCCCCACCCCCACCCCTCCGCCAATTGATTGCTGCTTCTCCTGCGTTCGAATAGTGGGCAAATGGGGGAGAAGGGAAGGTGGTGTGTCCTGGTGTGACTTCATGGACTGGGGGGCTGCTCCCTTCCTGCAGGACTCTGGCCTCTGTCAAGATCTCCAAGGTGAAGTACGTCATCTGGTCGGCTGACATGTCCCACGTGGCTCTCCTGGCAAAGCACGGTAAGAAGAGGCCTCACAGGTGTCTTGACAGCAAGGCCCAAGGCTTTCGTAGCAGTGATTTTTGTATTCTGGGTTGCTCCATTTTGCAGCTTCCTCATCTTCCCCCAATGCTTTGCTTTTGACTGTAAGCTACTTTTAAAAATTATTCTTCTCTTCTGTGTGTGTGTGTGTGGAGTGGGGCAGAGGGGAGTTAAAGTGCCATACATAACTTTAGGGCTGGATGGTGCATTCATTTAAGGCTCTTTCCCCACAAGTTTACATGTTGGGTTTTCTCTTAATCACTGTGGTTTCAAATGGGTTTGCTGGTAGGCCAGCAGATCCGCACCCTTTTTTTGGACTTTTTTTTTGGTGGCAGGTCCTCCTTGAATCACCTGGTCCTTTCTTCCTCACATTAGGGTAAAGGAAAGAGGGACAGCCTGAAGAGGAAGCCAAGAGAAATGGTTTCCTCCCCACTCCCCCTAGTTGAAAGCTGTGGTGCAAAATGTGCCTTATCGCAGAAAATCACGTTGGCATCCTTCTGTTCTTTGTTAGTTACGCATGTTGCTTTAAGGGGTGGGAGGAAAGAATGAATGGGGTCCCTGCCCTGAAGAGCTTGCAAAGGCAAGCCTTGACTGAGTGAAGAGAAGAGCCATTAACAGGAATGCTCCCCATTTGCCTCCTTTTCCGTCCACCAAGGAGCTCACTGCTGCAGATATGGGAATCTCCATCTCCCTACTCCAAAGCAACCTTTGGAGATAGGTTAGACTGAGAGAGACTGGCTGCCCCACACCTGCCCCCTGAGCTTCACGGCTGAATGGGGATTTGAATCAGGACCTCCCAGCCTAGGCACTACACTGTCCCAATTCCCTGTACTTTGGATTTGTTTCAGTTGGGGTTACTTAGGAGTAAGCCCTCTTGAGCATGACATCTCTCCTCTGCTCTGCCTCTCCAGCCATCATGATTTGCAACAGGAAGCTGGAGTCGCTTTGTAACATCCATGAGAACATCCGGGTCAAGAGCGGCGCCTGGGACGAGAGCGGGGTCTTCATCTACACCACAAGCAACCACATCAAATATGCCGTCACCACCGGGTAAGCAGGCAGCGTGAATGGACTGCGGTGTCCAGCAGAATATCAATGATCAAGATGATGGTGCTTCCAAAAATGCTATCCAGGATGGTTGTAAATAAAAGTGGCACTTATTTTTGCTTTGATCACTGCCCTCTGAAGCATAAGCCAAAAGCAGCAACTCCTCTCCTGAAGTTGCTTTTGGGCCTGCTTTTTCAGCAGCCATACCTGTGTTTTGAAGATACATGTATTAGCACAGTGAAGACAGGGAAAACCTGATATGCCCATTGACAACAACAATAACACAAGCTTCCCAGGGACAAAGTACTCTGCATCATAGCTGCAAAACAGGAGTTCTCTCAAGGCTCTAAAAAGCTGGTGTGCAGCCAGTCCCCAGTAGGATTTAGTAACAGCATTAAAATCCTTGTTAGCACCTGGTCTTGAGAGAAAGCCTGCACTTGCTTTTTAAAGAGAGACATGCATGCAGTTTGTTAAGCCATGGCTTGTTAGATCATCTGAGCCTTCTCTGGTGGTATGTTTACTGCCCAACAGACCATGATCTGGAGCCATGGTTTGTTGTTGGCTTGTAAACCTCGATTTGTTTTAACCGTGGCATGGTGTTAAGTGTGACTCAACAGCTACTAGCCATAATGGCTGTGCTCTGCCTCTATAGTCAGGGGCAGTAATGCTTCTGAAGACCAGTTGCTGGGAACAGTTACAGGAGAGGAGTGTGCTCTTGTGCTCAGATCCTGCTTGAAAGTCTCCCCACGGGCATCCAGCAGGCTCTTCTTGCGCTCTTATAAACAAAGCTGACCTGAGTGAACAGAAATGGCAGAGACCAAGATCTGGAAGGAGTTTGCCAAGGAGGATGGCTCATGGATGTAAAGATCATGGAGCTCAAGTGCCCTTCCTCTCCCTTTCCAGTCCCTAGTACAGTGGTGCCTCAGGTTACATACGCTTCAGGTTACATACGCTTCAGGTTACAGACTCCGCTAACCCAGAAATAGTGCTTCAGGTTAAGAACTTTGCTTCAGGATGAGAACAGAAATCGTGCTCCGGCGGCACAGCAGTAGCAGGAGGCCCTATTAGCTAAAGTGGTGCTTCAGGTTAAGAACAGTTTCAGGTTAAGAACGGACCTCTGGAACGAATTAAGTACTTAACCTGAGGTACCACTGTAGAAGCAAAGCCTAGTTAGAGCTCAATCATTATATTAAGTCAGTTTTACCATAAAGTTCCAAAGCTTATCCAGTAGCAGAAAGTGTCCTCCCCCACTTTCAATCTTGTAAATTTAAAAGGAGGGTCGTATGACCCCATTTTCTGCCCATTCCTCCTGTCAGGCTTCGGGGAATCGGATCCCTTCCCCCGGTGGCAGTAAATAAGCAGATCAAGCGAAAGGAGCGTTCGTACTAGATAAGATCTTTAATAATCACAGCGAGAGAATGCATATCTCTCTAAAAAATGGCGTTGCTCCCAGTTCACCCCCTCGGTCCCCATTAATCTATGTCACTCCTATGTTGGGTAATCTGAGCTTGTTGCTGTTGCGCTTTCTGTTCTATCACTTTCTTAGGCAAGGGGGGGGGTCAGGAATGCTGTCCAAGGACACAATCTGCCAGCTGTCTCTCTCTTGGCGTTTCCTCTTCTCGCTGTTCCTCACCCAGTATTTCCTAGCTTTTCCCCTCTGGACTGTGCTCCTCTGCAAACCACTGTTCTAAATCAATACTGTCCTCCTGCCCTTGGGAAGGTTCAGAAAAAGGGGGGGGCTCCCACCATTCTTCCTCGGTCGAGTCCCTGACACCCCCCACAACTCCTGCTTCCGCATTCCCCATCTAGAGACCATGGGATCATCCGCACCCTGGACCTGCCTATCTACGTGACGCGGGTGAAGGGGAACAACGTCTACTGCCTGGATCGCGAATGCCGCCCCCGAGTCCTGACCATTGACCCGACAGAGTTCAAGTTCAAGCTGGCTCTCATCAACCGGAAGTATGACGAGGTGTGTGCTGCCTGCTTCCTCTTGCCATCCGTGCCCAGTGTTGGAGAGGAGGGCGTCTTCTCAAACGGCCTGTCTCTTGCATTGCCTCCCATCTCTGTACAGCAGCCGTGTAGGGCGACTGTATCTCTCTCTACCTCCTTGCCATATTTGATATGAGCAGGCAGGAAGCCATGCCAGGACTTGCGTCCGCTTCTTGCCGTAGAAACTTAAGGACACTGCTGGAACAGCAGAAGCCTCCAAGATGTTTCCAGGAGGCTGAAAGGTGCAGCCTGAAGGGATGCACTTGAATTCATTTTTTAAATTATTTTTCCAGTATAACATATACGGTAAAGAACGAACAAAGGCATATAAAGAGTCAGCTTACAAAATTAAAACATTTCTCTTAAGCTTTGAACCTTAGACTACTCGATAAGCTGTTTGCAAACACTATAAGAAAATCTTAATTTCCCAGTGATTTACAAGCAAGTCTCTCTCTCTGGAACATATAACCAGAATTAATTTACAGCTCTCCTATGAAAATAATGCCTAACAGGAATTTTACCAGGGGACATAGACATCATACCACTGAGTTTCCTTTTACAGTGCAACCACACATTGAGCTGAGCCTCTTTCCCTCCAGATCTCCTTACCGCCTGCCACATGTGATAGCCATTGTGCTAACCTAGGATTTATTCCCTAAACGCATGACTGCACCCTCATTTGTCCCCCACTTCCTGTTCCAGGTGCTCCACATGGTGCGGAACGCCAAGCTGGTGGGCCAGTCCATCATCGCCTACCTCCAGAAGAAGGGCTACCCTGAAGTTGCACTCCATTTTGTGAAAGACGAGAAGACTCGGTTCAGCTTGGCTCTCGAATGCGGCAACATTGAGGTGAGACATGGCGCCAGCTGTTCTCCAGCCATCTCCAGGAGGGCCTTGCACGCAGATCTAAGACCTAGAGGTGTCTCACACAAGGGTTCCACGCTTCCTCCCCCTGCCAACAATCTGTAACTAGCAAGGTCTTTAGTTAAGCAAATCCACTCCTTCATTCCAGCATTGTCTCCTTTCCTTTTTTAAAAGCAAACTTGCCTTTTATTGGCAAATTCTGTCCCAACATTTGTCTGCTAAGCCATAAAATGCTAAATCTTCCTCTCTATAGCTCAGTGGTGGAGCATGAAGGTTCCAGGTTCTGTCTTTGGTGAACTTTTACTTGCATGATCTCAAGAAGCAGGGCTGAGAATGGCCTCTCTGCTCTGCCCCCTTGGGGTTGTCTAGGTATTAACCCAAGGACCGTGTTTTTGGTGCTATTTTAGATTGCTCTGGAGGCAGCCAAAGCCTTGGATGATAAGAACTGTTGGGAAAAACTGGGGGAAGTGGCCTTGCTCCAAGGGAACCACCAGATCGTGGAGATGTGTTACCAGCGCACCAAGAACTTTGACAAGCTCTCCTTCCTGTACCTAATTACGGGCAATCTGGAGAAACTGCGCAAGATGATGAAGATAGGTTGGTCTCTACAATGAATGGCTCTTCCAGCCCATACGGAGCCAGAAACTTTAGATGATTCAGGAATGTATTACAAAAAAATAGAATTGCATGCAACAGACTGGCCACCTTTGCAGATGATGATAAAACTGGATTCCTGCCTGTCTCAGTTTACTGTGAGCCAGCAGCACATGTCCTGTTCCACTCCTTCTTTCACCCAAGGGCACAGAATTGACTAGGAAGGGATAGCTTGATGGGACATCTGAACCCAGGATCCTGTTTTGTTGCTGGCATATGCTCCTGGTTTATATGGGAGCAACACACCAGGATTTTGGGTGCGGACATAAGCCATCCCTTCCTGCTTTGTTTTTCTCTGCTTTTCTCCAAAGGGAAGAGCGAAGGGGCTCTGTGTACTAGCAAGCTACTCATTCACAACGAACCCAGAATAAGCAGAGAGTTCTGACATATTGTGTGGGAATGCAGCTGCCTGCCTCTCTCGCAGCATGATCACAGTTGCTGTCATTTGGCCCTCTCAAAATGTTGTGACTATTGACAAACTTACTCCTAACAGTCAAGGACTGGGAAATGGTGTTAACCTCAGAACAAGACACAGTCATCCCATCCCAGTGTAAGGCAAGCCATGTGGAATCCTAGACGTGAAAGGTTCTTTGTAGGGTGACTACTGACCACCAGCCTTGATGCAGGGGGAAGAAGCAGGACGAAATGCGTAGTAATGGGAGGTGGCTGCCCTTTTGCAACTCATGAATCCGCTTCAGGTTGGGAGAGGGGAGATTTGTAGCAGCAGCAGCCAGGAATTCTGCAGTGAGCTAATGCTTGAAACTCCTGAGTGAGAGTTGGGTGTGGAGGTGACCCATTTTCCTCTTCCCTTGTTCTTTGTTGCAGCCGAAATCCGGAAGGACATGAGCGGCCACTACCAGAATGCTTTGTACCTTGGGGACGTGGCTGAGAGGGTGAGGATCCTGAAGAACTGTGGACAGAGTGAGTAAGCTGGCAATGTGAGCTTTGGGATTCCTAGAAAAACGAGCTCAGTTTCTATTAACAAGAGCACAAGAGGAGCCTGCTGGATCAGGCCAGTGGCCCACCTGGTCCAGCATCCTGTTCTCAGAGTGGATAACCAGGTGCCCCCTTATGGGAAACTTGCAAACAGAACCTGAGCCCAAGAGCCCTCTCCCCTTCTGTGGCTTCCAGCAGTTGGTATTCCGAAGCATTGCTGCCTCCCAACTTTGGAGACGGGGCATGGCCATCATGGGTAGTAGCCACTGGTAGCCTTCTCTCGATGAATTTGTCCAGTCCTCTTTTAAAGCCACCCACGTTGGTGACCAGCCACAGGAGAGAGTTCCATCGTTCAACTAAGAGCTGTGCAAAGAAGGGCTTTTTTTTATCTGTCCCCTTCCCTCCCTCTGCCTCCTGCCAAATCCCACCCTTTCCAGGCTGAACAGGGTAGCAGCTATGGAGCTTCTTTCCATTTGCATGACCAGACTACCCTGGAGAGTTTCCCACCATCCTGACCTTTCTCTTGCTTGCTTGTCTCTGTCAGAGTCCCTGGCCTATCTGACGGCTGCAACCCACGGCTTAGATGAGGAAGCAGAGAGCCTGAAAGAGACCTTTGACCTGGAAAAGGAAACGGTTAGTGCAGGACTATGGGCAGGCTGGATTTGCTTGGCATGCCGTTTTCCCTTTGCCTAACACTGGTGGAAGAATTTCAGTCTGGGGGCATGAGTGGGAGCTTACAAGTCTGTAGTTTACCAGACCTATTGACCCAAGTCTCTTAGGTTGCATCACGAACCCCTGGCTCTGCATCTCAGAATAAGCATTATCACCCACCTGCTTACAGTTTGAAGCTTTCTCCCAAACTTCCCCTGGGCTGAAATGGCTGTGTAGCTCCCTGCCTAATTCCCAGTCAACCCCTTCCTTGTCCCTGTGGTAAAGGTAAAGGTACCCCTGCCCGTACGGGCCAGTCGTGTCCGACTCTAGGGTTGCGTGCTCATCTCGCTCTAGAGGCCGTGAGCCGCGCCATCCGAGGACACTTCCGGGTCACGTGGCCAGCGTGATGAAGCTGCAGCTGGCAAGCCAGCACCAGCGCAGCACACGGAAACGCTGTTTACCTTCCCGCTATAAAGTGGTACCTATTTATCTACTTGCACTTTCGAAGTGCTTTCGAACTGCTAGGTGGGCAAAGCTGGGACCGAATGACGGGAGCTCACCCCGCCGCGGGGATTCGAACCGCCGACCATACGATTGGCAAGTCCTAGGCACTGAGGTTTTACCCACAGCGCCACACGTGTCCCTGTGGAGAGTCTGCAAATTTACATGGAGGGTTGAAAGTTCTTTGTTTCCTCTTCTTCTTCCAGATCCCAGAGATAGACCCCCATGCACAATTGCTCCAGCCGCTTGCTCCCATCATGCCCCTGGACACCAACTGGCCTCTGCTCACTGTCTCCAAGGGCTTTTTTGAAGGCACAATTGCCAGCAAAGGTAAGGAGGCCTGGACATTGTTACTGGCAGGCTTCCCCTTCTCAGATTTTGCAGGGGAGGTGGGGAGTGGCAGGGGCTCCCAGGTATTGAGGCTGCTCTTGTCGGTGGCTGCTGCTGTCCTCTGTGGAGGCCAGAAATAGCTGCTGTTGAACAGGGCCATTGTACCTCAAGCCGTGCCTGTTTCTTGAGGCTGCAGAATCCCACCACAAGACAAATCGGTGATCTTGTTCTTCTCTTCAGGCAAAGGAGGCGCGTTGGCTGCTGACATTGATATAGACACAGTAGGCACCGAAGGCTGGGGAGAAGATGCTGAGCTGCAGCTGGATGAAGGTGAGAGCTCAGCGGTGAAATCCCATGAAGGCCAGGTTTTCTTGGCCGCTTGCTGGTTTAAGGTCGTATACCATCCTGCATCAGAAGGCCACAGGGCAGTTTGCAACATGCAATGCAGATGTCACTGCGTAATATCTGTACAACATAAAAATTGAAACAAATGTATGAATTTGATTGTAATACTAAGCACTGCATTATAAAATTCTCGTAACAGCAGCAGCATCAAAAATAAGAGAGGAGAAAATCAGCAGCAGGGTGTTTAAAGTACGAAAGCAGTGCACAAATCCTGAGTCTTCTCTATATCCAAAGGTAGCTCTTAATCCTGGCCACCCACAGAAAATGACAGACCCAGCTCTCTCCAGGGAGCTTTCCTTCCCACTCCCGGGACTCAGCTATACAGCTGCAAATAAAACGTTTTGAATGCGTTGTAACATGTAATATACAATTGGCACACTAAATGGCGACCATGAGCTACAGCAAATTCAATGTGTTTTTCAAAAGGTTTAAAAAACAAACACATTTTCACAACGTTTTTAATGTGTGTAGATTCCACCCCAGTCTCTTACTCTCTGAAGCTTTCCTGCTCTGCATGACTTAATAAAGGTGTTTCCTTGCCACCACTTACCAATGAAGCAACCCAACCACTTCCTGTATGGGGTGCATGTCGGCCCTTCTTAAACTCCCCCAATCCGCACTCTGTCCCCTTACAGATGGCTTTGTGGATGCTGGGGAAGGTTTTGGAGACGAAGCCCTGGCTAAAAGCCAAGAGGAAGGAGGTGGCTGGGAAATCGAAGAGGACCTGGATCTTCCCCCTGAACTGGTAAGTGTGGGTTTCATTCATTTCAACTGGTGGGGTGTATTGCAGCAGGACTAGAGGGGAGACTAAAAGCAAATGCTTACACATCTCCCCTTAAGTCCGTCTCACTCTTGGTCCATTGAGTCTGGACCATTTTCTTCCCGGCAGCCACTCTCTAGGATCCTAGACCTTGAGGGGCCTTTTCCCTTTGCCTGCTGCTGTCCCAGTTCCCCTTTACCTGGAGGCTCCAGAGATGGAATCGGGGACCTCATGCATTCAAAGCATGAGCCGCCCCATTTCTGAGCTCTGGTTCCATCGTGGAGAACATTTTGTCATTGACTACCACATGAGCTCTGTGAAACCTCCATGTCCGGGTGCAGTCTACCTCAGATATCTTCATGCACTAGAAAATGGGGAACAGAAACGCATGTGTGCGGAAGATGGGGAGTAGTGGGATAGCGCAGTCAGTAAAAACATGCAGATTTTAATCTCGGGGTCGTGTGTTTGAGCCCCGTATTGGGCCAAAACATTCCTACATTGCCAAGAGTTGGAAGAGATGACCCTTGTGGTCCCTTCCAGCTCTTCTGTGATTAGACATTTGTTGTTGTGTTTCACCACTGGTGTGAGTGAATGAGGTGTTCACGTTGCGGCAGGTGCCATAGTAGGAAAGGAAAATGGGAAGGAAGCACTAGTTATTGTATTTTAGTGTTTTGTTGGAAGCCGCCCAGAGTGGCTGGGGTATAACTAATATATTATTATTATTATTATTATTATTATTATTATTATTATTATTATGGCATTGTAACCAGGAAAACTTCCATGTCTGAACACACCATAACTGCCCCTCCTTCTCTCTCCCCCCACCCGCGTTTCTGCTAGGATGTTCCTGGTGGTCCTGCTGGAGAGGCAGAAGACGGCTTCTTCGTGCCGCCCACCAAAGGCACCAGCCCTGCCCAGGTAGGAGGGAGTCTGTGCTGAGGCACAAGACTCTGAGACCGGGCAGCAGACAGTGCCGAGCCCTACAAGTAGCAGAGAAAAGGGAGGTGGTTGGGAGTAGGCAGAGACTTGACGCTTTCCTGCATTTCCCCCCAAATGCAAGTGCTGCTCCCAGGCAGCTGGCTGCGATGACAAGCACGCAACTGAAACTCCCATTAAAAAAATAATCCAGAAGGGTCTGCCGGGTGAGGAGTCTGCTGCAGCGAAAGCATCCGAGAAGTCTCAAAGGCGAATCAATGCACTGGTCCTCAAGCCGCTGCAAGACATGCTCGTTTTGAAAGTGTAAAAGACGAAAAAAAGCAACAGGAGCTAATTTCTGTAGGCCGAATTGAAAAATCTGGCCAGACTTGCAGAGCTTTCAAAAAACCAAATAAAACCAGGCAGATCCTTCAGCACCCTTGGGCTGGTTCCTGTCTCACTGCGGTGGAGGGCCAATGGGATAAGTTCACCTCCGCAAGTCCTCTGATTTCTGTGGTTCTAATCAGATCCCTTTCTTTTCTCCCTGCTTAGGTCTGGTGCAACAATTCCCAGCTTCCAGTTGATCATATCCTTGCTGGCTCTTTTGAGACAGCTATGAGGGTGAGTTGCCTGGGGACAATGTCTCTGCACTGGCCTTTTTCCTTTTTCATACAGTGTGTTGAACTTTGGGGTGCATGTCACAAGTGGGGTTTTGTCTTTGTCACAAAAGCTTTGTCCCCAGTGAGCCTTGCTTCCTTTCAGGGGGTTGGGACTTCTTGCCTGCCTGAACGTGAGCACAGTTCTCTGCGGAAATGGTTGGTTTGGATGCCTGCACAATGTGACCTTTAAAGGATGTTGTTATTTTTATTTATTTAACTTACTAGTTGCTTTTTTATTTTACTAAAGTAACTCAAAGTGACTTACAAGAATTATATTTACATTAAAACCAGAATAAAACCAAGAAAAATCTGAAACACATTCATATTTTTAAAAGGCAGGATTAAACCCAGTGAAAGAGGCCACAGATAATTAAAAGCCAAAGGCCTGGCAGAACAGAAATGCTTTTGCCTTGTGCCTATAGAAAAGTTGTGATGGTGCCAGGTGAGTCTGCCCAGGGAGAACATTCCACAACTGAGGAGCCACCACCGAAAAGGCCAGTTCTCATGCTGCTACCCTCTGGACCTCCAATGGAGAGGGCACACAGAGAACGGCCTCAGATGATGAATGCAGGCTCCAAGTTGGTTCATATGAGGAAAGGCAGACCTTGAGGTATTGAGGTCCTGCTCCACAAAAGGCTTTATAGGTCACAAACAGTGCTTTGAATCTGGCCTGGAAACTTAACTGGCAGCTAACGCAGTTGGGCCAGGATTGATGTTAGGTTCTCAGACCATCTTGCCCACGCATAGGCAAACTCGGCCCTCCAGATGTTTTGGGACTACAGTTCCCATCATCCCTGACCACTGGTCCTGTTAGCTAGAGATGATGGGACTTGTAGTCCCAAAACATATGGAGGGCCGAGTTTGGGAATGCCTGCTCTTGCCCCAATGGGCAAATTCGGCAGCATTTGCGATTTCTAAGCAGTCTTCAAAGGCAGTCCCAAGTATAATGTATTGCAGCCACTTAGCCTAGATACGGCAAGCCAAGTGATAATTTTAGAGCAGAGGAGAAGAATGAGAGAAGGGGAGAGTCTGTGCAGCAGAACTTTGTTGGGAAGCATCTGGGAGCCCCCCCCCCCCGGTAACACCACCTCTCCCCCTCCCCTTTCCACTGCAGCTTCTCCATGACCAGGTGGGAGTGGTCACATTTGCCCCCTACAAACAGCTGTTCCTGCAGACCTACGCCCGGGAGCGCACCACGTACCAGGCTCTTCCCAGCCTCCCCGCCATGTATGGATACCCCCATCGCAACTGGTAGGTGTGAGCACCCTTGTTCTTCCTGCCGCGACTGGCGGCTGCACTTGGTTGTGGGACCCAGGTGCTCGCCATGAGCTCTCTAGGTTGCGAGCAGGAAACAGGCTTTGCCATGGCCTACCCCTGGCTGCCTTCTGCATGCATGAATTCAGGAGCAGGGCTGTGGGCTGATGCTTAACCTCAAACAGAGGGATCTTGTGAAATGCTGCATAGCGTCATATACACTGTTTGTCATACTCAGACTCATCAACATTAGTGGCCATTAACTTAGGCCCATTAATTTCGACAGATTTACTCAGTCAAGCTTTCTTGGTGTCCATCCAATAATAAGCAAGTCCTTGAACATCCCTGCCTCCCCCTTCCTTGACCAGTTTTACCCCACACCTCATTTTTACCCCTTTTGCTCTGGAATCGGCTAACAAAATGTTGCGGTTCAAGCATCTGTCGTAGGCAAGTCCTCATACTGCCTCCTCATTTTCTAGGAAGGACGCGGGCCTGAAAAACGCCCTCCCGGCTGTGGGACTGAAGCTGAACGACTTGATTCAGCGGCTGCAGCTGTGCTACCAGCTCACCACAGCTGGCAAGTTTGAGGAGGCCGTGGAGAAGTTCCGCTCCATCCTCTTGAGCGTGCCGCTGCTGGTGGTGGACAACAAGCAGGAGATCGCGGAGGTGAGCTGTCGATTCATTCGCATCATCCAAAGCAGACTCAGCCCACTTGCTCTCTGTTCAGATAAAGAGAAGCCTTCATGCATGTTTCCCAGAAGTGTTGCGGCGCTGTGGTCTAAATCACTTGGTGGTTCGAATCCCCACAACGGAGTGAGCTCCCGTTGCTATGTCCCAGCTTCTGCCAGCCTAGCAGTTTGAAAGCATACCAGCACAAATAGATAAATAAGTACCACTGTGGCAGCAAGGTAAATGGCATTTCCATGGGCTCTGGCGCTTGTCACGGTGTCCCATTGCGCCAGAAGCAGTTTAGTCATGCTGGCCACATGACCTGGAAAGCTGTCTGTGAACAAACACCGGCTCCCTTGGCCTGAAAGCAAGATGAGCACCGCAACCCTATGGTCGCCTTTGACTGTACTTAACCGTCCTGGGTGCCTTTACCTTTTTACCTTACTGTACTAAAAGAACACCACCCTGATTCTGCACTGGGACAAACTCAGTTCAAACGCTTTAATCCGTTGTGCAGATCAAGTGTGTTGTCAATGTTGCTGCACCAGCCATCCACTCATTCTCTTCTGTTCAGGGGTATAGGGTAGGCTGAATGGCCCACCCCAGCAGCATGAAATCTGCTCTCTCCCTACACGCCCCTCCTCCAAATCTCCTGTTTTTATTTCAAGCTTTACAAAACAAATTTTCAAGCCGCTGTTTGTAGCTAACGTGCCCTGGCTCGTTCGTTCTTTTGTTCTGACAGGCCCAGCAGCTGATCGCCATCTGCCGGGAGTACATTGTGGGGCTGTCCATGGAGATCGAGAGGAAGAAGCTGCCCAAGGAGACCCTGGAAGAGCAGAAGCGCATTTGTGAGGTAGGGCAACCCCTCTCTCTCTCCATGACCTCATGCCAAGGGTGCAAACATTGGGTTACCAAAAGCATCCTAGCTGTTACAGTCTGCCAGAAGGCAACACTTATGCAACTCTCTGTGGACAAGAGCACCAATAATTGGCTAAGAGATCAAATGAACACCATTAACTCTATCAGGGGTGGTCAAACCCCAGTTCAGGAGCCTGATCTGACCCTTAAGCAACTGGCTCAAGACCCTACTAATTTTGGCGGTGATGGCAGCAAAACAAAACACACACAAAAACAGAGTAGAGGGCAGTGTTGGAATGGGAGGGGCTAAGAGCTCTGGTGGGGATGCAAATCACCATCTTCTGATCATCTGAGTGACATCCTTCCTAGCTGACCTACATGGATCAGTTGAGGAGGGTGGGGGCCATAGGGTTGGCCACACCCACCACTGCCCTGCAGTCCCCGGAGAGTTGGTCAGGCCTTGGCCAAAATGGGTTAGCCATTTCTGATGGCAAGTTCAGAAAGCAGCTGCATTTGTGGAAAAACCCGTATCACAGTGGATCCGAGGACCCCCATCATCTGCCCCAAAGCCTGACCTTAGTGGTGCCATTGTCTCTTGAGTCCATCTTGCCTATTACCCTGAGTAGGAGCAGCCCTCCAAGACCTCAGACAGAGGTCATTCACTTACCCTGGTACCTGAAACCTTTTAGCCGACGGTGCAACATCCATGCCGCATGCAAAACAGCTGCCCTATCACTGAGCTGCAGGCCCGTCTCCTGCACAACTGAGTGGTGCCCCAACCAAAGCAAACTCCTTTTTGGAACTGCATCCTTCTTCCCAACAGATGGCTGCCTACTTCACCCACTCCAACCTGCAGCCCGTCCACATGATCCTGGTCCTTCGCACAGCGCTCAACCTCTTCTTCAAGCTCAAGAACTTCAAGACGGCTGCCACCTTCGCTCGCCGCCTCCTGGAACTGGGGCCCAAACCGGAAGTGGCTCAGCAGGTAAATTCCCAGAGGAGCTGCTCAAAGCCATCATCTTCATCGCCTTCAAGGGCTCTAAGCACAAAGGGCAGAGGGTGTTTTGAAGTGTAATAAACCAACGTTGCGGTTCCGGCACAAGATATAAAATATCTGCAGAATGATCCCTTGGCGCAGGAGTAGTGCCACTGTGACACAGGCCAACTTTGATGGATTGGGGGGGGGGGGTCAGTCACCTGATGGCGTGATAGTTTCAGGTGACTGCCCACCTCTCGAAGTTGACTTGTGGGGAGAGAGGTCTGCTTTGCCATGGCGTTCCATGCAATGCGCTTCCAAGGCAGCACCCAGCAGAATTTAACTTGTCTCCCAGTAGTTGGTAAGCTGACTGGGTCAATCCTGTTAGCTGCAGAGGTCTGCTTCACCATTGTGAAGGGCATGTCCTGGCATGTGCAGCACCCAGCAGGATTGCACTCTCCACTTGCCCAGCTGGTGAGCAGGGCATGCACTCCTGCTGCCTGAAGGGGTCTCCTGAAGCAGCCAGGATTGAACCCCCGCATGCCAAATCGCCCCGCCGACCAAGACTGGCCCGTGAGCTGGAGGTTCCCCTCCTCTGCCTCCGTACAATTATGTAAAGTCCCTTTTTCGATTCTTTACACTCCAGGGGAATCTTTGCAGTGCAGTCTTTCCCCAGCTCATTCTAAAGTGTTGAGACAGAACATTCAGACTCCCAGGCCGTCTACCCTGTTTCTCCTTAACAGCTGCTTAGCTTTCCTCTCTCCACCACCACTGCAGACACGCAAGATCCTAACCGCGTGCGAGAAGAACCCCAGCGACGCCTACCAGCTCAACTACGACATGCACAACCCTTTTGACATCTGCGCCGCCTCCTACCGGCCCATCTATCGGGGCAAGCCGGTGGAAAAGTGTCCACTGAGCGGAGCTTGCTACTGTCCTGAGTTTCATGGCCAGATTTGCAGAGTCACAACCGTAAGTGCCACCTCTTTCCTTCCATTACTGGCAGTAACTCTCTCCTTGGAGACTTTTCAGCCTCTTTTGGTTACCTCTTGGCAGCCTTTCTCGTGGTCTCCATGGCAAGTATAGGGCATCAAGGGTGTCCACATGCTGCTGCTGCCAGATGCTGTGTTTTGACAGAAACTGGCTGAAGCATCACTCTATACATGCTGTAACTAGTAGGGTGGTAGTAATTACTACTAGTTACTACTAGCCTACTAGTACCAGTTACTACTATTTGTAGTAGTTACTAGTAGTAGTAGTAACTAGTTGTTGTAACTAGTAGGGTGCACCACTTTTGAATCTGGGAGTGTACCTTCTCTTATTACTCTATGCTTAAAAAAACCCACACTACTACTACTACTTCTTTTATTATGTAGATTAGTAACCCAAGTAGCTCCCTTCTGTTTGCAAGGATAGTTAATAATAGCACCCTCCATCTGCAGTCTGACATGGCGCAGTCCATTCTACCTCTGCAGGACTGTACCATCTCATTTTGCTGCATGTATAGATAAATTAGGCCTCAGCTTCCTCCTGTTGGGGTGGGAGCATTAATCTTCCCCTTCTCACAGCATCGAGAGGCCTGCTGGCTACGAGTTACTGCTGGAAGGGAGAATTTCTCTAGGCTAACCTGTGACCCTCCAGATGGTTGTTGAGATTACAATTCGCATCATTCCTGCCCACAGGCCATGGCTGGTGGGAGTTGGGAGTCCCAACGATGTCTAGAGGGCCAATGGCTCTGCAGGGAGAGTTTCAGAGAGGAAGTGCTGGCAGCCTGTTGCCCCTGAATGCGGAGATGCCTTGATTTTCCCACTGCTCTGGATTGGCTCACGTCACATCCTTCCAATTGTCATGAGCTCCTGCATCCCAGCACTTGCCAGGTTTTGCTGCAGGGGGGGAAGAACTGCCCACCCTCCTCTATTTTGCAGGGCTCTGTGTAGATCATGCCTCTCCTTGGTAGCCACCCGGATGATGTGGTTATCAAAAGGTTTAGCATCTTTGGACGGCTATATCATCAGGCTGGCTACCCTGAGCCTGGCAAAACCTTGTTTTGAACCCAACACTTGAGTTTCAGAGACACACACAGTGTGTCACATCCGTGGTCTGGAAGTGCTTAGAGGAGCGAGAAATTTCCCTGCTTTCTGAGGTTCAGAATGAGGCTCTCCCTGGAGCAAGACAAGGGGCTCTTGCCATATTAAAAGGACCCCATGGTTCCAAGTCTAGGAGGTGCTAACTATGTCTTTGTTTGGCTCTGCAGGTAACGGAGATCGGGAAGGATGTCATTGGCTTAAGAATCAGCTCCCTGCAGTTCCGCTGAGGCTGTCCTGTGACCAAGCAGCTTTCTACAAGCATCCAGTTTTTTTCAAGTTCTACTTTTGGCTGCTGCCCCTTGTACCTCCCCTTTTCTGCTACCATTAATACGCCCCCTTTCCACCTGTGCTCACCAGGCCCTTTTTGGAGCTGTTCAGATGCAAATCTTCAGTCTCAAGTGTGCAGTCACAGCCAGGCGTGAATGCTGTGTCTCCCTCTACCCCTTTCCACATGTAGCTTCCATGAGAATCTGGGGGATGGAATGGGCTCCTCCCAGGATCCCACCAACTTTCCTGGATGTTTGTTGGGGATCAGGACTCGAAGATGCTACCAGAGACACCAATAATTGGGTCGTCTATTCACTAGAAGAGGCATTTGAGGCTTTACGTCTCTTATGCGGGGGGCCAAAGAGTGAGGGGCTGAAACTCTACTCCACTCCTTTTTGTATTCTTCCCCCTCCCCACAAAAACTCCCTGTCCCTTTCTCTCTGCCCCATCTCCTTGTTTTGTTTATTAACACTTAATAAAGTGAAATCACCCAAGGGGGAAATGAGAATGTTGTGCTCATTGTGGTTTCAGAAATATTCTGTTGACATGGGAAGGCATGCGGCTGTTGGCGTAAATTTTCGGTAGGTGGAGGAAACCTTACCAAGGGAGGCATAGACCAGATGTTATAGCGACATCTCGGATGGTGATGGTGTCCTCAGGATGGATTGGTCATACAGGAACTCACAGAAACATCTGCCTGCCCTTCAGGTCATACCAGTTTTCTTTGCATTAGTCAGCAGCAGAAAAATAGTAGAATGGCTACCAGCCATGATGGTTATATTATGCTGCTGAATGCCAGCTGCCCAGAAACCACAGGAGGCGAGAGTGCTCTTGTGCTCGTTTTCCACTGTGAGAACATGATGCTGGACTAGATGGGCTTATTGGCCGGATCCAGTGGGCTACAGCTCCCTTCAGCCCTAACCTGTCGCTCAGGTCTGATGAGAGATGTAGTCCAATGAACAGGTTGTCTCTAGATTGTATTTCCATCTTCTCACCTGTCCCCAAAGACGTAACATACCAGCATTTACACTGGAAACAAGAATTGCTACAAGAGATTTTTTATTTATTTTAAAAAAACCCAACAACGAGATTTATTAAAATGTCCTTTTAGGAAAAAAAAACAACATCCTGTAAATTAGTACAAATGACAGCGGCAGAGGCAGTGAGTCCCCTCTGCCTACCGCTATTTCATACGCATTGATTTGTGCTCAACCCACAACTTCCTGGGCACCATGAAAACTGCTAGCTGCCCCTTGTCTCTGGCAGGATTTGCACTCATGTCTGAAACCCCAGTTCCCAGGGAAGGGTTACAAGCAAAAGCAAAAACGCTTCCGATCACAACCCGGAGGAATCCTGCCTGCGTTGCAACTCAAGCAGGGGGGCACGCCAAGTTCTCCTGGCTTTGGGGAGCTGGGGGTCTAGAGAGCAAAACATGGCTCTCCAGCACAGCTGGGAAGATTCTCGACAGACCTGCTTGCCCACCCCCGGCTACTCCTGGCTGCTTGAAGGAAGCACAAGAGCCGTGACCCTGGGTGGACTCTAGGCAGCTCCAAGATATTGCTCAAGGAAAGGGCAGAGCTCTGCTGCCCCCGGCAGGCTCAGAGGGACTTGCGGGGCCGCTTGAGGAAGGAGAGCGTGTAGTCCCGGGGGGCCGAGGCTTTCTGCTTCTTCAGCTGCACCTGGGACTGAGCTGTCAGCTGCAGCTTGATGGCGCTCGAGTTGATCTTGGCTGCCACCAGCAGCTCCTTCATGCCCTTCATCTTCTCGCTCTGGAAGGTGAGGACGGGCCCTTCGGGAGGGGGGCTGGGGCCACTGCTGGGCCTCTCCTCCTTCTCCAGGGGAGGCCGGTCCACTCGCTGGCTGGAACTGGGGCGTCGGCGCTCAGTCACTTTCTTGGGCAAGGGGGGCTCCTCGGGCTTGGACTCCCGGCGCGGACCCCTGCGGCGCCCCTCCCGGGGATCTTCGCTGCCTTGGTCGTCATCCTCGTTGGCTTCTACCTCCCGACTCGCCAGGGTCACCTTCTGCCGCACCTGAGAGGGAGGGGGGAGTAGTCCGAAAGCCAAGGGCGCCCAGGGCATGAAGCTGAAGGCTGCTTATGATGCCCTGCCTATCTGTTGATTTCACATGCAATTACTCTGCGAGTTTTTAGAATCTCAGCTGGGCACTTAAACACTCTCCTTGTGCCTGTTAAACATGCATCTTAATTAATTTCATTATTATTAATAATTTTTACAAAGTATAATCATATATAAATAAGAATAAAAATGTGCACCCCACCACCAACACTATTCCATTGTAACTATCCAACCTCCCAAAATTTCAACACCTCTTGCGATGGTTTCACCCCTTTCCGTTTTAACAGTACAAATTCTACAATCACCTTACATATCTCCTCGAAACTATTTCTCCTGCAAATTCCCTACCTTACCTTAATGGCATATGTTAATTATCATTAACAGCTATATCCCACACCTCTTTATACCATTCTTTTAATTCATTTCTATTCTTGCTATACTGCTGATTTTCTTTTTTTGCTACGTCCCCCATAACCCACCCTTCTCTCCCAAATCTGTCTGAATCCTGGTAACAATGGAGCTCCCTCTTTTCCAGCTAATAAACACCCCCCCATAGACACCATCTAGGCCCACCAAGGCCCCACAAAATCCTGCCAAGTCATTGCACCCCTTAACATAGCTTGATGCTGGCCATTCCCCCCCACCTTAAAATGCTCTGAACTTTACCCCCTGCAACCCGCTCTGCCACAAGCACTCACCATCCCATCAAAACGGCTGAGGGACTGGACCAGGAATGTGGCCCATCCCACGTGGAGGACGGGCGTGGGGCTCCCCTCTTCCCACTTGCAGATGCCGTCGTAAAAACGAAGGAGGTGGGCAAAGCACTCCGGGTCCTGCAGGGCCGAGCCGCCTCCTCCTTGCGATGGCGAAGCCTGGGCAAGACAGGTCAGGTTGTTCGGTGAAGAGATGCCACCCTGGCACCAACTGGGCCTCTGCCAACGAAGTCTGCCAAGGGCATTCCTTTCCCTGATCCAATTCACAAGTGCCTCTCTCCCAACTCAACTCTCTCTCTCTAAAGCTTCTAAAAAAAACAAAAAACCCTACCCCTTCCTGTGATCCCCTTGCCAAATCTCTTAGCCATACTCCAGTCAGCCTCCCTTTAGAAACTCCCCACCCCACCCATCTACTTCATACACCCTCTTGCCATTTCACTAAACGATTAATAATGCTTTTCTGCTCCACTCACCTCTCTCTGTCACCTTTTAAGACGATAACCCCTCTATTTTTGCCTTGGCTGGATGCCAATAACCCCTTTTCAGGCCTTCATGGTTTCTCTCCAAGCTTCTAGTCCTCAGTGCAAAACGACACTTATCATTAACATCCCCTCTGCTTTGCACAAAGTCGTGTGTTTTCCACCTTCCCTTCTTGTACAATTTCACACTGTTTCCTGTGCCTTTGTTCTGCCTCCTTTGCTTCTGGCAAAGTCCCAGCCCAAATTTTGCTGCACCTCCTAGAATTCCCACCCCACTCCATCCGACTACTTTCATTCCACCTAATGATACTTTTCCTAACACCCGGCACGTGGCAGTGAGAAATAAATAGCAAAAGCAGAATTTCCTCCCCGGCTGACGAATGCCAGCAAGGCACAACATCCATCCTTTACGTCGCCTGTCTGCTCACCCGCCTTACCTCTCCCCTCTCGCCAGCCCCCTTCTCCTCAGCTGAGTCAGCTAGGCTGGCCACCTCTTTTAGCAAGTTGGGAATCACGTCATTGGCCACATCAAAAAATTCCTTGTAGATCTCTTCATCTTCTCGACAGTAGTTATAACTGAGAGGGGGAGAAGAGAAGGGTGCAATGCCACCATCAGATAACAGCAGACGTGGGTCTTATGTAGAGATATCTAGAGCCTTAGACAGCCCAACAAGAGGCATTTAACCACAGGCAAAATTTTCCCCATCACTGCATCTCCACCTTGGAATAAGCCTCTTGGGGAGCTCTTAGCCGCTGCCCACAGAGCAATCTTGTTCTCTGTGACAAACTCTGGAAAAGGTTTTTTTCAGGAGAACTAGACAAACATCAGTAGTTGCCCCCTCCCCAAATAAAAGGAACTGAGAAAAGAATGCAATTTTATTTTACCCTTGACTGGAGGCCAAATGAAACCAGCACTTCAAATGCATGGATGCAACCACCAGGCTGTGGTAAACGCCACAATGACCAGCAGCTGCTCTCCGGGGTTTTAGGTATAAATATGTGCCGGCCCTTCTGGGAGATGCCGGGGACGGAACCTGGGACCTTCTGCATTCAAAGCAGGGGTCCTGCCACCAAGCTCCACTTCCTTCCGTGGTAAAGGCAAAATGAATAGGATAGGAAGATACTCACTCTTGGATCACGGTGGCTGAATCAGCCCAGGCTTCCAGTGCTTCCTTGACATTTTTGTTGCGGCAGTGATAGCCGGCCAGGTACATGTAGGGGTAGATGTGCTCGTTGTGGTAGTACTGCTTGGCTGAGTTGATTCCCTAGAGGAAAAGGGGGTGGGAGATAAGGGGGGGTTCAGGGACAGCAGGAGCTGATCCATGAAGACACCCAGGCTCAGGTGTTTTGGGGAAACATCTAGGGCTGGGCGATACCTGCTTTTCAACATTGTGATATATCAAATATCACAATATATTGATATATCACAATGTCTGAAATAAAGATGGAGCTATGCAGAGGCATTGGCCAGCTTCACAGTTTTACACGCATTGTGATTTTTGCATAGCACCCACACACACGATTTGTGATATATTGCCAGGTCATAAATTATGGAGCAAGTATCACGACATGGACTTCAAACCAGTTTTGGATGATATACTGATATATTGCCCAGCTCTAGACACATCATGCTGTATCCAGAACAGCTTACAAACATTGTAAAAATTATCACCATCACCATCATCATCATCATCTTTATTGGCACACACCCTTCCCCCTAAGGTCTCATGGAAGTGGCTTACAACACTTAAAACATAACAATAATAGCAGTTAAAAACAACTTCCAATCACAGAAATAAGATGTAGGGCATGGGTAGGCAAACTAAGGCCCAGGGGCCGGATCTGGCCCAATCGCCTTCTAAATCCAGCCCACAGATGGTCAGGGAATCAGCATGTTTTTACATGAGTAGAATGTGTGGTTTTATTAAAAATGCATCTCTGGGTTATTTGTGGGGCATAGGAATTCGTTCTTGTTGCTTTTTCAAAATATAGTCCGGCCCCCCACAAGGTCTGAGGGACAGTGGACCGGCCCCCTGCTGAAAAAGTTTGCTGACCCCTGGTGTAGTGGTTCTAAAAATATACATCTTAGGTGTCACCGGCTAGGGTCTTTGGCATCTGTCAAAAGCTGTGCAGTGAAGGTGCCGGATGCACCTCTTTGAAGAGGGAGTTCCACAGCTAAGGAGCTGCCCCAGAGAAGGTTCCCTCCCAGGCCACAACACCCCAAATGTCTGAGGATGGAAGAACAAGAAAGGCAGATCCACAGAATCACAGAACTGTAGGGTCAGAAGGGGCTGACAGGGTCGTCTAGTCCAACTCCCTGCAATGCAGAAGAATCCCCTGCTCAAAGATCAGCCTTCTGCTGATCTTAGCACCTAAGAGGGCCTGTAGGGAAGGACGCGGTCTTCCCAATATTTAGAAGAAAGGGATCAAGTCACCTCAGGTAGCAGATAGGAAGCTTATTCGGGGCTTGTCAACAGGCAGCCCCAATGACCATTCCTAGAGGCTCTAGGAAGCAACTGTGTACAATATGAGGACAGCAAACCCGGGAACAGCTGCATTCCACAACATGGCAGCAGGTGCAAGTGCGCACCCCCTCACTGATCATAGGTGGTCTGGAGAGCCTCCCCTTGAGGCTGTTCCAATGCCTTCTGCATCATCAACTCAAAAGAAGAAGGCTCCCTTCACTTAAGATCCTGCTCATCAGCTCCAGCCAGCCTGGCCCATGGGCAGAGAAGGTGGCAGTTGGAGTCCAGCAGCAACTGCAATGTCACAGATCTCCCCAACCCTGCTTTACTCCCTGGACCCCGCTTTGAAGGGCCAAAATCCCATGGATTCCCCCCCCCCCCGGTGGGATGAGGGAGTTAAAACACTGCAAAGAGAACCAGGGCAGTTTTTCATTATTATTTTCTAAATTACAATAATACTGCTTGTACGTTTTGCTTCATACCTCAGGTTCCACGAAAGCTAGAAACTTACTTTTTAATAAAAAGAAAAGAAAGGAAGTTGGCAATCTGGAGATCATGGTTCATCTCGGGGACAGGGGAACGGGACTACCCCCCATTTCACACACACACCCCCCACAGATCTAGGTCATGCCCCACCTTCAACAGCTTTGCTTCAGGCAATGTGGTGTAGTGGTCAGACTAGGGTTTGTATCCCCTTCTTGGCCACAGTACTGCCAAGCCCAGCCTACCAGCACCCTTAGGGGCAAGGGGGGGAAATACCTGATGGTAAATGAAGAGGGGGTCTGGGCGGCCAGGGGTGGGCTCCAGCTCCTCAAGATCTGCCAAATTCCCCAGTGCCATTGGGTACCTGCAGAGGAAGCCAAGGGATCACTGAGGACAAGCAGAGGCGAGAGGAGGCCGAGGCTCCCAAGGGGACAATTTAAGAACACACAAATAAGAGCCCAAGGGCCTGTGGATTTGTGGTTGAGGACGGGGAGACAGCTCAGCCATTGCATTCAACACGCTCTCTTCCATTGTATTATCATTGCTTCTTTTATTCCTTGCAATAAATTACCGTATTGGCCTGAATACAGTGGTGCCCCGCAAGACGAATGCCTCGCAAGACGGAAAAACCGCTAGACGAAAGGGTTTTCCGTTTTGAAGTTGCTTCGCAGGACGAAATCCCCTATGGGCTTGCTTCGCAAGACGAAAATATCTTGAGAGTCTTGAGATTTTTTTTTCGCTTTTCCCCCCCTTTATCTAATCTGCTAAGCCTTTAATAGCCTTTAATAGCCTTTTAGCAGCTAATCCCCTAAGCCTTTAAGCCTTTAATAGCCGCTAAACCGCTAATAGCGCTAATAGCGCTAATCCGTCAATGGGCTTGCTTCGCAAGACGAAAAAACCGCTAGACGAAGACTCTCGTGGAACGGATTAACTTCGTCTTGCGAGGCACCACTGTATAAGCCTCATTTTTTCCCAAATTCCGACAATGTAAAATTAAAGCGCGGCTGAAATTCACGACCTTGCAAAAATTGGCCTTACGTTATCACTGCTGAAACAGACATACGGTAAAACGTAACGGGTGTGGGTGCCTGCGGAATTTTAAGGGAGTGGCGTATATTCAGGTATTGTCTCTCCGCCCCCCCCGCCATGAATTTTAAAGGGGCGGCTTATATTTGGGCCAATACGGTACAACGCAAGAAGAGAAGCCATAAAAATGCAATTAAAAATCACACCACATCCAGTGCAGGGCATTATAATTGCTACAGCAGGTAGGGAGCGGAGGGGCAAAGCATTTAATGGACTGCTCAGCCGCTCGGTGATTTTTAAGAGGTCTGACTGGTTATCTCAATATATTCTACACATTCACATTCTATACCAAGGCACTCTTCATATTCTCTCACACAGATGACATACACTCCACTCTTTGATCACAGACCCTCCAGCAGGAGGCAGTATCTGCACAGGTAATCTGAGCCGCTTTTAGGGGAGAATATACCACCCCTGAACAAACTTCAGAGTTTTCCCTTATTGCTGTTGAAATTGACTTCAGAGGCTGTTTTGTCCCATGCCTTAAGAATGCCTGCATCCCCTTCCCATATTGCTCTTTTTCTAATATTTAGTGTCTATTTCCATCAAAAGAGTGAGTTTCAGAGACCAAGTCTTTTTTTTTCTTCTGTATCTAGCTAAGACTGACTTAAGAGTAGACCTACTGAAATCAATAGACTCGAGCTAGTCACAACCAGAGTCCACCACCACTAAACTCCTGGCTGCTTTGGCTGTTTCCAACTCACGTGGCCGAGACTCTCTGGAAATTACTCAGAAATAGCTGGAAGCTCCTCTAGAAAGGAGCAAGACTCCCTCTGCAGACCTCTGCAACTTAAGAACATAAGAGCATAAGCTTATGTCTGCTGGATCAGGCCAAGTCCTCTTTTAAAGCCATCTAGACTGGTGGCCATCACTGCCTCATGTGGACATGAGTTCCATAGTTTAACTATGTGCTGCATGAGACTAAGAAAGACACAGAGAAATGAAGCTGTTTGGGCTCTGTTAGCTAACAGCATCAGGATGGGGGCTGGATTCCTCTCCCTAGAGCTGCCTTCCCCAAACTGGGAAGACTACAACTCCCATCAGCCCCAGTGAGCGTGACCAACATTGAGAGTTGCAAGTCAAGCAAGATCTGGAGGGGCCAAAGGTTCCTCTGCCTAATGACAGGGCCGGGCCCTGTGAGACCAGGCCCTCTCTAAAGTACTTACTTCTCCAGGTGGCCCAGGTCATAGAGAACCCACAGCAGCTTCTGCAAGGGATGGAGACAGAGAGGCAAGCATGAGAGGCATCATGATGGTGGTGATGATATCGGCTCCAGTTTCTGCAAACCCCCACCAAAGGGAAGGAGGGGGGTCGATCCATGTCAGCTCACCTGTTGCAACTGCAGCAACTCCAGGCTATCCGAGTGCAAGTCGATGGAAGGATTGATGGCACACACCATGAAGGCCACCTCCATCTGGCGGGTGCAGCACAGGTAGGAGCCCTTCAGGTACAGCCAGCTCTGAAAAGGGGGAGGGAATTTTGCAGGTGAGAAGTCTGGGTGAGCATCAACTTTCCCATGGCAGGATCTTTCTCTCTCTCTCTTTCTTTCTTTGGATGGAACCTGGGATCTTCTGCACTCCAAGCAAATGATTCTGCCACCCATGAAACACAAAGACGTTGCCCTCTGCCAGGTCGGACTGTTGGCCTTTCTATTCCACTATTGCCCACCCTGGCTGGCAGCAGCTCTCCAAGTTCTCGGACTGAGGTGGGTCTTTCATATCACCAGGATTGAGCCAGGGGCCTCCTGTTTCCTAACCAACATGCTCTACCACCCAGCTATGATCTCCCTCGTTTCAGATATTTGCATAGTGTTGTGTGGCTGAAGGTATACTGGAGAGCTTTATTTTTAAAATATAATAACAATAACAATAGAAAACCAATTTCTGGAGGGTGATTTTTCATGTTAGCGATAACAACTAAGCCGCCTCACTCAAGGAAGGATGTTGGCAATTCCCAGCTGGAATGGCAACAAACAAGAGAGGCATAAAGGTGTCCCTCTCACGCCCAGTGGTGTAGCATGGGTTGCCAGCATGCACATTCAACTGCCTATTGGTGTCTGTATCACCCAGGAGATTGCAGTCATAGAAATAAGAAGAGTCGTCTGGAGAAGTCACTTCCTGGTTTGCATGGAGAAACAGTTCTCAACTGAGTGCAGCAACAGAAGCATGCAGCTGTACTGAGGCAGCACCAGGTGTTGAAATTTTGTGCCCCCTAACAAATTTGCACTCGGGGCAACCGCCCCTGTGCCCCCCCCCCAACTAGGCCACTGCTCACGCCTTCCTTGTAAGCTTTCCAGAGACATTTGCTGGAAGGCTGACAGGCAAATTGCAGCTGTGGCTGCGTCTCACCAGGCAGCAGCACTAAAATAAGAATTTTCATGAAGGGGGGCAGGCTGTATTTCACATTTATTGGCTGGTCAGATCCATGCACAATGGACCTATTCCCAAGATTTATTTTTGCCTCTACACTGAGATGCTCAGATTGGCCATATGAAACAAACACACATGCTCCTATAATAATGAAATGAGATGAGATGAAATGAAATGTGTACACCGTCTAAAGCTAATTCGCTCCTATGGAAGAAGTGGATGGAGTAAAGAACCTGCAAGCTACAAACCATCTATCCAGCTGCTCCTGTCTCCTTTGTGAAGACGAGAGGGGAACATCCTCCCTTCCTGAGCTGATATCTTACCCGTTCTGCCACACCAGAGTTGACTGTTTGCCCACGTCGGTCCTCATTGCCTTTGCCGTGCCATGTCACCTCCGCGGTCTGCTCCCCATCTTTGCCGAACACCACCCAAGCGTGGTCCTCAGAGAGCGCCAGGTGAACGTCCAGAAGTCCTAGGACCTGGCAGGCCCCCACAACTGCAAAGGCCACCCCAGAGCTGTCTAGTTTGGTGCCTGGTAAAAGAAAGAAAAGGAGCAGAACGTTCAGGACAGCTTGAAGAGCAGTGGAAAAACACTGTTGCATCTTGATTAAAAATGGGAGGCATGCAGCCACACTTAAAAGAATTGTTTTTGGAGGGTGAAAGCTGCCCACCTTTGGAGAAGCACACCTGTGGCCTCTCTGCACAAACTGCTGTTATGAGCCAGCCCACTGCTTGGAAAGAGCCATGCCCAGAGCAGTACAGAGACACCCTGAGCTACAACGTCTGAAAGCAGGTAATTCTGCTGTGCTTGTGCATGAGGATTGACGGTTCATGCCGCACCCACTGCAGATGTTGGGCACAATTAACCTTCCTCCCCTGGCTTATGGCAGCTGGCTGGTAGGAGGCAAAGCCAGGACAGTAACTCAAAAGGTGAAGCAGTGGACAGCCTCTTCCCTTGACCTTGCAGAAGCCTTTGATTAATTTATATTTTTTTTGCACAAACGTCAAATGAGCAGTTTACTCCTAACACCAGTTTTGAGAGTTACTGGTAATTTTGCTGAGAGCCTTGTTTCTTGAAACTCCAAAAAATGGGAGACTGTAGCTTGTCTTGTAAAGGTAAAGGACCCCTGACGGTTAGGACCAGTCGCAAACGACTCTAGGGTTGTGCACTCATCTCGCTCTATATGCCGAGGGAGCCGGCATTTGTCCGCAGACAGTTTTTCCAGGTCACGTGGCCAGGCGAACAAGAGCAGCACATGGAAACACCGTTTACCTTCCTGCCAGAGTGGTACCTATTTATCTACTTGCACTTGAAGTGGTTTCGAACTGCTAGGTAGGCAGGAGCAGGGACCGAACAACGGGAGCTCACCCCATCACGGGGATTCGAACCGCCAACCTTCTGATCGGCAAGCCCTAGGCTCTGTGGTTTAGACCACAGCACCACCCGCGTCCCTTAGCTTGTCTTGTAGTACAGGCCAAAGATAAGGCCACCCAAACAATATAGCAGCACATCTAAGAGGACCAGCAAAGAGGACCAGGCCTTGCTCACTCTTTGTTTTCAAAATATCCGACATCCCCATCATATAGAGAGATAGTAGGATGCAGCAGTTAAACGTGCTTGACAACGACCTGCGAGGCCAGGATTTGAATCCTTGCTAAGCCATGAAACTCGCTGAGTGACCTTGAGCCAGTCAGTGTCTCTTGCCCTAGCCTGCGTTGAAGGGCGGCTGTGGGGACAGCATTTATTTGCTTATTGATTTATTAAATGTATAAACCACCCTTCATCATAAGATCCAGGGGGGTTCACAGACTAAAGTACAAGATAAAAACACAAGTAAATAATTGAAACGAAACAAAGCAAAACAATATGCCCCCCCCAGTGGGGCGGAAGAGACCCAACCTCTTGCAAGAAAGGGGGAACATAAATCTAATAAACAAATATATGCAGGGCAACATGAGATCGGCAGCTGAGCACTTGGGACGGAGAGCAGCATGCTCTCTTCGTGGCCCCACCTGTGATGAAGCTGAACAGTGACTGGATGTGGGCCCGATCCTTGAAGTAGGAGCGGCTCAAGCTGTTCCAGATGACATCAGAGACTTTCTTGACAAGCTCCCGGGAAGAGTAGCCCTCTGGCCGCGGGTAGAGCGAGAGATCCACGGCCCCGCGGATTTGGGCAGTGAAACGGGCATGCAGGGCCCCAATGATGCTCAGGTCAGCCACCGGGAAGTAGGTCAGGCTGTCGGGACCTTGGGCAGGCTCGAAACTGATGCCCGGCACGTTGGTGGGCAAGACGCGGTTGACGGCCAGGAAATGCTCCACGAAGCCCAAGACAAGTGAAAGCAGCACCAGGTCGGGCTGCTCCCGGCGAAGCTCCAGCTCAAAGAGGCGGACCACATCTGAGACGGAGCGCAGGGGGAAGAGAGCCTTCTGAGCACCCTTCAGCCCCATGGCCAAGGGGGCGCGCTAGAGAGCAAGCAGAGAAGGAGGGTCAGAATTAGCAGGGGGCAAGAGGGCAGTCCATCTAATTAAAATATGTTTTAGCCTAAGACAGAGATGGGGAACTTCTGGCTCAGCGCCAGCCACCATAAGCCACTAATGGTCAGGGATGATGGAAGCTGGAGCCCAGAAACATATGACAGGCCACAGGTTCCCCACCCTGGTGTAACAGATGTCTGCCAGCTTTTAAAACCTAACAGCAGGAAATATCCGTTCTTTCTCGGTAAGCACAAAGAGGCCCATCCAAATCTTCAATGGGGTCGTGAATAAAGTGAAGCCAGAGTAGATTTTAATCTTGTCACTGACTTAAATGCCCACTGGACCATTAGTGTGCGTGACACATTGCCTTGCTTGGAGGTTGGGGGCAGGGAACCCACCTCAAACTAGAGACCAGACAGTGCAGAACAGGAAGTTTCAGCCTAAGCACAATCCTGGTTGAGGAATTTTGCACCACGTGAGCTGCTTGAAAGCTCAGATCTGGGGCCTGGGTAGGTTTGGGTTAGCAAAATGGTTGAGAGCTTGTGTCAATGGGAATGTGGCAGCCCCACTGAGGAACAAAAGAACCTGCCTCACAGATCTCCGGCAGAGCCATGCATCTTGAGAGCACAGCGCTGCCAGAAAGGGACACCTTTTGCTTGTAGCGCACCCCATGCTTGTGGGGAACCTGCTGCTAAATTATCATTAGGCAAATGACCAGGCTTGGTCTCCAGATGCAGTTGAACATCAACCCTTGTTACTACTGACCATTGGCCAGGCTGGGAAGGGGATGGTGGGGCTTGCAGTCCCACATCATCGGGGAACCTAAGACTATGAACTCACAGGGTTGCATTCAGTGAGCCATTTACTAACTCTTAAGAGTTGGCTCTTCCCTCCTTCTCTGTCAGATGCAGACATAACACTGGCCTACTTGGGAGAACCGTTTTTTAGGGTTCTGCATCTGAAGGGCTTTGAACACAGAGGAAACACACTGTTCATTCATCACCAACCTGCTGCCCTCCAGATGATCTGGGCTGCAACTCCCATCACTCCCAGTCCTCTGTTTTTGCCGCCCAAAACATCTGCAGGGCATCAGACTGCCAAAGGCTGCACCACATCAATTCTTGACGAGGTGCACAACCCCACACCCCTAAAAAGTTTGGGAATACCATATCGGGAGGGAGTACAGCAGAGCATCTATCGCGCATGTTGCACCTCTGCCATGTTCAGGCGGGAGGATGCGGTAGTAAGGAGATGCCCTGGAGAACTACTGCCTGCTCTGGGTTTGGCGGGCAAACGGAGCATCCGGGAGCTAAGGCAGCTCCCTACACTTTATAAACATGCTTCGATCCGTATCTGCGGGAAAAGCAATATCGCAGAACAAGAATCCTCCGCGCGGAGGTGTTTTGATCGCACCCCTCCTGCATCCCACCCACCCAAAACGATCAGCCACAACCTCCTGCTGCACATGAAGGGGGGGCGGGGAGAGAGAAGAAACGAGCCGCACCCACCCCAAGGCTGTTGCACTTTGCAGTTGCGCCTCTGCTGCACCAGGATCCTCGCGGGTGGGGAGCCGATGGCGGGGCTGCATGCAGAACGGCGCCTTCCCAACACGCCCCCTCCGTCTCGCCTCTCCTGCTCTCTCATTCGAATGCGCTCTTTCAGCCGTGCGTACCCCCGCCGCGCGCGCAGGGCAGCATGGGAGTTGAAGTCCCGCCTTGGCAAGGCATGCTGGGGGAGCTCCGGCGGCCAGCTCTGATCCACAGACTTATAGTAGTTAAAGTCATGCACACGCTGCTATATTCCGGGTTCATTTGACCCACACACCCTCTCCGTCGCCTCCCTAGTCGCGAGGGAAGGAGAGAAGCTTGCAGCAAACCAGGGATGCATGCAGGGCCGGATTTAGGTTCGATGAGGCCCTCAGCTACTGAAGGTAATGGGGCCCTTTATATGTCCAACTGTCCTTTGTCAACAACAAATTGTCGCTGTTTTTTGTGTTGAATATATGCTATATGCCTGTTGTCTTTGTCCATGGAGTTTTCTAGACAGGGATACTGGAGTGGCTTGCCGGTTCCTCCTCCAGGAGAAGGGGGAGATAAGGAGAAGGGGACGACAGAGGGCGAGATGGTTGGGCAGTGTTCTCGAAGCTACCAGCATGAGTTTGACCAAACTGCGGGAGGCAGTGGAAGACAGAAGTGCCTGGCGTGCTCTGGTCCATGGGGTCACGAAGAGTCGGACATGACTAAACGACTAAACAACAACAACAATATGCTATATGGTAATTTATGGACCTAATAGGTATCTAAAGCCATTTGCACATGCAGAATGTAGGCACCCTATATATAGAAATGAGCAAACCAGTGATATTCTAGCATAGCTGTCAACCTTCCCTTTTTTTGCGGGGAAATTCCCTTATTCCAGCGCCGTTTTCCGCTGCTTCCCACTGCTATCCCAGATTGTTAGATATCCCGTAGACTGTCCCCGGGACAGGTGAGGCTGCTGATCCCTTATTTTCAAATCTGAAAGTTGACAGCTATGTATTTTAGGGAGCAGGCTAGCAGGCGGGGCCCATTATTTACATCATAGGAGCCTATACAACACAAAACACTGTTGCTGTATGTAGGTTTTATTTTATTTGTTTTTTTATCTTATATTTCGTAAATGTACATCCAGTTTTTTCCCCTTTAATTTTTTTGGGGGCCCCCAAGAAAGTGGGGCCCTAATCTATAGCTTGTTTAACTTGTAAGTAAATCCAACACTGGTTGTGTATCGTCCCTGCTTCTCTCTAACTTGCGTCTTCCTTTTTTCATTTAAACTTAAATCGGCAGTGGCGGTTTCGGCCGCCTTTTGTGCAACCGGAGGTGTGTTTTGCATGTGTTCCCCCCCCCCCCAATTCCTTTTGGCTGCAAATGGTCAGTCACTTTCTGGTTCCACCTCCTCGCAGGGATATCAACCGCGAGTGGACTACACTGCAGGGTTGTCGTAAGCCACCCCCTCCCTTCTGCAGCGGTGGGGAGAGAATTGTGGATTTCGCTGGCATCTGTAGCACACTTCTAAACTGCAGAGAAAGTGAACAGAAGAGAACTTAGCAGTCAAACATTCGATATTCACACAAAGTAAGATCTGAGACTTCTTAGCAAAGTTTCTTAATCGGCTACAAGCAAATTAAAAAGAAAGGAAGGAAGGAGTCAGTGCTAACAATCTGAAATTGTTGGGGTGCAACACTAACATTCTGGAGTTTCTCTATTGTTTCTGATGGGCAAATCTCAATTTCGCTTCTGGAGATTTTATTTTATTTTATTAAAAAGGATAAAGCAGCCTTTTCTGGCCTGGGGGCGGCACCAGAATGCTGAAAAATCCAACCTTGTCCAATTGACTCCAAACAGGTGCCAAAGTTTAGTGCTGGTTTTGTGCAGCAAACTCCACATTTTGTGCCGGCTCCCAAACTGAGTATGGTAATTGACAACCAAACTGGGGTCTTAATTAAGTGGCCCAAAGACCAACCTTGTCAGATTGACTCCAAACCAGAGCCAAAGTGATCTGCTGGTTTGGTGCCGCAAACCCTGCATTCAGTGCGCCCCCCCCCCCAAACTGAGTGGGCTAAGTGGGTACTTGTTGGCTAAGTTGGAACTTAAGTGGGGGCTACAGAGTCAGTTTATTGTGTTTTAGCAAACAGCCAATATACACATTAAAAATGATAGCAATAATGATGATATGCATTTGTACTCCTTATCCTTTTAAAAAACCACATAATTTCCCATACATCCTTTAAGTTTTGTAGCGCAGATCTGCAGAGTGCTACAAGAAATTTGAATGTTCTGAAAGATATGTACAATACTTATTTGCATCAGACAGCAAAAAAACAACAACCAGGTCTTGGCAAGGGATGACCTTCCCTTCTGCGCTCTTAACAGTGGGTAGACATAATTGTTTCTAATATCATTATAGAAAGGGCATTCTTTTATTGACACCGAGGACTCAGGTACATTAGTTTTTTTTTTAAAGTGTTTAAAATGCATTATAACACTGTGACACCAGATGGCACTGTAGAGTTCCATCTGTCAGCAACGTGATTTCTAGTCCCATTATGAGGTTTGCAACGCATTTTCCTGAAACGTTTTTCTGATGTGTCTAGAAGATCCAGCCCAAGTTGCAGCCACAGACTCTTTCTTAGGAATTCCTTTATGTCAACCCATCCAATCTGCTAATGGGAGAACATTTAATCTTGCCTGCGTAAAGGCTACCTTCATTTTAACATTTGTTGTCTACCAGATATCTTGGAAGAGAATCCAAAACTCATGGCAGCCAACCGCATTTCACACTTCCATGAGTTTGGGCATCATCTCTACCAAAATTGTTTTTAAGTCAGGAAAGCAGGACCATTTTAAGAGCTTCAGCTTTAATGGGCCAATTATTACACCCAATTACACATGGAGTAATGCTATTTTTGTAGAAACAGGGACTGACAGGAGTGTGGGCAAAAAATTATTTTGTGCTATTTCCAGTGAATCTAAATTGGCCATAGCCCACAGTGGTGCTCCCTATAGCAGTTTTGGCAACACTCTGTCTTGTAACCTGGGCTGGACCAGGTTGCCCCCTTTTGTGCGATGGAATCGTAAGAGTCCATTTAAAGTTCTACCAGCTAACAAGGTGCTTGACTGAACCTGTGCAGACCATTTACCTGTCCACTGGAAAACCACACCAAAGTACTTGAAAGAGAGTACTTAATCCAGTTTATTTCCATCAAGTGACCAATTGTGAGTTTCTTGGATTTACCAAATATCATAACTTTTGGGGGGGGGGTTGGTAATTGATAAAAGAGGTGTTCATTCTTGCAGTACAAACTGAACCAATTCAAGTCTGTGCAAGCCCAATTGGGCATAAGAGACCAGGATAACAACATCTGCATAAAGGAGATTGGAGTATTTCTGATTTCCAATTTTCACTGGGAAGTAGTGCTCACCTCTCAGAAACTCAACTACTTCAATTATAAATATATCAAAAAGAAGGGGGAGAGGAAACACCCTTCTTTTACTCCTTTTGTGACTGGAACAAAGTTGGATAAATGACCCCCGACAATTCTAACTTGCAGAGGTGTACCAGCATATAGCACCATTATATGCTTATTTATGCTTTTATATGCCATTAGATACCTGCATATCAATCTCCACAGATTGTAGTTTGTTTGGTCCAAAGGCATTCCCGAGAGATAGAATCCAAAGCAGCTTTCAAGTCAATGAAGGCCACGTAAACATGTCTCACAATTCCAGCCAAGTATTTATCAATGATGTACTTAAAGCGTAAAGCAGTTTTCTAAAGTTGATCTGCCTGGGCAAAAGCCAGCTTGTCTTGACATTAACAGAACATGATCTTTTACCCAATCCGCCAGTTTGTCAAGGAGAGATATATCTTCCCTGGGACACCTAACAGGATAATTGGCCTATAATTTGCTGGGTCATTTATAAGGCCCTTTTTAATAGATTGGTACCACAACAGCTGATCACCAGCTTTGGGGGGGGCAAGACTCCAGAACTGTTAATTAAGGAAAATAATGATGCAAAAATTGGGGCCCACCAGTCAGAAAATACAGAAAAGGTGCTGGGAGACCTTCTTCACTGGGGGGAACCTAAGTTGGCTGGGGGGGGGGGCACTTATATTTATCTTGCATACCGGTATTTATCTTGTACAAATTATGTTGTGTTTTGCTATTTGGTTTGTTTGTCTATTGGATTTATATAATGCCTTCCTGCCTTCATTAGAAAGATACCAAGTCAGGACCAATGGTCCATTTAGCTCTGTGCTGGTTACACTGACTGGAAGCAACTCTCTATGGTTTTCAGGGCAGCAGGTGTCTCCCAGCTCTACCTGGGAAATTGCAGGGTTTGACCCTGGGCCCTTCTGTGTGCAAAGTAGATGCTCCCCCACTGAGGTACAGTGCTTCATCCAGGACACTCTAACATGTCCTCCTTCACCCCCTTTGCTTTGTTTTCTTCCTCTGGCAGCCCCCATTCTGTGCCCACGGAGCATGCTCAGAGATTTTGGAGTATCCTCCCTCCCTCCCACTTACCTGTTTTAACTAATGTTTTTCCCCCACATATTGGGGTTTCACCAAAACTGCTCACACCTCCTTGTTGTGCATCAGCATAGGTGGAAGTGGGGTGAACCTCCAGCCCATGAAACTATCCTGGCCAATGGGGGGGGGGGTCCTAAGTTGGCTCTAAAGGCCATTTCCTCCAAACCATGCTGACCTATCAGCTGATATCGCCTGAAGGGCGGGGTTCAATTCTGCAGGGGGCGTGTTTCACCTGTGCATTCCCTGCGTGGCACACACTGCAGAAAAAGACCCCTGCAGGTCAACTTCCACGGAGGGGCACGACTGCCTTCCTATCAGTCACCAGATGCCATCCTGACACCAAATGATGGACATGTCGGTAGCCCTGCTCATTTGTCAGACTTGGCTCATGGGGAGGGGCGGTGTAAGTGTGACATAAATAAAGAGCTGGTCCGTGCTGAGTTCGATAGTGTTGCTTTGGCAACAAAGCAATCCACATTCAGATAATGACTTCACTAGAGAGTATACACGTTACCCCATTCCAAGCACAGCAGCATCTTATTCAATTAACGCTCGTCATGAGCATGTTTAATGCCCTTTTTATTCCCCACCCCACCCCAAACCTCCCACTGACTTTTTATTTATTTATTTGCAAATTGCAGCCTTTCCTTGTTGTTAACAGAATCGGACGACAGAAACTGTAACAGGATCTTCCTCCCCTTTCTTTTTCCTTTTTTTTAATTGGCTGATTAACTTTGAAACTTGTTTGTTTCCCCCACCCCACCCCCACCAACATCTATTATGTACAAAAAAAGGAATTTTATTTCTGAAGCCTACAGAAACAAGTGCAAACTGACTGCAGTTTTTTTTAACCCTAATGATAAATATCCGGTGGGTTGGGGAGCATAAAACGGGGGACAAGGGAGCCAGCCTATATAACAAAACATCAAATCAATGCCCCTTCATCATAGCCGGTACAAAAACAAACAAACAAAAAAAAGAGTCCTCAAGAATGTCAGAAATGCCTTTTTGGTTCCAGACAAAAATGTCCTCCTAGCCCAGTATACAGTTTCCGGCAGCAGGCAGCCAAGAGGTCGCCAGGGCAGGAGGGAGGGCGCTGGCCTCCTTACAGCCGCACTCTCTCCTTCGCTCTCCCCACTTGCTACCGCTGGCGCTGGGGGATGCAGATCCCATGCGGCCGAGAGCGGACATAGCCCAGCTTGCAGGCACAGCGGTAGGAGCCGCTGGTGTTCACGCAGCGTTCGGTTTTACACAGAAGCCCTCGGTGGTTGAGCTCCAGGCACTCGTCAATATCTGAAAGGAAAAGAAATAAGGAAAAGAAGAGGGGGTGGGCAGCGCCAGAACTTGGCACATTTGGGCAGCTGCTGAGGAACCCAGTGCCATGGCAGGTGCCCACTGCTGGCATCTGTCTTGGGCTCCCTTTAAATTTGCTTTCCCAACCAGAGCAACGGCATCTGAGTCATGTCCACTTCCCCACCATATCTCCAATCTAGCATCACTCTGGGGCATTATGGGAAATTGCAAATGGCCACCCGACACTGCTGCCCAAATGCCACAAGTGACCAGGTAAGCCCCTCAGAGCTCACCAAGAGAGGTGATGGCAGTCCACGCTTTGCCCAGCACGCCCACACCCCAAAACCATCTGCAGACAGGAGAGTGGAGTCAATTCCCTAAAAAGAACCCTGGATGATGTGGGGTCAGAAGGTGGGGGTAGGGGTGGGGCATTTGCACACAAATCACTGGAGTCTGGAGGCATTGTAATGTACCCTCTAGCGTTCAGCCTGGCCGAGAGCGCTACGTCTGTGCATGCTGTGGAAAATCAAGACCCTCTTACCCAGACAGCGGGTATGGCTGGCATCGAGCTGGAAGCCCGGGGAGCACTCGCAGACCAAGCCCTGCTGGGTGCGGACGCAGTGGCCGTTCACACAGCGGCATTCATCGGAATCCTCTTCGGAGCTGTCCGCATCTGGGGTGGGGAAAGAAGCAGGAAACAGCCTAGTGTCCAAATAATGTTGGATGCTTTCACCTTCAGGAGGGGCTCAGTGAGAGAAAGGCCTCAAAATAGAAGGGGTTTTTTTGGGAGGGGGAGAAGTAAAAAATGGCACATCCTTCACTTTATTTTGGCTCATTTTGTATTAGAAGAAGAAGAAGAAGTTGCACATCTGATGGGTTACCCCAGCCACTCTGGGCAGCTTCCGGTAAAATATAAAAACACAATAAATCATCAAGCATTAAAAATTTCCCTATACAGGGCTGCCTTCAGATGTCTTCTAAGAGTCATGTAGTTGTTTATCTGTTTCCAGCCCCTCCTACTCCCCTAAGTGATAGCTGTTGCAGACAGACTGACTGACTGACTGACTGACTGCCCCTGAACACCACCCCTGTCTCCATTTATTTCATAAAATTTATATACCACTTGATTTAAAAAAAACACAAACTCAAAGCAGTTTACAAAAAGAATGAAACAATGAAATGATCAGTAAAACAAAAACAAGATCCAGTTAGAAGCAACTATTTGAAACATACAAACAATAATTAAGACCAGTGATAAGATAAAAACCAGATTAAAACACATGCTAACGTGCTACATGTCTGGACAGGCTTGCCTAAATAAAAATGTTGGGCCCCCAAAAAAGTATGGTGACAGCGCCCACCTGAAGTCAATTGGCAGGGAGTTCCAAAGTGTGGGTGCTTCTGCACTAAAAGATCAATTTCTTACCAATGTGGAACGAGAATTATGTGTAACCCATAACAGTGCAAGTTCCGCAGATCGAAGTGGCTGAGTGGGCATAAGGCAATTTTAAAACTCTCACCTTTGTGCACCTTGCCAAACAAAGCGCTGAAGTCCCAAAATGAGTTGCTCTCGCTTGGAGTGGACTGGCAGTTAAGGCCTGGGGGAGAAACAAACACCACAGCAGTCCTCGTCACCTTGGGCCACACCTGCTCCTAAGTCACCCTCATAATGATAGGCAAAAAATGTGGGCACAAGCGTTATAATATACAGGGAAAGAGTGGGATATGCCAGGGCTCATAGCCTAGCCCCAAATGTGTAAGAGGGGGACGTGGAACAGTATGGAAGATATGGGTGCCACTGAGCACACACAGAGTGCTTTCCATCTTCCCACCAAAGAGGAGCTTTGGTGGGAAGATGGAAAGCACTCTGTGTGTGCTCAGTGGCACCCATATCTTCCATACTGTTCCACGTCCCCCATACTGAGAAGAGTTGGATTTGGCATATGAATTAAATCTCTTCACCCTCTGCATGCTCAGAGTCACTCTGCTTTTCAGGATTCCTGGGCCCAGACATTGCTAAAGGAAATAGTTTCACGCTGACACTGTGGGCTGCTTCAATAAACTTCCTGGTGTGTGGAGAGGTCAGACCCTCAATGCTCAAGGGCACTTTCCCCCTCAGCCAACTACCCCCATCTCCCACTCCTCCCTCCCCATGAACTCAGCGCTCACGGTTACCTGAGCCACGCAGTGGGCAGGCGTGGCAGTGGTAGCCCCAGCCTTTGCCGTAGCGGCAACAGCATTCCTCGTAGCTCAGCTGCTGGCCATTGAACGGAGAGGAGCACATCCCGTCCTCCCCTCTCTGCTGCCAGCAGACATCGCGAAGGTCGGTCACCCTGTCTGCGAAGTGGGGAGAGGAAAGGGTGGGGCAGCTTGAGGTTCGGTTCCATTTGCGCACAGAGATTTTCTTGTTTTTTAAAAAAGTATTTCTATATATATAATTTTCTATTGTATTTTCTCCTTGACAATTTAAAATACTCATTTAAACATCCTTAAAATATCAGTGACTTCCCTTCTTCTCTTTCCATGGTTCCTTTTGCACATCATTAATCCCTGCATATTTTACAAAACCTAAATCATTCAGTATTCCATTACTGCATCCGTCAAAACTTATTTACACTGTTGAATTTATCTTAATGCTGTCAGTGTTTTCAGATGTACAGTTTCCCCCCATATATTCAATAAATGTTTTCCAATCTTCTCTAAATGTATGTTCTTCTTGTTCTCTTATTCTATGTGTTAAATCTGCAAGCTTTCAATGTTCTGTAGATTACTGACTCTGCTGTTTTAGCAGATGCTAGTTTTACTTTGATTTGATCCTAATGCTCTTTAACATTGTTTTTTTAAAAATTTTATGTCAGTGTTGTGTTTCATGGGTTTTTCTGTTTTTGTTCTTTAATCACATTGACCAAATAACGTTTTGTTACTAGATGGGTATAAAAATGCTGCAAATAAATAGAGCTGACCTGCTTGTGTCTCTGGGAGCTGGCACTCCTTGCCACTGGGGTCCAAGGTCAAGGGAGGTGGGCATTCGCAGGAGAATGAGCCGATAGTGTTGGTGCAGTGCCCAAGTTTGCAGACCCTGGGGTCCTGGCACTCATCCAGATCTGCAGGCGACAACCAGGGAGCCAGCTGCTCACTCCTACATGGGTCTCTTTATGCATGTCCCTGCTCCCAAGCCTATTCTGAACCCTACAGCCCACAAGCCCCAATTGCTCGGTATTCTTGTTATCTTCCACCCTTCTGTTGCTACTGAGGTTTTGCCCTGTGAGAGGTCTTTTTTTCCAGACTCAAACTGGCAAAGCCGACTTCTTAACAAGGTGGCCTTTGAAATGAATTCCTTCATCATAAGAAGAGCCTGCTGAATCAGGAGAATGGCTCATCTGGTCCAGCATCCTGGGCTCACAGTGGCCAATCCGGTGCTTGTAGGAAACCTACAAGCAGGTCCTAAGCACAAGAGCCTGCTCCTCCCCTGCGGTTTCCAGCAACTGGTATTCAAAAGCATTGCTGCCTCCACTGTGGAGGCAGAGAGACTGTGAAAGCCATCGATAGCCCGAATCCCCTTTTAAATCCACCCAAGTTGGTGGCTGTCACCTGCCTCCTGTGGGAGTGAGTTCCATAGTTTAACTATGTGCTGTATAAAGAAGGGCTTTCTTTGGTCTGTCCTGAATCTTCCAACATTCAGCTTTTGTAGGCTGTCCGCGAGTTCTAGTGTTGTAAGCCAGGTGGGGGGGGGGACTTTCCTCTATCCACTTTATATCTTTGCCATGCATAGTTTTATAAAAGTCTATCACAGGGGTCAGCAAACTTTTTCAGCAGGGGGCTGGTCCACTGCCCTCAGACCTTGTGGGGGGCCGAACTATATTTTTTGGGGGGGAGGGATGAACGAATTCCTATGCCCCACAAATAACCCAGAGATGCATTTTAAATAAAAGGGCACATTCTACTCATGTAAAAACACCAGGCAGGCCTTACAAATAACCCAGAGATGCATTTTAAATAAAAGGACACATTCTACTCATGTAAAAACACCAGGCAGGCCTTACAAATAACCCAGAGATGCATTTTAAATAAAAGGGCACATTCTGCTCATGTAAAAACACCAGGCAGGCCTTACAAATAACCCAGAGATGCATTTTAAATAAAAGGACACATTCTGCTCATGTAAAAACACCAGGCAGGCCTTACAAATAACCCAGAGATGCATTTTAAATAAAAGGGCACATTCTGCTCATGTAAAAACACCAGGCAGGCCTTACAAATAACCCAGAGATGCATTTTAAATAAAAGGGCACATTCTGCTCATGTAAAAACACCAGGCAGGCCTTACAAATAACCCAGAGATGCATTTTAAATAAAAGGGCACATTCTACTCATGTAAAAACACGCTGATTCCCAGACTGTCCGCAGACCGGATTTAGAAGGCGACTGGGCCAGATCCGGCCCCTGGGCCTTAGTTTGCCTACCCATGGTCTATCATGTCACCTCTTAATTCACCTTTTCTCCAAACTAGGAACCCCTAAACACTGCGTCCTGGGGCTTTCTTAAGAACGTGCGGCAGTTAGAAACCAGCCTCAAACCTCCAGCTCAGAGGTCCACTGGGCAAACCAAGCATGTGCTTTTCAAGAATGGAAGGGGCAGGACTCACCAACTTCACTGGCCGGTATGCACTTCTTACGGTTGGAGTCATAGGTGGTGGAGGCAGGGCAGGAGCAGCGGAAGCTCCCACGTGTGTTCTCACAACGCCCATTGACACAGTTCGACTCATCCAAACACTCGTCCACATCTAGGAGAGAGACAGGATTGGAATTCAGGTCTTGCAGTTTCTGTATTCCACACACACTTAGCGAACTTTGCCTCGGAAGACGAACAGTGGAAGGGCACTGGCAGCACAAGGCCTCAGTAGGGAAAGCACACCTTGGTATAAGAACGCTTCTGGAACGAATTAAGTTCGTAGACTGAGGAACCACTGTATACAGTGGTACCTTGGGTTACAAACACCTCAGGTTACAAACACTTCGGGTTACAGATTCCGCTAACCCAGAAGTAGTACCTCGGGTTAAGAAATTTACCTCAGGATGAGGACAGAAATCGCATGGCGGCAACAGCAGGAGGCCCCATTACTAAAGTGGTACCTCAGGTTAAGAACAGTTTCAGGTTAAGAACGGACCTCCAGAACGAATTAAGTTCGTAACCAGAGGTACCACTCTGTGTGTGTGTGTATCAAAAAGAATGGCAGTGCAGTTCTTGTGGGCGCAGATCATACTACTTAGTGCGACTTTTTGCCTCTCCTCTCTAAAAAGTTGACACACACAGGATATCTTGAGCGTTCAAGGCCTACCGTTACACCTTTTAAGCTTCCACACGCCCTTCGCTACAAACCTTTGCCAAATGACACACTGCTTTCACAACGTGTTGCTTGTTTTCTGAGAGATTTTTAAAAGCTGAGCTAGAAACAATCCGATCCGAATAACGTTATCGTACTAGCCGTTGGCCACACCAAATCCGAATCAAAAATAAATGCGAGCGAAAGGGGTGCCTTGCTAGAAACAGTTACTTGCCTTTTAAAAACAAAACGCAGTGTTTCTTAAAAAGGTGTTGCGACAGAAATCTAAATATTGCTGTCTTTTTAAAAAAAAAAAGCAGCCTGCTAAAGTTGCACGCTTTACCTGCCTGTCATTATTAATTAATTAATGTCAAAATACGCAAGGTGAAATACTACAATGAAATATAACCATCAACAAAACCAGAAACCCAAGCACAGGCTGAGATAAGATAGATAGATCAAGGGTCTGATTCAGCATAAGGCATGAGCATAGATCAAGTAAAACAATAGAAATACTTAACTAACTGACCGATCACATTGGTTCTGCCTAACAAAAGTCCTCCCAACAAAAATCCTGGCTATGCTCATGGTATAAGGTGTTTTTATGCTTTGGGTGATAGGTTGTCACCCACAAGACACACACACACAAAAATAGACTAGAATTGCCATATTTCCAAAAGTGAAAATCCGGATACAGTTGTTGAGGGGTTTTTTGGGGACGGACACCCCATGGAGTCCTGCAGCTTTCCCTATCATTTTTGGCCCTCTTGCCTACCGACACATTCCAAGAGGTTTGCATCGTAGTAGAAGCCTTGCTTGCAGTAACATTCATAGCCAGGCTGAGTGTTGACACACTTCCCTTCTTTGCAGATCTCCTCCCCAAATAAGGCGCATTCATCAATGTCTGCAACGAAAAGGGAGGAGAGGCTGTTAATCCGGGGAAACCTCACCCACCCAGCAAATCAAGACATCATTCCTGTGGGGCTCAAATGCAATCTTCCTCAGCGCATGTCCTAACAGTGGCTGCTGGGAATTATAGCTCAAAACCTCCAGAGGGCGCCAGGTTGGGGAAGGGCATGCTCCAAATGAAACCCTAAAATTCTCCATATCGTTGGGAGAATTTGCATTTCGTCAGAGCCGGCCCACCCGTGAGGCGAGGCAAAGCAGCTGCCTCGGGCGGCACGCACGTTGTAAAATGCAAAGGAAAGTCATAGACTTCCAGATCATCACCATTTCAGTATATGTGAAGGACATATAACCATTTAAGCAGCATCTTACAGTTAGGTGTAATTCTGAATATCCCAAAGTTTGAGCTGGATGGTTGTGGAGAGAAGGTTTCACTATTTTGGATTGATTGATTGATTGATTGATTGATTATTAAAAAATTTGTTGTTTGTATGTTTGTTTTTATAATGTGATTCAGACTTGGACACCAGCCAGGAAACCGTGTTATGGAGCAATCAGCACATATAAATTATGCAGCTGCTGAGGTCAGGAGAGCAAAGTATCTATGAGGACACAGGAATGTCAAAGCAGACAGTGCAATTATAGGTCTGCTCAGAAGTAAGTCCTACTGTTTTAGTGGCACTTACTCAGAGGTGACTATGGGACTGCAGCTTGCCTATGTTATAAAGAGGGAAGACAAACATGAAACTATGTTCCTAATACTGTACAGTGGAAACCATTTACTGAATATTGGGTGAACAGGGGAGATACATTGAAGGGGGATGGGGGTGAATGTCTAACCTGTGGACCTCATTAGACCACCAGGTGTCTGAATTTGGCCCACAAAACCATATTGGGCAAAGCATGCCCAATATCAGGGACAGAGATCTGTGATCTCTTTATGTTGGAGAGAAAGGTTTGGAAGAGAGCCTTACTCTCTCGTAACAGTTAGCACAGTGGTGATAGCTACCAAGCCCATTAAAACTTAGATTTTACATCTGCCCTCATCCACCTTTGAACAAACATTTCCCACAAAAATACTTAGGCTAGGAATATATTTTAGACATGTAAGCTTTGCAAATGAGTGAAGATTTTACTCACAGAGTTTAGGAAGTTACAAATCTCCATCCGTTAGCGGTAAAATAAAGAAGAAAAAGGTTCCAAAAGACTTAAAAAGAAATAACTTGGTTCCCTTACACACACAAAAAAATAATGCAGAAGATGCAGGCTGTAAAAATCTCGTAGAGAGATTTTTCATTCATGTGTTTTTTTCTTCAGCTAGAAGCCATGGAATGGAGCCATGAGTGGAGCAACAGGAGGAGCACTCACCCCTTTGTTCATTGGGCTCCACTCCTGACACTCAAGAGCCTTCCTTGCATCTTGACCCCACATCTCTCCACCCAGACAAGCAAGAGGCTTCCTCAGAGTCCAAGAAAACATTCCAGCCAGGCAAACGCACCTGAGGAGGGTGTCAGGGGGAGGGTGTGGTCTGGGGAGAATCCGGAAGGCCAGACAGAGGGGCCAGGAGGGTCATTTTTGGCCCTGGACCGGAGTTGCCGTGCCCCTGGGTTGAACAAATCTTTGGAGTAGAGACTCAAATCATCCCTGATCACGGGCTCTGCTGGCTGGGTCTGCTGGGAGCCGGAGTCACACAGCATCTGAGAGTCACAGGTATGGGCAAGGTGGGCCACCCAGTGAAAATAAAGATACACACACACACACGACATCTCTTTGTATGTCATGGCTCAAAAGACTCACCACGATGTGCTGGGATGCCATAGTTGAGGATGGTGTCATCCAGAATGAAGCCTTTGCCATCCGGGCAGAGAGTATGGAACTCAACTATGTGGAGTGAGGAGAAAGAGAGATATATATAAAGCTGGTAATAAATAACCATCAGCCTAAAGGTACAGGCTCCAAGGGCCACCCGCTCTGCAACATTTCCTGCTTGGGAAGATTTATCCCTTGCTGGCAGTTGGGGATTTTCTGCTATCCTAAGAAGGCCTATTTTGCACTATTTCTCCTTCAAGCACAGCACTGTCTGCTCCGAGAGGGAGGCGTCGGGCAGAGAAGAGAGTATCGAATAGCACAAATATTATTTATGCGAAGACAACTTTTTTCTTTCATGACTTGGACTTGGGTACTTAATCCATATGCACTTATTCTACGTGCCTATTGCATGGTTTTGTTTTCATTTTCACCTGCTGTTATAACTGCTGTACTTTACAAAAGAAAGAAAAGGGGAAAAACAGAGTCGTTCCCAAGAGCTGCTGCTACCTAATGCTTTTCCCTGGAGATGTTGGGGGTCTTCTGCAGCTGAAGTGGATACCCCAACACTGAGCTAAGGGAACCCTTCTCCCCTAAAAGCTGGTCTGCTGAGGAACAGTACAAGGAAATGGAGAAGTATAAAGGCTGCCTCATACAAATTCTGGTCCTTTTAGCTCAGTATTGTCTACACCAGGCATGGCCAAACTTGGCCCTCCAGCTGTTTTCGGACTACAATTCCCATCATTCCTGACCATTGGTCCTGTTAGCTAGGGATGATGGGAGTTGTAGTCCCAAAACAGCTGGAGGGCCAAGTTTGGCCATGCCTGGTCTACACTGACTGGCAGCAGCTCTCCAGACTTTCATAGTGGGAGTCTTTCGCAGACCTGCAAAGTCCTGCTCTACCACCGAGCTATGGTTCTTGCCCTGTATTCAAAGGTGACAGGAGGAGCTGTCACCATCACTTATCAAGATCTCTTAACGAAACACCCTCTATGCAGCTGTCCCCTCAGACTTACTAGAATTGAGCACAGGGCAAGGGTAGATTTCGCAATGGTCTCCCCAGCCTGCCCCAAGCGAGCAGCAGCACTCCTGGCGGGTAATGTTGGTGGCGAGGACACTGTCGCAGAAGACGGTGTCGTCAAAGTTCAGGTAGCACTCCTTTTTGTTGTGTGGCAGCTCTGAGGGGAAAGAGAGGGAGAGAAAAGTCGCTCGCTTCCACACAAGAAAGAATCATCGCCTCTTTCAGGCCTGCCGGATTCTCACCCACCGTGACTGAGGCACTTGGCGAAAGAAAAAGCTCTCCCCCCACCCCCAGTGCTCTCGCCATCCCCCTCATGTGCCACGCTCACCCTCGCAGCTCTGTTGGTCTTCAGAAGGAGCAAATCCATCATCACAGACGCACACGAAGGACCCCTCAGTGTTTTCGCAGGCCCCGTGTGGCTGGCAGAGGTCAAGGTCTTTCGCACACTCGTCAACATCTGGGGAGGCAACGCCATGCATGTTGGTGCTGCAGGCATAAGTTGCTCAGGGACACAAGAACCTAGAGCCTCAGAAGTCAGCTTCCCCCCCACTCACCCCATTCCAAGCCCACTGTTGGCAAGGTGTGTTAAGTAAGTATAATAATTTAATTCACACTGAACTGGAGAATGCCTATGTGTATTGCTGAAAGGGTTCAACTGGAATATTCCACTGAAGCGAAAGAAGAGCTCTCTAAGCACCTGGATGAGTTGGTAACTGTTGTTGTTCTCTGTCATATGCCTGGCTTAGATCACATGAAAGAAATAGTATTAAACTCTATGCACATGTCACGCTGTGGGTCTCTATTTTTGTATGTGAGTCTTTCTCTGAAGGCCACAGAGAGAACAAAGGAGGTGTAAATGGGCCTCTACAAAAGTGAACAGAACTCCAGGGAAAATGAAGGCTGTAAAGAGTGTGTGTGTGTGTGTGTGTGTGTGTGAGAGAGAGAGAGAGAGAGAGAGAGAGAGAGAGAGCTAGCTTTGCTTCTAGGTCTGTTTATTCCTTATAAGATGTTGGGCCTGTGCAGGACATGCACAAGTTTTTGCATGAAATTGTCAGGATGTATCTTTGATGTTTTTGTTCTGTTTCAAAGAAAGCTCCACAAGTAAAGCCTGAATCAAACTTATGGGTCTAAACATTGTTTTATTCCAAAAGGGGTCAGTTTTTTTATGCATCCAGTTGCTTCAAGCTCTGCAGTATTAATATCTGCAATAAGGTGAACTGCCTCACTCACCTTGGCACTTCCGACCACCCTCCAACTGGTAGCCGGCCCGGCACAGGCACTGGTAAGAGCCCAAGGTGTTCAGGCACTCGCCACCAACACAGGCTGCTGGGAAGTCACACTCATCCAGGTCTGCAGGGACAGGAGGAAAGGAGAAGGTACTTGCCTGGAAAACCTGGAAAACCCACCCTTTGTCCCAAGCCTAAGAGGTTGGCTGTGGTTCCTCAGAATGAAAAGGAGCATGGTACCTGCTCAACGGCATTGTTCTCGCCTCTGTGTTAAGTATAATTGTTTAATTGACACTGAAATAGAGAATGTGTGTTGCTGAAAAGGTTTGACATGGGGAAATTCCACTGGAGTGTACTAAGCTCTCAAAGCACCTTGATGAGTTGATAATTAACTGTTGTTGTTCTCTGCTAGCTAACACTGGGGGTGTTTAAATTTATATCACATGTGAGCTGTTGAATTGCAAATTTGCCATCTTGGAAGGGTGGTGGAGTGTTAGTTCCCAGGCTCTTTGGGAGTAAATATATGTCAAAAAGTCTCCTGAAGAGAAAACAGCTCCAGACAAAATGGAGGCTGTAAGGCGAGAGAGAGACCTTTGCTTATAGGCCTGTTTGGAATTATCTTTTATTTCTAAGATGCTGAGCCTGTGCTGGACAGCACAAGATCTTGCCTGGAATTGTTTGCATGCATCTTTGAAGTTTTTGTCCTGTTCTGAAGAAAGTTGTGCGAGCAAAGTTTTAAAATAATATCTGATGGGTCTCAACAATGTTACATTCCAAAAGGAGTCAGCTTTTATGCATCCAGTCACTTCAAGCTGCACAATATTAATATCTGCAATACTCTAGTACTACTTTTTGTGCTTGAGGGCTGACCTGCGGGACTGAACATGCATTCCGGGCCTCAGTCCTGCTGGCCATTAGTGGAGAGTACAAAAACGCACACACAAGCAAACCTCTTCATAAGCAAACCTCTCCCCTCGTTCTCAGGAGGGAATACACAGCCAAAGAATCCCATCTCTAACTTTCAGAAGCATGGTTCATTGTGTTTAAAAACAGAGGGAGAGGAGGGTCTCAAGCCTGTGATGCAGGGAGGACAGCATCAGCTCCTCAGGCACTCTGCACAAGCTCAAAGGAGCTACTTCCTTATGCTCCTCCTCAGTGTCGCAGGTGGAATCCAAAACTAGTCCAATAATCCAAGCCAAAAACAAAATCCCAGGCCGCTCTCACCTTCACAGCGTGGCTCATCCTTCACAGCCTGGAAACCCACGGGGCACTGGCACTTGAAGGATCCCAGGGTGTTCACACAGGAACCATAGGTACAGAGAGACCCATTCTCGCATTCGTTGATATCTGCATGGAGAGAAACAAATCAGCCCACTTCTTCGGTGTTTCCGCCTCGCTCAGCCTTCTCCCAGCCTTCCAGATGTTGTGGGACTACAACTCCCATCAGCCCAGTGTTCTTAGGGATGAAGGAAGTTGTAGTCCAACAATACCTGGGAGTGCCAATGATTCCCCATCTCTGGCCTAGTCAAGATTGGAAGGATGTCCTTTCCTGGACAGGAACATTGCTTTTATGACATTTTTTATCCCACCCACCCTGTAGCCAAGGGAAGCATACATGGTTCCCCTGCTTCTCCCTCCACCTTATTCTCACAACAGCCCTGTGAAGTTGGCTAGGCTGAGAAATAGTGACTGGCCCAAGGTTACAAACTGAGTTTCATGGCTGACAAGAGGTTCGAACTAGAGGTCTATGTTATGAACCACCCTGTGATCCCTCTCCCCTCCTGTGGTTTCTAGCAGCTGGTATTCAAAAGCACTACTGCCTCTGACTGTGGCAAGAATAGCTGTTGTGGTTATTAGCTGGTGAAATCCTTGAATTTGTCCAATCCTCTTTTAAAGCCATCCAAGCTGTTGGCCATCACTGTCTCCGGTGGAAGTGAGTTCCACAGTCTGTGTGAAGACGGACTTTTTTAAACTGTCCTGAATCTCCCAGTATTCTGCTTCATTAGACATCTATGAGAATTCCTGGGCTATTCAAAAATGGTGCTCTGTGAACAGATCATTAGGGTGGGACCCAAGATTTGTGGCACTAAATCTGCTTGGGTGACCATCTTGGCCTCCCCCTTGTCATTGGCTGTGCTGCTGTGACATCACAGAAACCAGCCTGTACAGGTTCCCTCCCACCAGGAAGCTCCGTGCACCAGGGAGGTGTGGGGAATTACCAAGACAGCTGTGGGAATCGGGTGCAGGGACAAATCCGTCGTCACAGATGCAGAGGAAGGAGCCATCAACATTCTTACACCGGCCGTGTTTACAGAGCGTGCTCTCGGCACATTCATTCACATCTGCGGGGAGAGTAACCCAGGGAGCTTCACTCCTTGTGCCCTGAGCAACGGAAGGAGAGCTCTGCTGGAGGGCTTTGTGAGGACGGAATGGTGCTTCTTTAGTCTGATTATTTATGTCTTTTATACACCACCTTTCTTCAGAAGACCAAAAGTGTCAGGGACTGTGCTGAGGAGGGCTGCACTGAGGAGGAATGGTGGGAACCTACCCCTGCTCCTGATCAGGATCCTGAATCTTTCCAGGAGCAGTGGGACAGTATAGATTTGGAACAGTGGTTTGCAGAGGGACATAGTTCAGAAGACAGAAGTTGTGAAGTACTGGGTGGTGAAGAGCTAGGAGAAGAAGAACTGGGAGAGAGAGAGTTAACAGACGCCCTTTAACTGAAAGGTGTCCATCCGCTCAGCGCAAGGTCAAGGAGAGCAGATAAGGTGGCAGCACAGAAAGCACAGTGGTTGTGAGATCAGGTTGCAAGATGCGGTAGTGATGTGAGTGACTAGTGGGGAAGTGGGTGGAACCGTTAATTGGGAGCACCTTCATTCCTAGGAATGGATTCTTGGTTCTCTCACTGTGATCATTAAAATCTCTAACTGGTAAGAGACTCCTTTCGCTTTGTTCTGCTTATCTACTGCCGAAGAGGGGAGAAAGCCGAGTCCCTGAAGCCTGATAAAAAGGCAGTTTACAGCACAAATGTCACTTCACAGGATCTAGGGCTGAACGACAGATCGTCCAAAACTGGTTTCAAGCCCATATCACATGGCTGTCAACTTTTCCCGGTTTTTAAGGGAAATTCCCTTATTCCGAATAGGATTCCTCGCAAGAAAAGGGAAAAGTTGACAGCTATGCCATATCATTATATCGGTTTCGTAACTTCTGACCTGGTGTGTGTGTGTGTGTGTGTGTGTGTGTGTGTGCGCGCGCTATGCAAAAATCACAATGCAGGAAATAAAAAGGAAGCCAGCCCATGCCTCTACATAGCTCCATCCTTATTTCAGACATTGTGATATATTGGTATATTGGGATGTTTAGCTGGTGATATATTGCCCTGATATCGCCCCACCCTAATATCTATCCAACGTAAAAATCTAAATGATTATACAAATGCAATTATAATACTATGAACTACATGATAAAATATACGGATTCTCGTCATGGCAACAGCATCAAAAATAAAGCAGGGGGAAATCAGCAGCAAGGTTTCCAAACCAGGGCTGGCCTGCCCATGATAAAAAGAGGCTGAGCCCAGCAAAGCCTTAAGGCAGGGCTCAGGCCTTGCTTCTTACCTCCACACACACCATTTCGACCCCGGAAGCCTGGCGGGCAGGGGCTGCATTTGTAGCTGCCGGGACGGTTTTCACACTTCCCGTCGGGGCAAGTTCCAGGGTCAAGGCACTCATCAATATCTGGAAAGGAAACGGGGTTTATTTGTTTGTTTGTGGATTTTTATTTTTTAACTTATCAGTGTAGCCCAAATAACAAAACAGAGGTTCATGAGACAAACCCATAAAAACTCAACCCAACCAAACCCAGGTTGGCAAGAGAAGTTACGTTAACAAGCAGAAACAATAAAGCTGATTATCTTAGATGCTTGCCACAAGATGCTGTACAGACAGGTAAGTCGAGAGTACCATCACCATAAGAAAGGAAGGAGCGAGAAGTGTGACGCAGATGACTTACAAGAGATGCAGAATAAACCCCTAGCTGAAACCATTTGAGAAACAAGGAGTACCAAGGCTGCATCTACACAGCTATGAAAAAATGCAGCTCTGAAAATGATTTTTTACAAACCATTTTATAGCTCAACATGGAAAATTTCATTCAGTTCTGATTCCAGCTCTACAGCGCCATCTGGTGCCACAATGTTACAACACATTTATAACTTTCTTTTTTACTAATGAAGCTGAGTTCCAATAATAAAAAGCTGTATATTAAGTCAAGGAAAAATTTCAACCAGTTAGATGTTACTTATCCCAAATTTATTGAGAGGCTTGTGGAAGAGGCAAATGTAAAGTTTTTGTTTTTGTTTTGTTCCGTAAAATTCCTCCAAAATGAGAGACAAAAGAGGTAGCCTTTGTTCTTCCTTTCAGAAAACAAGGGTACCAGGTAAGTTTTTTGGGTAATGCAATTTTCCATGTTAGTCCACCATAATGAGGTGGGAATGATGGTTGTAATCAAAAACAAGATTGCAAGGAAAGAAGGGACACCAGAGGGAAACTGGAAGCGGTGAGAAGCAATTAAGAGGGCAGAATAATATAATAATAATTTATTATTTATACGCCACACATCTGGCTGGGTTTCCCCAGCCACTCTGGGCAGCTCCCAACAGAACACCAATAACAATAATAAAAAAGCGACAACATCAAACATTAAAAACTTCCCTAAACAGATGTCTTCTAAAAGTCAGATAGCTGTTTATTTCCTTGACATGTGAAGGGAGGGCGTTCCACAGGGCGGGCGCCACTACCGAGAAGGCCCTCTGCCTGGTTCAACAAAGTGAACCCAGGCCTATGCTTTGGCTCTAAATTGCCTTGCAACCAAGATACTGTCTACACCAGTCCCACCAAATGGAAACCTACAGAAAGACTTAAATAATTCCGCGGAAGTCAGCCTCCTCAGCCTTCCCACCCCTCTCTAAGGCTCCTCTTCTCCAGCCCCCCCCCCCCAGTCTCAAGCTGCTAATCTTTGTCCTGCTCTTCTCATTTCTCTGTGTGTGCTCAGAGACCAGAGGGGAGGGAGCTGGTCCCAGCAGGAGGGGGAGACTCCCTGGACTCTTGCACAGCCTACCTCATCTGCTCTCTGCCACAGCATTTTCCTGTTCACTAAACCCTGTTGCCTCTTCAGCTTCTGACTCCTCCCAGTCTGCTACCTCTGACCTCTCCTCAGTGTCCCACCACCAGTCCCCTGTCTCTGAGCCATTTCCTCCAGGGTGTTTGCTGGGTGGGGGACAGACAGACTGTTGGTGCCTCCCACAATTCCTCTGCATGCAACCAGTAGATGACAGTTACGCTATCATAACCCCCCCCCCCATTTTATTTCCCAGGACTAAACACTGAATCAAAACGCAACCTTATTTCTGCAGTGCTTGCCACCCCTACCCCCCACCTCTTAACCCCACCCATTGTACCTTCACAGAGGAGCTGGCGGGAGGGCTTGAGCCGGTAGCCTGCATGGCACTCGCACTTGTAGTGTCCCGGGAAATTGATGCAGGATCCTCCGTCCCCACAGACTTTGGGCTTGGCACATTCATCAATATCTGGAAAGGGGGAAGTGGGGGGGGTGCCATGAGTGGGGCGGAGGGCGGGCCCTGGAACCTCTCACCATCCCCAGGACCCACAAGTGTCTCACCCACGCAGGACCGCACTCCCTTGTGGACCTTCAGCTGGTAGCCACGGTTGCAGTGGCAGTTGTAGGAGCCGCCGGTGTTCATGCAAACGCCCTTCCCGCTGCCGCCGCAAGGATCCAGCTCACACTCATTCACATCTGGGGAGAAGAGAGTGGGGGGGGGGAAGAGAGAGGAAGGCGGAGGAAGGGCAATTGAGTGGTGCAAGGTTTTCCCAAGCAGCAAACTTGTCGGGGAGTGGGAAAAGGGATGTGCGTGCATTTGAGGAAAAATGCCCCTTACCTACACAATACCTGTGCTGGGGATGCCTGCGGTATCCTTGGTAACAATGGCAGGTGTAGCCAGGGCTTGCAGGGATGCACTCGCCGTGGCCGCAAATATTGCGTCTCAGTTTACAAATGTCCGTCTCTACAGGGTGCGGGGAGAGAGAGATACGGGAAAACAAATATGCTTTAAAACATGGGAGGCCCTTATCATATCACCATCACCATGTTCCTGTTACTTATACCCTCCACATTAACTCCCTACAAGTGGCTTACATTAAAAGAGACCTAAGAGGGGGGTAGTGGCTGGACCAGACCAAAGGTCAGCATCTTGTTTTCCGCAGTGGCCAACTAGATGCTTCAGTGGGAAACACCCCCTACTGAACTGTCACCTCACTGAATCTGGTGGGAGGGCCTTCTCGGTAGTGGCACCCACCCTGTGGAACGCCCTCCCACCAGATGTCAAAGAGAAGAACAACTACCAGACTTTTAGAAGACATCTGAAGGCAGCCCTGTTTAGGGAAGCTTTTAATGTTTAACAGACCATTGTATTTTAATACTTTGTTGGAAGCTGCCCAGAGTGGCTGGGGAAACCCAGCCAGATGCGTGGGGTATAAATTATTATTATTATTATTATTATTATTATTATTATTATTATTATTATCATTATTATTTTTAAAAGGTAAAGGACCCCTGGATGGTTAAGTCCTGTCAAAGGCGACTATGGGGATGTGGTGCTCATTTTGCTTTCAGGCCGAGGGAGCCGGCGTTTGTCCACAGACAGCTTTCTGGGTCATGTGGCCAGCAGGACTAAATTGCTTCTGGTGCAATGGGACACCGTGACAGAAGCCAGAGTTCACGGAAAAGCTGTTTACCTTCCCATCACAGTGATACCTATTTATCTACTTGTGCTGCTATGCTTTCAAACTGCTAGGTTGGCAGGAGCTGGAACAGAACAATGGGAGCTCAGTTTGTGGAATCGAACTGCCGACCTTCCGATCGGCAAGCTCAAGAGGCTCAGTGGTTCAGACCACAGCGCCACCTGCGTCCACCCACCGGTTGCTGGAAAAGACAGGTGGGGACAGTGGGTGTTGCACTCCAGCCCTGCTTACAGGTTTCCCCTGAGAATCTAGTTGGTCCCTGAAAGAGCAGGATGCTGGGCTCACATCCAACCCGTTCTTCTTATCTTCTTCTGCCGAGCTCACCTGTCACCTGTGTGGGGGGCATGTCAAATTCACTGACGTTCTTGTCCTCTTCGGGATATTTCACCACGACGGCGGTCGTAGGCTTGGCGATCACAGCTGTGAGCCGAAAGAGAGAAACGGTTGTAGGCTACGAACATGGCACTGCCGGGCTCCTGGGCAGCAGTGCCTCTGAGCGCAGGATGGAGGGTGGGGGGAGAGTTTTGCAGAGAGACTTCTCACACACCAGGGCCCCAGGCCAATGAAATTCCTGCTCACACTCACCAGGGTAACGGGGACCGAAGGTGGGGGTGTTGGCGAAGAAGACAGGCTGCTGCTCCGAGGTTGTCACATAGCTGGGCAACTGGAAATGGTTTTTTGGGGGGTGGAGGGTCAAGTGATGAAAGAAAGGGACAACATTACAGGCCAAGGCAGATTTGTATGTGGCTAGCCCCGTGGTCACATAGGAAGCGGCTGTGGATGAGGCTGGCCTGCTTACCCATCTAACCCAGTATTGTCTGCACTGACTGGCAGCAGCTTGCCAAGGGCAGACCTTAGCAATATATTGCTCTGTGCGAGGCCAACATTATATCCCCCCCCCCAGCCCTCGCTTAAGGTGGGCTTTGGGAAGGAAGCACAAGGCTCTGGAAGAGTCCTAGAACCCTCCTGCCTCTTTCCCAAAGCCTGGTAAATGCTTGCCCAGCTTTGGAAAGGAAACAGGAGGAGTCTAGGAACCCTGTCAAAGCCCTCACGCCTCCTTCCTGAAGCCAGGCAAGTGCTTACTGGGTTTTGGGAAGGTGCTCTCCTTGGCTGCTCGCCCAGTGCAACCGCCCTGCTCGTGCTGCCCTAAACCTGCCTCTGTTCCCACCCCCTCAACCTGATCCTTTTTTGTTGCAGGTATCTTTGGGGATTGAACCTGGGACCTTCTGCATACCCAGCAGGTACTCTAGCCACTGAGCTACACTCCCTCCTCACTCCGCTCTTTCCCTACTTTGCAGGAGGGATTCCGTCACAGGACTAGAACTTTAGGTTTGTGCAACTCTGGTGCAACAAACCCACTTTGTTTTTTTAAAAAAGGAGTTTCTGCAGTTAGGGGAATGAAAGAAGAAACGCACAGGGAAATGTGGGATAAATGGTAGACTTACAAGGTGTATAACAGGGGTAGGAAACAATTTTGGCTGGGGGGCCAGATCTTTCTATCTCCCCACCCCACAAGGCAAACATTGGCAGGTGGACAGGACAAGCCATCTGCCAATCACATGGCATCATTATGATGTCACACAATTGATGGTTGGGATGTCCCATCACAGGTGGGAAGAGGAGTGTGCAGCCAAACTGAGTAAGATTTAATTCTCTCTCTCTCTCTCTCTCTCTCTCTCTCTCTCTCCCTCCATCAGCTGATGTGTCGGGGAGTTAAATCCTGCTGCTGCTTTGGCTGCAAGCGTCTGATCCCTACTGGGAACACCTGCACAGCCAAAGCAGAATCGAACCTCGCCCTCCTGCCCATCAGCTGTTGTCAAGAGCAATGCTCACTGATAGGCAGGTGGGAGTGGTTTAGAAAAAGTGGCGGTATGGGCCAAATTCGGCCTGCAGGCTGGAGGATCCCCACACCTCTGGTGCTTCACCTCCATATAAACAAATAAGGCTGAATGCTCAGTTGTTGTACACTCCGCGAACAAATCGGCACAAATGTTCAGTAAAGAGCAGGCGCCGGGTATCTTCCACATACACTCTGTGCTAGCAAATTGGAAGGAATGCTCGATAAACAGTTCATCTGGAACCCACCATGACTGGCACAAATAATGTGGCTTGAAAGCCTAAGGTGCCTCCACTTCCTATTAAATATAAAAATGGGGCCCAATCCAGTGGGCAGTTCCCCTGAGTAAGCCCCACTGAAATCAGCAATTCCATTCTTGCCCGGCTTCCCATTGCTTGCACAGAAAAAACGTCTGTTGTGTACTAATTACTATGCCCAGATGGCAGGGTCAGCCTGCTTGCCACTTATTTTTAATGTCATTTGAAAATTGACACCAGAAAAGGCCATTGTCACCAGAATGGTTTTGTCCCAGATTCAACACCCCAATACTTTCTAGGTTGCTGAAAGTACTAGGATTCCACTACCAGAAGGGTCATAGAATCATAGAATTGTAGAGTCATCACAAGAGTCACCTAGTCAATCCTCCCCAGCAATGCAGGGATCTTTTTGCCCAGCGTGGGGCTCGAACCCACAACCCTGTGATGCTCTACTGACTGACGGTCACATCTGAATAAGTGACAAGTTTGGCATTAGACTGCCTTTAGAGAACCAGCATGGTGCAGCAGTTAAGAGTGACAGACTAGGGCTTGTGGGAGACCAGGGTCGACCACCTTGAGCTCCTCAGAGAGAGAGTGGCCTTATCGTTGTAATAATAAATCATATAATTTTAAAAAATCACAGCCAGTTAACTTCTTTTCCGCCTCATCTTACTAGAGATCGCCACCGACTCCTTCACGGTGCAGCAATGCAGCTGACACTTACCATAGCTGGAGTTATGACTGCAAGATACAAATAAAGGAAGAAATAGGTTAGAGGTTTTAAAGAAAGTTCAGACAGACAGACCCCACTGCAGCTGCACTGACATGGAGGCAGAAATGGGTAGAGTTTAATGCAGCCCTCCTCCATCACCACCCCTACTCCCAGGAAATATCACACACGTAAACACACACATTCTAGAACAGGTATCCCCAACCTGGTGCCCTCCAGATGTTATTATACTCCAACCTCCCATCGGCCCCAGCTAGCATGGCCAATCATTGAGGGTGGGGTGGTGACACCCCTTCTCCTATTTCCTTCATCTTTATTGTGAGATGAGAAGAGTGACAGCTCCCACTTTTACTATGGAAGAAGTCACAGCATTACATTATATAGAAACCCAGGGAACTGTGGTTTGCCCTAACCAAAGTCATTTAACAAGTCAGGACCTGAAGTCGGGGTTCGATCCTGCTTTGTTTTAACTGGCTTTTGTTAAAACAGGGTGGGTAGTCCCTCCAGATGTTACTGGACTCCATAAGCCCAAGCCAGCAAGGCCAATGGTTTGGGCTGATGGGAATTATAGCCCACCAACATCTGGAGGGCACCAGCTTGGGGAAGCCTGCTCTAGGCAATGGGGGAGTAAAAATGCGGATCACAGCCTCTGTAATAAACACACACCCGGTACTTCATTCAACTTTATAGCCCTCCAACCTTCCAAAGTTTAAGAAGCAGATGTTTCATTCCATACTATGAGGGGGAAAGAACTCAAAGATGCAAGTGGAAGAAATCCACTTGCCCCACAACTTCAGGAAGCTTTCGGCTTGCCTGCCCACCCATTTGGGAACCGACCTTCTGGCTCCTGCGAGTCGCTGCCCACAGGTGGGCGGGTGGGCGGCTCCACGGGTGGTTGTTGCTGCAGGTCTGTGTTGCCATCTGGGTGGATCTGGAGTGTGAAATCGCTCTCGCCTTGGATCGTCAGAGTCTGGTGTGAGGTAAGGATATGGTAGCCTTTTCCTGCAGGGCAGATCTCTCTGAAAGAAGCTGTCCGGGTGGAAAAAGAGAGACAGAAAATTGGTCACACAAACAGTGGCATGACCCTACAATTGGCAGGTGAGGCCTTGTTGGTGGCACCACTGCCAAGGGCTGCCCAGTTGGCGCTGGCCTGTGACAGGGCCTTTTCAGTGGTGGCTCCCTAGTTGTGGAATACCCTTCCTAGTGATGTACACCTGTCCCCATCATTATTAACTATCAGAATAAATTTGAAGACATTTCTGTTTGCACTGAATGTACTTATGGAGAATCAATAAAAACATATTAAAAGATAAGTAAATAAAACATTAAAAAACAGACTGAACAGTACAATAGCATGTCTTTGGTGTTTTCCAAATGCCCAGGGAAAACAAAAATGATTTTGTACAAACAGGGGTGGGGAACGTCTGGTCCAGGTGTGGCAGAACACAGGAGGAAATGGGGGAGAGGGAAAAGACCTCTTCTATTTACCGGTTCCGTCGGCTGGGCAGCGCTCACAACGCGCCCCCCAGGCCTTGCCCACGCTACAGCAGCAGGTCTGGCGGGTGAGCTTGGTGGGCAGCGGGTGCTGGCAATGGTGCTCAGGGCTCACCAGTCGGAAGCACAAACTCTTCTCCCCAGCCTTCTCCGCTATCGTCGTCCCCCACAAAGAGAAGGAGAAAGAGAGAGAGAGAGAGAGAGGTTAGGGGGTCACAAGAGAAAACAAGGACAACGATTAAGAGACCCAGTTTCAAAAACCCACTGGCCTGGTAAACTCACTCAACGACTGTATGCTAGTTCCTCTCTTTCAGCCTAGCCTACCTCACAGGGTTGTTGTGTGGCTAAAAATGGAAAAGGGGGATATTCTTGGTCAGTCTCTTTCTCTCCATCTAACTTACCTCACAGGAGCGTTATGGGGTTAAAAGGTAACGGGGGAAATCTTGGCCACCTCTTCCTCTCAGCCTAACCTACATCACAGGGCTGTTGTGTTGCTGCAATGGAAGGTGGAATTCTTGGCCTGTCTCTTTCTTTTGGCCTAGCCTACCTCACAGGGTTGTTTTGTGGATAAAACAGGACTGGGAGGGGGAAAGCCTAGTATGCTGCCCCAAACTCCCTGGGCCAAAGCACAGGATTAAAAATATGATGCATAAAATAAAAACACAAAATAAACCTGGCCACAGAAAGCCTGGCCACTAAATCCCACTACAAGGTATAGAGTCAGCAGAAAGACAGAAGCACCCACATGATACATTTAAAGAACATGGCTGCCCCAAAGAATCCTAGGAACTGTCATTTCCCCCCCTCACAGAGCTAAACTACAGTTCCCAGGATTCTTAGGGGGAAGCAATGTGCTTTATCAGTATGGTGTCAACCACAGCAGCTGAGGAGTCTCCTCTATAATAGACAAAAAGACAGTTTGGTGTCCACAGCACTGCCATCGTCACAAGTCCCTGTACCAAGGAATGGGTGAAGCATTCCATCACTTCCTTCTCACAGCAAACTCAGGTGACGAGTGCCAATAAAAAAACGAGGCCAGTTCACTGAGAAACTACAGGGAGGTATCAGCGTGTTCAGAGGAAGCTGGAGGTTTGCAGAAGTACAAAATATAAAAGTGGGTGGAAAGACTTAAGAGGGGGCAGAAAGCCCAAGCAGAAGCCCAAAGAGGACTGAGCATGCTCACTGGCCTCCAGGAGCCAGAAAATCTTGTGTGAGGAAAGCGAAACTGGAGGGTAGCCAGTTATGTGTTCCCCTTGAGCTGTAGAATATGTCTGGCTGGAACCCTGATCAGGAAGACTCTTACTAGGACAAGCAATTGATGACGATAAAGAAAATAGCAACAGCACTGGCAGAAAAAACTCTGATCATGCGCAGAGTGCAGAGTTGAGCCATGGTGCTGAAAGACCCACAAGTACCTGCCCTGACTCAGACTAACTCCTTTATCTGCACCAGCCCCTGAATCTTGTACTTCCATGGTCCCAGCTACCAGTACTTTAATATGGTGGCTGTCAGTATTGACATTTGCTTATCGTCAGCTGTGGGCCAGACAATGTGCAGAAAGGACTTAAGACCCATGTGATAAGGATTATATTCTTTGGGGAGGGAAGGAGCAGAGAGAGGCTGGGTTGGTTAGATAGGAGAGATCTTCCCACCTCCCCAACCAAGATACGTACGCACACAATGGGTCCGCGAAGGCCCCAGGACATGTCCTGGCTTGCATGCGCAGCGGAAGCTCCCTTGGGTGTTCAAGCATTCGCCCCCCTGGCAGACTCCTTGCATGGCACACTCATTGATGTCTGTGGGAGGAAGAGACACAGGGCAGTTGCAGTGGTGGGGGCAGGTGAGGGAAACGCAGAGCAATCTCCAAAGCTGCCTTTTGTCTCCGTTATTGGGAACAAGCGAACATACACTCTTCGGGTGAATCTTGGTGCCCTTGCCTCTTGGTGCATTCATTTCAATGGGCTTGTGCGGGAGAACCTCCCAATGGACCGGGCTCTGTGTTCCATTGGTGAAAGAGAAGGCACCTTGTAGGTTTATCCCAGAGTATTGGGGCTGTTATGCTCCATTTACAGATGATTGAGTCAAGGCTGGCATAAAATCTTCACTGTTTTGAGTCGAACCTGTCAGTCTGCATTTCTTAGGGCAGAAAGTATTGGTCTGATGTGTAGAGATCTTTCCTACTCTTAATTTATTCAAGGGGGTTCTGGAAGTTTCTGGAAGCTTCTCTGTGTGAAAAAAGCTTCATGATGTTTGGGTTATTCCTTCAGAGAAGCTAAGTACAGCTGGCTTAAACTGGTTCTCTTCTCTCTTCTGTCATGCTGACTATATAAGTAAGGCCAGAAGGAGCCTGAGTTTCACTGTCTCTTCCTATCTCTCTTCTTCCTGCTATGGTGTTCTGTACATAGTATGCTAAGTGTTAAGTTTTAGACTTGTTATAACTATTGTAAGTTTTAAGTTAAGTCTGCTGCAACTGGATTTCTTCTGGACTGTGCCAATCCTGAATGTATTGGATTTGTGACCATTATGCTCATTTGCCTTCAGTAGTAGTAAAGCTCTGCTGGAAGAAGTACAATTGCCTCTGATCTATTTTTTGGAAACTTTGCATTGTGTTTTAAGTTTTTTCCTCCCCCTGGACGACAGAACCATGGCCCAAGCTTTCAGCTGGATCGGTCAACCTTGGTCCACATTCACACCATATATTTAAAGTACTACGATACCACTTTAAACAGCCATGGCTTCCCCCAAAGAATTCTGGGAGCTGTAGTTTGTTAAGGGTGTGGAGAGTGGTTAAAGGTAAAGGTAAAGGGACCCCTGACCATTAGGTCCAGTCGTAACCGACTCTGGGGTTGCGGCGCTCATCTCGCTTTATTGGCCGAGGGAGCCGGCGTACAGCTTCCAGGTCATGTGGCCAGCATGACTAAGCTGCTTCTGGCAAAACCAGAGCAGCGCACAGAAATGCTGTTTACCTTCCCGCCGGAGCAGAACCTATTTATCTACTTGCACTTTGATGTGCTTTCGAACTGCTGGGTTGGCAGGAGCAGGGACTGAGCAACAGGAGCTCACCCCATCATGGGGATTCGAACCGCCAACCTTCTGATCGACAAGTCCTAGGCTCTGTGGTTTAACCAACAGCGCCACCCGCGTCCCCAGGAGAGTGGTTAGGAGGTCCCTATTCCTAGAGTTCCCTGGGAAGAGGGATTGATTGTTAAACCACGTTGGGAACTGTAGTTCTGTGGGAGGGGAATAGGGACCTCCTAACAACTCTTAACACCCTTAACAAACTACAGTTCCCATGATTATTTGGGGGGAGCCTTTAAGTGGTACCATGGTGTTTTCAATGTGTGGTGTGAATGTGGCCTAATACTAGATCACAATTCTCAAAAGCAAAGAGGACCCGCCCCCCCCCAGTGGTACATTCCATCTCTCAGTCTCTACCCCAATTTTATACCTTGGCAATGGCTGCTGTTCAGTCGCTTGTATCCCTGTGGGCAGTCACTCCCCAGCGTTTTCTGCACTCCCAAGTCTGAAAGAGGAAAAATGCATGCATTTAATGAACATCACACATATGTACAGCAGCTCCCATCCTCGAGTGATGGGGATTGCCAAAGGCAGCCTATGATCTCAAAGCAACAGGACTGATTCTGATATTCTGAAATATTTATTTATAGATATTTTATGCCAAACACCAGGGAGCAGGCAAACAACCAGGCAGTTGGGGTCAGAGAATAATGGAATAACAGAGTTGGCGGGTACCCCAGGGGTCATCTAGTCCAACCCTCTGCAATCCAGGAATCCCTGACAGATGGCCACCCGACCTCTGCTTAGAAACCTCTAATGAAGGAGAGTCCATGATCTCCCGAGGGAGTCTGTTCCACTGTTGAACAGCTCTTTTCTATTTAAAAGGAACCAATAAATAAATAAATAAATAAATAAAGGCCCTTCAGAAGGCCAATTCTAAGCACATTTAATCTCATGGGGAGAGCAGCAAACAGTGAAGTCCTATACATTACTCAGAACTCAATGGGGCTTGCTCCCAGGTGAAAATGTATACGACGGCAGCCAGTCTGTGCAGAATCCCAGAAGGCTATCGCAACTACAATGCATCTTTAAAGTAACCCCACTTCAGTGCAGGCTCCCAAAAGAAAGCATCAAAATCCTGCAGGGGTCAAAACATGAGCAATACAAAAAGCCCTGGTCTGCCTGGCCTGAATGCTTGAAATGGCAATAAGAACTCCTAGAAAGCTGCCTTCTATTGACTCAGAGAACTCTGGTCCCTCTCACTCTGAACTGCCCACACTGATTGACAGTGGCTGCCCAGGGTTTCAGACAGAAGTCTCTGCTAGGCATACTGGGAGATGCCCTCAGGGACTGAACCCGAGACCTTCTGCAAGCAAAGCAGGTGTTCTGCCACCAAGCTACAACCCTTCCCCATTTGCTTCTGTGCCAACGATGGCATGGTGCATAATCTGAGAAGCCCAGCGAAACGTCCCCTTCCTTGCCATTTTGGACATCATCTTTTAAACATTAGCCTTGCAGGGAGGGGCGCCGAGTTGTGGTTGCCAAGGGGGCAGTTGCCAAGCCAGCCAGCCAGCTGCAGGAAAGTGAAGCGGAGGGGCCTGCATACTGCCTTGGGGCTGGAAGGGAAGAGGGAGGGCCCACAGCCTGAGCACATTCCAGGCCTCGTCCAACACAAACAGATCCGGCCCCTTGCGCGGCTGATTTCATGAAGCTAGAAAATCCATTCAGGCAGGGTCTAGGAGGGGGAGAGCTTGGCTCGCCCAAACCAGTGCCAGCCACCCCCCTGTCCTTGCAAGCAAGACACTAGACATACGGGGCAAAATCTCTCTCATCGTCCCTCCCCAGCCATTCCTTGCCAGTTGTGAAAATGCAACCGAAAGCTCTCTTTAAACAAAAACAAAAACCTCAGCTTCCCTCACAGTGTGTTTATGTATTTAAACTGCAAGACAGGCAGAAATGCAGCAGGTGCAGCTTCTTCCTGGCTGGCAGATGCAGGAATGGGAAACTCTTCTCCGGTTTTATAGGGGACGCAAGAAGCTGCCTTTTACAGCTTTTTTGTCCATCATGCCCACTACGGTCTGCTCTGTCTGGCAACACCTCAGAAAATAAACAGCGTCGGAGATTGTGGCGGAAAGCTTAGGCATGCAAAGGAGATTTTTGACCACTGAGCTACAGCCCCTTCTCTGGAACACCGTCTCAGACAGCCAACTTCCATCCAGCACTGTCTCCTTGGACAGGCAGCAGTTCTCTAGGGTCTCAGTCACAGAAGAGTTTTCCTGCTACCTGATCTATTTTTTAACTGGGATTTGAATGTGGGACCTTCTGCATTCAAAGCACATATTCCGCTCCTAATATCGAGAGTGCTAGTATGCAAAGCATGCAGAGTATGGCTTGTGAATTTGGCTAGACTTACCTGTTGCAATTAAATGCAGGGAGATGCTTGTAGGGTAAGAAAATAATAGTGTTGTTTACAATAGGGAATACACCATTTGGATAGAAAGTTTTCTAGTTCTAACTAATCTAGAGAAGGCAAAGGCAGCCATGGTTGCTCCTTTGCTTTCCAGAGGATAGATTCAAGGTGATTAATCTCAGGGTCCTGGATTTGAGCCCCACATTAGGTGAAAGATTCCTGCATTGCAGGGAGTTGGACTAAATGACCCTCTTGGACCCTTCCAACAAGTCTGTGATTCGGTGTGATTCTCATTTTGAGGCGCAAGAGTGGGGAGAGGAAGGAGAAGCTGCAAACAGGATGCAACCTAAAACGACAGCACATGGCTGTCCCCAACCCCATTTTATCCTCACAAGGGTCCTATGAGGTAAGTAAGGCTGAGAGACAGTAACTAGACCCGGATCACCCAGCAAGCTTCACAGCTTTGTGGATATGGGAACACTTGTCTCCCAGGCAGCGGCAGAGCAAGCCAAATTAGTGCCTGGGGCAGCACGCATGCCCTGCGCCCAGGGGCGGGGCAAGCTGGGGCAGGACACTCTGCAGGGCCTCCTTCCACTCAGCCACCCTACAGCTGAGGGAGAGGCGGTGGGTGGACCGTTTGGGGCAGTGTGGAGCCTGCGGGCGCCTAAACCACTACGTCACTCCCAGGAGAGACGTATGGCTCGGGCACACTGCAGGCCCCACGGTGAGTGCCGCCTACCATTTGATCACACACACCCCAGTGGTGACACCCAGGCGGCCCCCCCACCCTTCCTCCGACCCCTGCTCTCTGGTCGCTATCCAACATTTTTAATCATCCCCCCGCTCCCTGCAAAGTTTCTAGGTTAGAGGGAAGAGGTGCAGAACTTGGAAGTGGGGGGCAAGAGAGACTTACATTGCAAGTGGGGGCACTTGTGGCATTTATTCTGCCCCCAGGAGGTGCCGATGCTGCCGCAGCAATCTTCTTGCTTGGTGAGGCCTGGGAGAGGGTTGCTTCCACACTGAACAGGACAGGCAAAGGTTGAAATATAAGATTTCATGAACTCCACATAGAAATCTCATGCACACCCACATCACTCATGGGCCATCCATTCTGTGGTTTGATGTGGACAGTAAGCTTCTTGTACCTCCCTTGGTTCTCCATTGTTTGCACGGTGCTGTCTTCCAAATCACTACCTCTCCACACTTTCCCTTCTCTCAGTCCGGATTTTAGCATACCCTCTCTCTTTTGAGAGTATCCCTCGGATGAGAAAATCCGGACTGAGGGAAAGGAAAGTGTTTGGAAGCAGTGAATTGGAGGAGGAGAATGTCACATGGGCAATGCAGAGTTTAGTGGAGATACAGGAAGCTTGCTATAGGTATTAAACCACAGCGCGGAGAAGCCCTTAAACCTTTCTCCCACCAGCCTCCACACTATGCGTGGAACACCCGCTACAAATAAAAGATGGGCTGGTTTTATTCCTGCATTTTTAAGTGTCTAGATCTCATGGACCATTGGAACGCCTGCGGCTGGTTTTCTCAAGTTAAGCAGCTGCAGCCGTGTGTTTGAGATATTAGTTTAATTCATTGTTTTGTATGTTGCTTCACACATCCAGAGGCGTCCCAAAGCTATTTGCAGGAAATAAAACACAAATAAGAAATGCATTTAAAATTGACATATATAAATTTTGTTAATATTCGTCCAAATGTGCCCCCAAACCCAGTATGTGCAACTATTGTTTCTGCAACATTGAAAAATAAAATAAAATGCTGGGCTGTGGTGAACTAAACTACAGCCTGCCTTGAACTCTAGTCTACGGCCAGCCAGCCAGTTGGGGGTACCCATCCTCTCTTATTTGTCCTTAACGTCTGATGCTCAGGTATGGAGCTTTTGTATGTGGAAGCTCCATCCAGCTATTGCAAACATCCCTTCTGCATCTAATTCTTTGCTAAAGCCATCTGAGGTCAAAAGTTCTATGGACTGTGAACAACTGGCTGGTTTGCGAGCAACAGCCTGTGATCCGCTGGAAAGTTTCAGAACCATTGATACTATCTCTACTTGGCTCTAGACTCGAATTATTATTTTTTCAGACAGTAGAAATAAGGGATGTTTTTTTGATCAGGGCTGGATTATCAAACCAGCTAAGGTGGTCCTGGCTTAAGACCCAATGGTTTTCATAATTTGGGGCTGGTTCTAATAATGATGCTTGAGCTGGAGAAAAATACTTCTATTTTTCCTCATCCAGCACATTAGAACAGGAAGACAGCAGTTATTAAAATATGTATGTGCTTTGATTTGTAGAACAAACAAAAAAAATTCTGGCCAAGACCCTCTGGGTCCATCCTCCCCCTACCCCCCAAATTGGCCCATCCAAGGAATCAAGTTTGAGAACGTCTGGTCTAGGCTGATGGGCAACCATCACATTCTGTGGCAAAGCAAATCTCATTAGAGAATTATGTGCGGATTTAAAATCACGTCCTTTTGTCCGCTGAAACATCCTGCTGATTAGTTTTAAGGAATGGTATCCAGATTTAAGTGCTCGTGAGGTAAAAAAATCTCCCCTGCCTTCATATTCTTGCAAAATTAACTGTGTCTCTCTGCTTGGGTGCCATTCCTATGCAACAGAATTGTCAGAAGACCACTCCACTCACCGACTGTTTAGGCATCGTTTCCTGAAAGCACCGTCCGAGGGGCTTCTGGGTGGGGGGCCTGGTATAAGCGGGCTTGGGAGCAGGGTGCTGGATCAGGTGTTGCTGGCTGCCTGGCCCACTTCCCTCCGAGCTGAGGCTGTCGATCCGGTGGACTTGCACTGAGGCGTCTGGGGGGTGATGTACCCGGACATTGACCAGCGGCTGGTGCACCTGAACTAGAGGGCAAAAAGGTGAGCTACCTGGCCATTCCCTCTGACCTGCAAGCACTCCCTGGGAAATCTCAAAAATGTTGGGCAGTCTGGCATGTACGGAGGCAAGTGCACCCCTGCACGTGGCCAAAGGCTCTTGTGTTTGCGTAATGCAGGTATGGGGAACTTTTGGCCCTCGAGTCATTGCTGAACTACGACTCCCATCATCCCTCGCCTTGTCTGTCAGCTTCCTCCTCTTTAGTCTCTGTAGCACTCAACAGAAGGAAGGAGACAAAAAGTGAAATGATTTGTCTCCACCTGTTGTTGGCTCTGGCGCCACCTACTGTTTGCCTCCATGCCCTACCAATCCCAAAATGCACCAGTCACCACTAGCAGAGGGGGCATGGTCTCCTCTGCAGTTGTATGGAAATACAGACATCTAGCTCCTTAGCAGGCTACTAAAAATATTGTGTGGCTTTTCTATGTTTATTTTATTAGTGACTTTTCTGGGTTTATTTACTAGGCTGCAAGAGAGGCAGCTGCTAGAAGCAGTTGCCATTTTGGTAGCTCCTAGGTCACATATGGGAGGCGGGTGGCGCTGTGGTCTAAGCCACTGAGCCTAGGGCTTGCCAATCGGAAGGTTGGTGGTTCGAATCTCCGTGACGGGGTGAGCTCCCGTTGCTTGGTCCCAGCTCCTGCCAACCTAGCAGTTCAAAAGCACATCAAAGTGCAAGTAGATAAATAGGCACCGCTCCAGCGGGAAGGTAAATGGCGTTTCCGTGCGCTGCTCTGGTTTTGCCAGAAGCGGCTTAGTCATGCTGGCCACATGACCTGGAAAAACTGTCTGCAGACAAACGCTGGCTCCCTCGGCCTGTAAAGTGAGATGAGCGCCACAATCCCAGAGTCGTCTGCGACTGGACATACCTGTCAGGGGTCCTTTACCTTTACGTCACAGACCTTTACCTCACAGATCTCACAGACGTCTCCTTTAGCCACAAGTGTTGTAGGAGCTGGATGTGGTCATTCTTAACATGGTCAGAGACACCCCTTTTATGTTATTTGCTTATCTACCACCTTACCAGTTCCAGTTGCTGGGCAAGAAGTAAGCGGGACTGAGCCACAGAGCCTGCCGCCACCTAGACAGAAGTGCCACTGAGAAGTTAAGCACCAATGCCAGGGGACTAAAAAAAGCACTCTGCACATGCTCGGGAATCTTATTTCACACACAAGTTCCTACAGTTGGGTTCAAATTAAGCCTCTGTGGTCTCCTAACCTAACTAACCGCAATTCTCCCATAGTGGCCGGTGCCCTTCTCAAAGCAGAATCCATCCCTACCCACACATAAATGCCCCCTCTCGGGTACCTTCGGATGAATGCTGTCCAGGGCCCAGAGGCACCATGAAGGTGGAGTGGCTGATGGTGCCTTTCGAGCCGGGCCCAGAGGCCGTGTCCCCGTGGCCGTCCGAGATGAGCTGGACTGCGTAGATGGCGTGCTTGCTGGAGCCCGTCTCCATGGCAAGGCCCTCACCGGGCAGTCGGGCCTGCTGGCTTTGGCTCTGGCGACCGGCCGGCACTTGGCAGAATCGCCCTGTGAACTCCGGAGGGCACAAGCAATGGTTCCCAGATGTACACTGCCCACCGTTCATGCAGGGCAGAGGGCAAACCACTGCCAGGGAGTGGGGGGGGGGGAGAGAAACAGAGAAGAGAAGCATTAACTTGAGGTGCATCAAACCCTGTGATAATTAAAACAGTGCTTAATATGGGTGGGATACTGCCTCACTTGCATGTTTAAATCTCTCTGACTATGGTTCAGGCAAACTGCAAAATCTCCAACTTCAGACTCTTCTATTTTCGCAGGACAGTCCTGGATTTACAGAAGCCATCTCAGTTTCCGGGTAGTTAGGTTAGGAAACCACAGAGGCTTAATTTGATACTGGAATGTCCTGCTTTTCCTTAGGACGTCCCTATTTTCATCGGATAAATGTTGGATGGTATGGAGTGATGCGACCCCCCCACCCCGCAAGCCAAGGAGTTAACTATACAACCTTTAGAACACATCTGAAGGCAGCCCTGTTATAGGAAATTTTTTTAATGTTTAATTATGTTTTTATAGTCTATATTTTTCCGTGTATAAGATGACCCCTATTTTTGGAGCCCAAAATTAGAAAATAAATAATTGCAACATTCTGTCTATAAGACGACCCCCAATTTTAAACTTAAAAAAATTGGGGGGGAAATATAGTCTTATACATGGAAAAATACAGTATGTTAGAAGCTGCCCAGAATAGCTGGGGCAACCCAGTCCAGTAGGTGAGGTATAAATAATAAAAAATTCATCAGATAAATGTTGGAAGGTACACTCTACTTTGGAGGGTGTGTGTTTATGTATGTGTACGGTATTATGTTCCACAAGTGCCTGTCAGGAACTTAATTTTTAAAAACATGTCTGCCACTTCTTCATCGAATGAGTCCCCAGCTCCCAGGGTGCCCCCTTTCCCAGAAAACAAACCTTTGGACAAAGAGCCAGGAGAAAGACATTTCTAGCTACCAGGATTGAGAGAACAACATTTCAGCCTCTTTGAATTCCGAGTGCTGAGTCAGCAGCTGGGAAGCTGGCAAACATGCCCTCTCCAACGCACACACACTCATCCCCAGACAACAGTCAGCAGCTGCAGGCTGGTCCTGCCCAAACGCCACCCTCCATTCACAAAAACAAATAAAAGAGCAGGGCATGGTGCCCAGCTATGGAAGGGCCAACCCAGCAGGGAAAGATCGGTGAGGGACGGTTTTTTATCCCCCCTGGGGAGGGTGTGTGGAAATTCCTTGGCTGCCTTAAGTCCAACCTGTCACACACTGTGGACTAAAGTTGGCCTCCTGCAGATATCACTTTGCCAGGAAGTCTGTTCTGTACAATGTAGGAATCGGGGCTTTAATGTGGTGGCACATGCCCTTTGGAGCTTCTTCCTATAACATATAAGTCAGGCAGATAAGAATATGGGTGGGTAAGGCCCATCTATTACAGTGGTACCTCGGGTTAAGTACTTAATTCATTCTGGAGGTCCGTACTTAACCTGAAAATGTTCTTAACCTGAAGCACCACTTTAGCTAATGGGGCCTCCTGCTGCTGCCGCACCGCCAGAGCACGATTTCTGTTCTCATCCTGAAGCAAAGTTCTTAACCTGAAGCACTATTTCTGGGTTAGCGGAGTCTGTAACCTGAAGCGTATGTAACCCGAGGTACCACTGTACAGCATCCAGATCTCACAGTGGCCAGACAGACAGCCCTCAAGCAGGACCTAAGCGGGACGGTACTCTCCCCATCGACGAGTCCGTACCCTCCGACATTCCTCAGATGAAAATGGGGACAATTCTCACTGCCCCGCTGACTGACTCTCCTCAACCTCCCCATTTTGGGTCCCCCTACCCCACCCCACAGAGCATTTCCTATCCACCACAACGCTAACAGGACACAGCACACACAAACCCCACCGTCCTAAGAAAACAACCACCCTTAATTCCTATTTTGGGTCATTCCATATCAAGTGATCCATTATTATTTTTTTACCTCGTGTCATTCAGTTCTCTTAACATGTTGTACACTGGTTGAATAATCAAAACTAAGTTAAAATCTTAAAATCTTAAAATGGAAAGGGGCCAAACCATCATCACAAGAGTGTCGAAATTTTGGGAGGTTGGATAGTTACAATGGAGTGGTCTCGGGGGTGGAGTGCACATATTTATTTATTATTATTAGTTTGTTTAAAGCAAACAAACATAGCATACTTTCTGCCATGCTACAGCTTTAACACATTTGTGTTTGTATTATTAACATGCAGCATAAGTGGTCAAATTTAATTAAAAATATATGAACAAACAAACAAAAGGTGTGCAAGTCAGTAACTGGTATTCAGAGGCATACCACTCTAATATCTCTGCTATCACCACTTCTGGCTACTAGTGTCGTATCCACAGAAAGAGGCAGTGGTGCTTCTGAAGACCAGTTGCTGGAAGCCACAGGAGAGGTGTGCTGTTGTTGAGCTCAGGTCCTGCTTTCAGGCTTCCCACAAGCATCTTGTGGTCCAATTCTGTGAGTCTATGACCTGGTTAGCCACTGTGAGAACAGGATGCTAGATTATTGGCCACTGGACTGATCTAGCAAGATGATGGTGGTGGTGATGATTACCCCACCCATCTGGCTGGGTTTCCCCAACCACTTTGGGTGGCTTACAGCATATCTAAAAATATAATAACCCTGTGGCCCTCCAGATGTTGTTGGACTCCAACCCCCATCATCCCCAGGCAGCATAGCCAACAATTCAGGGACTGTGGGGGCACAAGCCACAAGGAAGTTCTCAAAATGGGGGGGGGGGGACCTGGGTTGGAGAAGCCCCAAAGGGGGAAACAGGACAGGTTGGGATATATAAACATGAGTAACTCCTTGACTCAGAAGCTGGGTTGTCTGCTGAATGTCTACAACAATACAATACATCCCATAAAATCAGGAGAAGCCGCAGATGTGTGCAATTTACAAAGCGTGGGCCTAGAGTCAAACCTGGGAATTCTGACATTTCTTCTGAAGTTCTGGAAACAGCCACAAAGCCAGTATTGTATGAAATGGGGAGAGGAGGGAGTCTGAACACACCCCAGATTAGGCAAACCCAGACTTTCAGGAAGTTTCATATCAAATATCAAAACTCCTTTCACTGGAAAATGAAAGGAGCTGCCTTGTGAGTCATTGGTCTATTGAGCTTGGTATTTCAAGCACTGACTGGCAGAAATTCCCCAGGGTTATAGACGGGGCACATTCCCAGTCTTACCTGGTGATGCCAGAGATCAAACCTGTGACCTTTTCACAGGTACTGTGGTAAAGTTGGGTGTTACCCATCTTACATTTGTGCATATTTCTTACTCTAATAAAAACTTTACAGTCATTTCAGGTGAAATTGAGTGTGTGCCCCAGAGTCGGTCACGACTGGACCAAATGGTCAGGGGTCCCTTTACCTTTTACACACACACACACACACACAGATATAATGCAGCTTTCCCCAGCCTGGTTACCTGTGTTGGCCCCATCGAACAGAGCCGCAAACATACAGCATTTGCTGAAAATGAACTAAAATGGCTTTTTCTCAACAGGATATTCTGTCTTTTTTTCACAACCTGACCTTCCAAACATTATTTAGTTAAGCAGCAACCTTGACAGGGAATGCCATATAATACATCAAACTGGACAAACAAAATTAAAATGCTTCCCATAGCTAACTGAATCTAAATTTTTGAAACCTCCCATTAGTCCTAAAGAGGGAGAAGAACTTTTTCCTTTCTATACTCAGAAGTTAGGAACTTGGAAGCTCCCTTACAAAGAGTCAGGCCGCCAGTCCAACTCGGTTGCAGCTTCTTCTAAGAAATGAGGGGTGCTGGAGCTTAGTGGTGGTGCAGTGGTCAGAGACCAGGGCTCAAGTCATGACACTCACTGGATGACCTTGGGCCAGTCATAGGCTCTCAACCTAACCTATCTCACAGGGTTGCTGCAAGGAACTATGCACATTCCTTTAAGCTCCCTGGATAAAAAAAGTGGGATATAAAAGCACTCAGTAAATACACTTTCAACCCACACCCACAGGTCTAGAAAATCTGCCCGCAAGCCCCACAGCTTTGAACATGGCAAGAAAGGCACTCTGCACATGCCCAGCAGCACACTGTCTCCAATAGCATACACCTCAACTATCCTGGGAAAACCGGGACATCCTGTTTTCTTGCGCGAGAGCACGGTGGCAATGTTGAATGCAGCAATTTCACCCCCAAAAAAACCCTGTTTTCGCGGCTGTAATCCCACGTGGGTCATGTGACTCACCCAGGAGCACGTTCTGGTTTTGGGCCTGGACATGTTGGAGGGTATATGCAAGCGTGGCTATGTGCAGGAGTTCATCACAAAGCACATCCCATGAAACCCCTCATCTGCCCGTCTCATAGGCCCCTATAACCAGGGTTCTAGTTGCCCACGGTCCCTGGGAGAAAAAGGTGATTGAGCAGCCTCTGAGCAATATCAGAGGCAGAGAGAAAACAAGGGGTTGGGCCCAGGAGAACGAGGCCCCAGCCAAACGCAATGGTGAAATGACAAAGCTTTATGGTGTGGAGGCAGCTGCAGAACGGAAGTGGGAAACTGGGAGGCTCCAATCCTCCAAGAGGCTGACCTGGCCACGGATGCAAAGTGCCCTTAGCTTGCCCCTGCCCACGCTCTGGGAATGTGCCAAGGCACCCCCCCACACACACCTTCAGGATATGGCAGGTTATGATTGGGGAGAAGGAAAAGGGGAGAGCAGTTAAGAGAGGGAGTAGGCTATAGAGCAGCAACAGACGAGAGCGAGAAAGTGAGACACAGACACAGACACAGACACAGAGGAGGAAGCTGCCTTTTACTGAGCCAGAAGAGCAAAAATGACACAGGCCTGTTTTTGGGAAGGGCTGAAGTTCAGCAGGACAGCACCCGCCCTAGGTGGAAAGGCACACTTCTTAACCTCGGCCTTTGGCCCCTGAGATGTGCGTTTCCAGAACCCAATCCATTCCGGTGATTGGGATCTATTTCAACTGTTTATGATTTTAAGTTTCCTGCTCTGGAACCTGCTGGTGAAGGGCAGGTAAATAATAATAATAATAATAATAATAATAATACAGTGGTACCTCTGGTTACGGACTTAAATCGTTCCGGAGGTCCATTCTTAACCTGAAACCGTTCTTAACCTGAGGTACTACTTTAGCTAAAGGGGCCTTCTGCTGCCGCTGCGCCGCTGGCACGCGATTTCTGTTCTCATCCTGAGGTAAAGTTCTTAACCCGAGGTACTACTTCCGGGTTAACGGAGTCTGTAACCTGAAGTGTTTGTAACCCGAGGTACCACTGTAGTAATAATAATAGCTATTCCAAATCCAGGACATACACCCCACCCAATGAAGAGACTCCACATTTCCCAGTTTCAGCTTAGACACAATATTTCTCACTGGAATTGGTTAACACATTTAGCTGTGAGCTTCTGAGTTCTGCAAATGCAGGACTCAGTCCTGGAAAATGTGGGTCGACTGAATGCTCTTAAAACTACCTAGTGAGGTCTGAGTCCATGGCCTATATTAGCCACATTGGAAGTTGCCATATACATAGTCAGACCATCAGCCTATAGGTTCAGTCTTGTCCACTCTGACTGGCAGCATCTCTCTAGAGTTTTGGACAGGAAGCCTTCTCCCAGCCCTACCCGGTGATGCCAGGACCAAATACTGCACCTTCTGCACACAAAGCAGGTGCCCTAACATTGGCCTACAGTCCTTCCCCTTGAAGATAAGGAAATCTGAAAGGGTCAGGAAAAGCTCTGAAATACTTATCTAGCCTTTTTAAGAATGTGCGGTCCTAGCTAAGGCAATGCCTTCTGGGGAATTGGCTGTCCCAAAAGTTCGGGTATCCCAGTCTGGAGAGGTTATAGGGAGGGACCCCTCTGCAGAGAGTAATCAACCAAGCCAGGAAGGCTCCTTCCCACGCTGGCCGGCCTCCTTCCCAAGCTGCAGAAAGTCAACAAACGCTGCAGTTTTTGGCTCATATTGGGTATCTTGAGCCTTTGTGCGAAGAAAAACAAAACATGGGGGTGGTGGGAAGGCGATCTAGGAAGGAAACAGGGCTCCAAATCCAAAATGCTCAGGATGGAGGGAAGGAGGGAAGGTTCGGAATGTAGAAGGGGGAAGAGGGGGTGCCGCTTCTGGGCTAGACCAGAACAGGACTTGGACTGATTCGGAGCCCTCGCTCTCTGCATACTCCCAGAGGCCCCACCTCTCCAGCTCTTGGCTAGCGAGATGGGTTCACAGGCCAAAGTTTCCACCTCTGGATTCCATTAGCTGAAGGACGTTCCCTTCCACCGCTCCCCTCTTCCACTCCTGAACAAGGATTACGCTTGCCAAGGAGAGTCCTCTCCAAGAGACCCTGCTTTTTGCCCTAGGCGATTTAAAAGGGGGAGAGATTTTTGGCAGTCAGATACCAGTCCAGCTGGTAAAGAAATCTTTGCAGCAAAGGAGAAGGCTGCTGTCAGCAAAGCCTGCCTGCCTAGGAATGGCAGTGCCCATCAACTTTGGGAAGGGGGTGGGGCAGCCCCCCAAATATTTTAGGGGGGGGCAAAGAGACCTCAGTCCCTAGGAGTTGACTCCTATGGTTTGCATAAAGAGAAGTTCAGGGACTCGTGGCGGCTTGAAACCACACATGCCAAGTTGAATGCCAGAGCTAGAACCCTCTTAAACCCTCAGACTGAAAATGCCTAGGAAGCCAGTATTGTCTGCTCTGACTAGCAGCAGCTCTCCAGGTTCTTGGGCAGAGAAGGGTCTTCCCCAACGCTTTCTACTTGACCCTTTGCAAGAGATCCAACCTTCTGCGTGCAAAGCAGGTGCTCTGTCACTGAACCATTCACCTGGGCGTCAATTCCCTTGCCTTATGGTTTCCCCTTCTTTGCCCAAGTACCACCAGCTTATCCACTTCAAAATAGGGCTAGACAAATTAGGAGGCTAGTGGTGGTGTTCTGGTGTTATCGGCTTGCCAATTTCAGGATGTCTGTGTCATCAAAAACTACCATTAAGTATGTAAGTTTGCAAAAGGACGAAAAGGAAAAATCGTAGTGGTGGTGGAATGATGGATGGTTTTGAGGAGGGGACGTGAAGGAAACAGAAAACCAGGAAAGCAGGCAGATGAAACGGAATATTCTAGAAGAGGAAGCACGGTGGGAACCCTGAAAAGGAGCGTGCTGCAACACTTTGCTGCAGGCCTCACTTGTCATTGTTGTTTAAAATTCTTATCACATCATGCCTAACAGCCATTTACAGACCCATCACTTCCTCTCTCTCTCTCTCTCTGTCTCTCTCTTTCTCTCTCTCATATACTGTAATACTAGAACTCAGGAGCCATCCGAGGAAGGTGAATGTTGGAAGATTAAGGACAGACAAAAGGAAAGTATATCGTCACACAGCACACAGTTAAATCTATGGTATCCACTCCAACAAGAGGTAGTTAGGGTCACCAACTTGGAGGGCTTTAGAAGAGAATTAGACAAATTAATGGAGGATCAGTCTATTGGTGGCTACAGTGGCCACAATGGCTATGTTCCACCTCCACTGCTTAAGGCACAGGCCTCTCCTCTGAACACCAGTTCTGGGAATTGCAAATGGGGAGAGTGTTGCTGTTGCACCCATGTCCTGCTTGCGGACTCACCTTGGAGCATCTCGGTTGGCCACTGTGAATAAATAGGACTTAGCCCTGACCATTTACAACCTGGCCCTCATACTTTAAAAAAGCCTGTATATCAATTGTTTTATGTTGTGCCTTAATTGTGGTTCCTTTCTCCTCCTGCTCCTCATGGGCCACCCACGAGTTTGAGTTATGGAGCAGCTATATAAATTGTGGTATGAAGTAGGGCTCTTCCTAGGTTGCAGCAAGTCCCTCTGCCCCAAATCTTGGCCTGAAAGTGGCAGAGTTTTGTGTAGCTCAGTTGCTGACTTGTCCTGCCTTCTCCGCAGTCAGCTTAGTTTCTAAAGAGCGGTTGTTGTGGCCCACCGTTTTAAAGCAGCCCTGTATGGCACCTCCGACTGGCACACAGAAAACAAATTCTGGGCAATAGCCATTAGAGACCTTGGGCCAAAAACTAAATCCTATCTAGGCCATTTGGGCTCCTGTTTATCCCTACCTAGCAAGTGTTTTCATAGCCTCTTCACGCACGTTTGTCTTGGCGAGGCAGCCCCTGGATCTGCATGTGTATTTGCTTGGCTAACGGTTCTGATCTGCTGCTGCTGCAACAACTCTGAGGCAGCCAGGGCCCCAGAGATGGGCTGGGACATGAGGTAAGGTTTTCCACCAGCCAAAAGCAGTTGAGGAAAGAATGGGGTGGCGGGGGAGAGAGAAAAATAGAGAGAGAGAACAGAGGGAGGGAGGGGCAACGGCAGTGGTGTGTGCATGTGTGTTGCTAGATGCTATCTGGAAAAGTGCGTAAAAGTGAAGTGTCCTCAAGTGGGCAAGGCCTTTTGGCCTCAATGTTGAAAAACAAACCGTAGGAAGTGCATCTCTTCTTGGGAAAAGCATCCAACTTGCCTGATTATGCCACCAACCCACTTTCCCGGGTTAACCTGGGCTTGGATCCTGACACTAGGGGTGAGTTGCCTCCTGCACTGGGATTGACCAGAGAGCATCAGAGCCCCGTGAGCACTTCCAGGAATGCACTTCTGCAAAGGAGGGGATGGCTCCTTCGCCTGAGCAACATCTGGGGCAAATGAAGGGAGCGTTAACCCTTCACTTGAAAGTGGGTGACTTACTCCGGAACAACAACTCCCCAAGGGCCCCCTCCCCAGCCTTTCCCTGGCACCTCTCCCGCCCTGCTTGGAGTGGGGGGGGGGGAAGAGTTGGCCCATCTCACCCACGCGGAAGCCGGAGCCCGTGAGGGTGTCCATGGAGTGCCCGTTCTCTCCGATGAGGGTCATGTTGCTGCCCGGCTTGCAGCTGTCGCGGCACTGGCCCTTCAGGCACGTCCGCTTGCAGATGAGCGGGGCGAAGACCACCTTGAAGCGCTCCCGCGCCAGCGCCGTCCGCTCCGAGGGGCCCGCCGACGACGACGAGGCGGCGGCGGCGGCAGAAGCGGCGGCGCCCGGCCAGCCCAGCGCCAGCACCCACAGCACGGCGAGCCCCCGCCAGGGCATCTTGGCATCCCGCGGCCCGCAGGCCAAGCCCGGCGCGGAGGAGCGCGGCGCGCCTCTCGCCTGGCCCCTACGGGGCGCCCCGCGGAAAGCTGCGCGCGAGGCGGCCGAGGGAGCCGCTGGAGCGGAGGGGAGGCGAGCCCAGGAGGAGCAGCAGCAGCAGGAGGAGGAGGAGAGGAGGGGCGAAGCGGAGCGGAGGCGGCTCGCCTTCCCGACCGCCGCTGCCAAGGCTGGAGAGCAACGCGCGCCCCGACGGGCCCGCTCCGCTCGCCTCGCAGCCAATCTCCGGCCGGGGGCAGGAATCTGGGAGCGCCGCCAAGAGCCGCGGAGCCGGCGGCAGGAGAAGAGAGGAGAGGCGGGTCCCGGCCGGAGAAGGGAACCGCGACGGGACGGGCCGACAGGGGGCGCGGGAAAGAGGGAAGGAAGGAAGAAAGGAAGGAACATCAGAGGAGGAGGAGGAGGGCAGGTTGGCCAAGGAGCCAGGCAGCGGCGCCAGCAGTAGGACTTCTATAGAATCGTAGGATCCATGAACTCGTAGAATCGTGGAGTTGGAAGTCTAGTCTAGTCCAGGAATATACAGGTGGCCCGTAGCGGGGATCGAACCCGCGATTGTGGCAGAAGTCCAGAGCCCTGTTCCACAGACTACAGGAGGGTCCCCAGACGCAGCAGGGTGGGCTGACTTCATCTGGAAGTGAAGGCAGTCATCCGGCACCGTCTTTCATTTTATCCATTTGTTTGAGAGTCGCCTTCCGCAGGTCGATTTTTCTCAAGCTGATTTGCAAACATACCATAAAAAGCAACTAAAATGTCGTAAAACAGTGAAGGCATTATACCAGCGTGGTTTAGTGGTTAGAGCAGCATTCTCCAACTTGGTGCCCTCTGGGTGTTTTGGACCACAGCTACCATCAGCCCCAGCCGGCTGACTGAGTGACCTTGGGCCAGCCACCACCTCTCAGCCTGACCTACCTCACAGGGTTCCTGTGGGGATTAAATGAGGGAGGGAGAGAACCATCTACACTACCTTGAGTTCCTTGGAGAAAAGGTGCAATGTAAATGTAAACAAACAAGCAAACAATGAATAAATAATATTTAAAACAATATTTTTAACTGCTGTATAGAGGTTTTTAGAAACAAGAGAAAACGAACACCTAAGAATGAGACCTTATCCACCTGGAAAAGTTTTCTGGAAACAAAAATGCCTTCAGTTGTTTCCAGAAAGTTTTGACAGCAGATGTTGTGGAAAAAGCTTCACAGAATGTCTTCTTCCTCAAGGCTCATTCAGTTTAGGAATGTTTTTTGGAGGGGTTAATTTAATTTTTCATGACTCTTGGATAGAATGAGTCTTTTCTCTCTCTTTTTTGTGTGTGGACAGGTGACCTGGAAACAGCCAGCACATAGATGAATTACAGAACTTCCTGCCAGAACAAGTTGTGATGGCCACCATCTTGGATGGCTTTTGAAGGGGATTGGACAAAATCATGGAAGAGAGAAGGTTACCAATGGGATCAGAAGCAACCTGCCTCTGAATACCATAGGCTAGGGAACATGAGAATATCATGGCGCTCCCGGGCTGCTTGTGGGCTTCCCATATTTGGTTAACCACTGTGAGAACATCATGTTGGCCCAGACAGATCTATGGCCTGACTGAAGTCTTAGGCCCAGTCACAAAAGAGAGGCTGATAACTTGGGGAAAGTGACCATTGCTGTTCCCTGCATGCTGCCATTTTGGGCAGCATGGTTAAGGAACCACTCTTAAGTACAGTGGTACTCGGGTTACATATGCTTCAGGTTACATACGCTTCAGGTTACAGACTCTGCTAACCCAGAAATAGTACCTTGGGTTAAGAACTTTGCTTCAGGATGAGAACAGAAATCGCACGGCTCCAGCACAGCAGCAGCAGGAGGCCCCATTAGCTAAAGTGGTGCTTCAGGTTAAGAACAGTTTCAGGTTAAGAACGGACCTCTGGAACGAATTAAGTACGTAACCAGAGGTACCACTATATATGAAAGTATGTGTGTAGGTGCCTTTCAATGTCCTCATTGTTCCAATTTAAATAAGGTCAACCAAGGCTGGAGAGTCAAGTGGTGAAGGTGACTCACAAGTAAGCCCATCACTCAGTGCCTCCATGGGCTTCTTTCTCCACTTTGATAGCCTAATGCATCTCTGGCTGTGAATGTCATTTATTCAGCTCTACCACCTGCTACCCTCCAAAGGTCTCCTGCTTCTTCAAGAACAAAAAAAATATATCTTCCAGCATCTTGAAAGACTAAGTCATTTAATTGTTAAGTGTTTGTTGACCAACATCAGGTAAATGCCTCAAAACTCTTGGCTCTTTTGGGCTGCTTCCTAGTAACATGACCAAAGGCCCATCCAAACTTGCCCACAAAATCCACACTTTGCATAATCTCAGTTTGTCCACTGGCAGCCCATCCCTGAGCAGTTTATATTTGGATGAGATTTTAACCAAAGTTTCCATGTCCATTCTCCCTTTTCCACTGTTTGCTGTTTCAAGCAACTCTGCAGAATCTGCACCACCTCAAAAACACCCACTTTAAAAAAAAGGAAGGGGAGAGAAGGTCATCCATGGAAAACTAGTAGGAGCACTTTTAAAGTGGAGCAGATTTCATTTTTTGATTTTCCAACGATGGGGAAACTCCAGATTTAGCAGGAGAAAGTTGGAGACAGCAGCTGTCTCCAGTGCCAGTTATATGGACAATTGGGAATTAAAAAAGGATGGAGGGGTCCACATTAAGCTGGGGTGTTGATGGGCCCTGAGTTCCTCTGCAAAATGACTCAGAAATAGCTGGAAGTTCCCCTAGGAGGTGAGAGATGTTTTGGGAAAGGAGCAAACTTTCCTCTCCAGACTGCAGCTTGAGTGAGACTACTACAGGATAGACAGGGAGAGAGGTTTGAAGCTGTTTGTGCTCCGTAAACTAAGTTACATCTTAGTAGTGGGAGGGGGGGCTAGTTTCCTCTCCCTAGAGCAGCCTCCCCCAACCTGGGAAGACTACAACTCCCATCAACCCTAGCTAGTACTGTGTAGACAAAAGTCAGGGATATTAGAAGCCATTGTGAGAAAGAGGTGTATGTTCAAAACATCTGGAGGGTATCAGGTTGGGGTCATCTGCCCTAGAGAGCAGATGACTTTGTAACACCATGTACCTTAAGGTAAGCACAATATTTTCTGCATATTTGTAAATACATCCAAATATTACTAAACACCAATAAGCCCAGTGGTATCTGGTGCCCCCTGGAATCGGTAGGGCTTACAGTACTAAGAAGTCATGGCGGGGGTGGCCAAATCCTGGTTCTCTCTTCGTGAAGAAACAGTGGACACTTAAACACTGCAGTTTTATTCATTTATTTTAGAAAAACACAATCCATTAAAACAACAACAGACCACTAAACAACAGTTCATAACGGCAGCAGTCATTGCAATTCAATTAATACTTAGCATCAAAGTGCCTTACTTTGTTTCAGAAGGGCGTCTCGGCTATCACCATTTCTAATGTGGGTTCATGCCAAAGAAGCTGTATATTATTCAGAAGTAAGCCCCAGACGTATTCCCTGCTAAGTATTTACGGAATTGCAGTCCAAATTAGTCTTGTAAGTTGGCACACAAGATGGTTAAGAGGTCATAGCCAGGACCCATGATGAGTTGGGCCAAATGCAAAAGTGTCCTAGCCTGACTAATATGAAATAAAGACTGCCATGTTTAAATTTTCATCATAGCTATCTCCAGTTCCCTTGTCCTATGCAGCCCTACTCAGAAGGAAGACACCACTGGATGTGATGGGATTCTCCTTAAATAAGTATGCAGAGAGGTATGCTTTGTTTGTTTTTAAGTACAGTGGTACCTCGGGTTACATACGCTTCAGGTTACACACTCGGCTAACCCAGAAATAGTGCTTCAGGTTAAGAACTTTGCTTCAGGATGAGAACAGAAATTGTGCTCCGGCGGCACGGCAGCAGCAGGAGGCCCCATTAGCTAAAGTGGTGCTTCAGGTTAAGAACAGTTTCAGGTTAAGAACGGACCTCCGGAACGAATTAAGTACTTAACCCGAGGTACCACTGTACTGTACAACAGAAAAATAGACCTACTGTGAAAGCAATTACTTTCTGACAGTAGTGTGCTACACACAGACACAGAGCAGAAGGCACTCAACCCCCCCCCCCCCCGCAAAGCTTCTTATCCTCAAGCCACATAACCAGGAGAAGAGTTTTCTTTAAAAATAATGATGATGATGATTATCCAATAACTACTTGGATAGATAAGGGGGGGAGGCATGTTCAAAAGCCAGTAAAATGAGGAGGCAAAAAGGAAGGAAGGAAAGAAGGAAAGAAGGAAAGAAGGAAAGAAAGAAAGAAAGAAAGAAAGAAAGAAAGAAAGAAAGAAAGAAAGAAAGAAGGCTGATTGGGTGGAAGAAAAGGGCAGCTTCAAGAGGCCTGGGGAGGCTGCATAACCTGGGAGAGGGCTGTGCTGCTCACCTGTATTGGGTACACCCCAATCAGAAATCTGAGGTTCAGTGTGAGAAGGAAACCTCAAAGGGCATTTTTTGCAGAGGGGCAAGCTGCTCACAGAAGCTGCCGCAACTCGCCCCAGGAAGAGAGCTAGATTGACTCGTCTCCCTTTTAACTTTAGGCTTCCTATAAACCAGGCACGTCTTACACATCCCCCTTCTTTATCCACTTCGCCAGCAGCGGCTTCCTTCCCCTTCCCCGCGGATCCGGACCCTAACGGGTTAACCACAGACAGCTCCTCGGTGGTGGTGGTGCTGCGCTGGGGAGGGGGGCCCATTGTCTGGCATCTGCAAGGGGGCCTTGCAGCTTTATGGAGATGGGGGTTAGGGAGGTCAAGGCAGGCGCGTGTCTGTGCTTTTCAGACACACTCCCTTGTGTTCCTGGGGGGCGGGGGGAAGGGATGCTGCAAATCTCAATGTGCCAGGAGGCCTGGCCTGGCCTGCCCCCACCCCTAGGGAGCAGGGGGCAAGGTTGCAGAAAGGAGGGGCGGACGGGTTGTCCCTGCAGTGTGTGCAAAGATCCAAGACCAACTGCGCTTCCTGCATACAATGAGCAAAGGCACAGCTGAAAAACTCGGAAGGACAATTGAAGCCTACCCCCACCCCCCCACCCCATGGCTGCCTGCCTGCCTGCCTGTGTGTGTGTGCACGCACGCGCACGAACTCATGGGCACATGTGTTTAGGTGGTGGTTTCTTTCCTCCTTGCCCAATGAATACCTGGGGGTAGCCAAGGGAAGCTTATTTTTAAAAGAAGTTTGCCCCCCCCAAAAAAAAACCCACCACCCCACAACTGCTTTGAAAATAATCCCGGAGACGTTTCATACAGAGAAACTGTGGAAGAGCACATTTGAAGCACATTTCCATCCCAC